TTAAACTGTTACGAACTTAACGAGACAACATGCAGTATCACATTTCATATCAATATTAACAAACTGGAAAGGAAATGAATATTTTCGAGAAGGCGTGGACGAATGATCGCGAAAACACTTGCTGCACGTTGTGAATAAAAACACCAAGTACACGATATAAATCCATTTCTAGCCAATTGCGGTATCGTATCAGGATGCAGGAAGGAAGTTTCATATCCAGGGTTTACTATTGGAAACAACGTTGGAAATAAAGTAAGCACTGGGGACGAGGTTGGCCCGCTGGTCTAATTGTTGTGCCATTGGAAGGGCGTACTATGCACCGTTCACTATCGATCACTATAACGTCTAGGGCCAAGACTATGTTCGTTTCGGTGCTCATGTTTCTGGGAAACGATAGATCCTGTGCGAATGACAATTCACGGATAGCCTTATAATGTAAGTAGTTCCTGCCAAATAAATGCAATTTCAGCTCAGCAAATGCAACTGATGGAAACATGAAAATATAAAGTCTGACATTGTCGGCGGTGCTGCGCCGTTAACTACTACATGTACACGGAAACTTCAGTTCGGACACTGTTTAAGGCTCCTTTAATAGTGAAAATGCAATCGTTCACCGCTTCCACCATTTATGCCGACAGTCTTGTTTGCTTTATTTGCCTCGCTTTGATTTTTTAGATGGCGTACCCTGACAGGTCTATTACGTTCGAATCCTGACTATTTTGAAGCTAAGTCAACCTGAACTTAAGCTTGTTTTAATGCCCCTACATCTATATATGTTGAAAGAAAATTTTTCAAAGATTCCTTCAGTTTGCCACCCCTAATTTCCCTTAGAAAAACAAGTAAAACACATCATCAAGACAGAGGTATGACAAAACAGTTGTTGACTGATGTGATGTGGGATATGACGTTTTGAACACCCTCGGGGACGCATAGCACCCTCGGCTTCGCCTCGGGCGCTATGCGTCCCTCGGGTGTTCAAAACGTCATATCCCACACCACATCAGTCAACAACTGTTAAGTATACACTTTACAACAAACTCCATTGGCCCAAGGGCGTATTTGACAAAGAAACAGAAACCCCCGAACACAGGTGCATTTAAAGGTTTGCCAATTTCCTCCTTTTTCTGGCCTGACCTTTTTTTCCACATTATGCGCTAGGGATCTTCCATGTAATTGTACGTGTGCATATAATTCAGCATTAAATCGGTTCAAGAAACTATTCTGAAATTCACTTATTTTTATATGACAGAGGCAAAAACATCCACACAGAAAAAAAATGATACTTGTAACAAATTCTATTCCCGATTACTGAAGAGTATCATCTTAACTGTCTCACCCTAGCACGAAATGAAATTTGATGTAGTCTAACTTAAAAAAATACCTTTATTACATTGCACTAACAAGTAAATAGTGCAAATGCATGCTCGTAATATCACCCAGTTTCAAACGAATGTCAGTTTTTCATAGTCCAGAATTTATCATTGACAACCTCTATCAAACCTGTATCACCTTGAAACACATTACAACAAGCAAACACGATGTCATTTTTATAAGTGACCAATTGACCTTTTGGTAAAGTTTCCCAATTGACACTTGTTTTTGGCGTATTGCTATTGGTCAGAAAACTTGGAAGAAAAATACACTCCAAAGATATTTGTCCGTGCAGGAAACCACTTAAAACAACATCAAGCTCAATTTTATAGTAACTGGACTGGATGATACTACAAAATCCTCCAAAACCATAAAGGATCCCTTAAAAGGCTATGATTAATTTTGTCTTCCTTTTCTCCTCCTTGAAGGGTTCCTTCAAGCAACAGGGACAAACTTCAAGGCTACAGGGTGACGAGGAGCTAAGAACACGACTTTTTCAAGTCCCACAGTTTGCTAGAACCTTTTATCCTTTCTTCTTTATTTATTGCAGGTTTAGGGTAAAAGCCCCCCAACCCCCCCCCCCCAAAAAAAATTACTACAATTGCCACACAGAATCAATTGTTGTCTGCCATCTCCACCCCATCCCCACCCCAAAGCTGCCAAAGCATTACTCTGGATCCACCCTACTTTCGTTCAGAATATTTAGAATTATAATAATTGATAGACTGTTATAAACAAGTGTATATCTAAATATTTAACGAATTTGAAATTCACAAACAGCATAGCCCTCATCGATGTGTCTCCGGCCATCTCTATCCTAAACTCTGTCAGGTTCTGTGTCAGAGCAATTTTGATCTCAGCCAGGTCAACGCGAGGAGCCGGCGGGAATTTGGAGGAGCCGATTGCATCTCATGGACAGTACAAAGCAAAACAAAAATAAAATAGCCGACTTCCATCATGAGCTCTCCAATTGGAAACAGACAGAGCCCTAATGACATCGCCCAGAACTCGACTGCAATGGCTGATATACCTGGGGAAGGAATACGAAAGAGTCAAAGGAGACCAAAACTCTGTCAAGAAGCTTACTCAGCTGCGCCAACTCCCTGCCTGCCGTATCCCGTGGTCAACCATCGGTTGCAGCTCCGTCTCAACACCACCCAAGCATAATTACGTCAGACGCATGTCAGAATGGGCGTCGCCATGATTTTTTTCGGGGGGGGCAAAATTTTTCATTATATTTTCAATTTATCATTTTTCCGAGCGTGAGCCCCCCCCCCCCATCAAATTAACAGCAATATGGCTTCGCACTTCTTTTTTCTCCTTTTCCGGGGGGGGGGGGGGGCAAGCGACATACGTTGTCTTGTTGACACAGTCTACGTCGACCTTCCAGTAGATAGCCGTGACCGCATGGGCTGGGACTACTTTTTAGATGCACTTCAGTGACGGGGAGATTGGAATTCGGGTCATCCAGATGCGTACTGCAACATTGGACGGAGCCGTTGCAGCAGCAATAGAGTTACAGGCTCTTCATCAAGCTGAAAGGGAGTGCCGGTCAACTGAGTTGAAGAAATTACGCAGTGCTAGTGTCAATGCAGCCCCAACTGCTGAAGGACCTATTGTTCAACCAGATGCTGGAGAAACAGAGTGGAAGCAGCAGTAGGAACTGATGACTCACATTCCACGACTGAAAAACCACACTGGCATTTATCCTAGACCCAACTCCATTGAAGAAGTTACTCAACCAGGGGTACAGGGCAGTGATCCGAGTGTGCGCCAAAAGTCACCATTAACCCCTCCGATTAAAACAAACGACACTGCTGCAGGTGATGAAAAAAGGCAGAAACGTCCCCGAAGGCTCTCTCAGAGGTTTGGGGAGTGGCAAACATAGCCTGAAGTACTGCAGTTGATCACATTATCAATGTTTACCAGTTGATGTCACCCCGTTCTTTTTGTCTCGTGCCAGAAAGATGAATGAGACACGAGTCGCTCCCCCGTAGCAACCCACACCTGCAGAGACTGCCACAAGGCATTTTCGACATCTGCCATTTTGCGCCGGCACATAGATGATCTACATCTACTCAAGGAGAGGTTGCAGTGACCCTTCTGTAACGTGAATTTAAGCGAAGAATGGCCTCATAACAGACACTGGGAGGCGAAGCATAAGATGCCAGCAGCTAAGAAGGATCCTGAGGTTTCCAGAACGCCCGGGCATGCTATAGATGTACTTACCTTACACCCTGACCAAAATGACCGAAGTGTGGTGGCGAAGTGTTCCTCACCACTTCCTGTTAGGTGAGTCATTGCTTCCCTCATCAGTAGCTCAGTACATCAGTGGCTCAGTAGACAATGCAGCTGGCAAAGCATCACAATGAGAGGGTGGTGCAGACAGACCTGCCAGCGGAAGGGAGGCTGGTGGAAAAGGGGACCCAGGATCTCCTCGACGGGAAGGACATCATCGCGAGGATCGTCAAGGAGAGCTTCATTTCAGAATGATTCACTGTTTATTTATGTACATGTAGCACTTTTCGTTTTTAGGAACAAATCAATCTAAGAGCGTTAACATCCTTGCAGCTCGAAAGTTTCGAGTTTAAAACAAGTTTGGAAATTATGTTTCATATCTGTCTACGGTTGGAAGTATGTTGCTACTACACATTTTAAATAAACTGTTTTGATGTTTTACAAAGACGTTAATTGTTAAACTTGGATTTCAGGGTTTTTGAAATTGTAGAACGTGTTTAAAGTTTAATTATAAGATTGAGCGATAAGTGCACACATCCTTCATTAACCCTTAAGTACGGGTTATAATGGGGACATTCCTCCACACATAGAGCAAGTGGCCCGCATGACTGCACAGCCTTTGTGTGGTAGCGGGACTGCACAAAAGCAGCAGCTGTGGAACTACCCACTAGCTGTGTGCCACGGCATACCACAGCTGGCAACTGCATTCCAATGAGGATTAGCGGCCGCGGCCATGACCGCTTCCCGTGCTCATGGAGTTAAAGGAGGGGGTGATGTAACAAAAGCAATTGTAAAATTAGGTCAGGTTCATTGTGTTCATTTGTATTACATTTGGAGTGCGGCGTGTACACGCACATGTGCTCTTTTAGTTTAGGCAGACAATTAAGGCCTGCATGGGCTCCGTTTGGGTAGGACGTACCATGATTACCATTTGGTCATGAGAAACTGTGGATTGACCATCTGTCGTCACTTGTAATATTTGTGTATTATTTCAGTTGTTAAATAAAATAAGCAGAGATTACCAATCCGCTATACATGTACGCAGTTCACCTCTCGTCGATCCCAATAAGTTATTATGTCTAACTGAATGTCATCATTCCGGCCGTTACCGTAGATGCCCCTTGGTCTGAATTCTCTGATTTGCTGTGTATGATCCCTGTGACCGCTCATAGACGACGTTACAATATTGCATGCATCATATGACTTGCACCAGTAATCTATCAGATCTAATTCTTACCAGGTGACTTTTGTAGCTCATTGGAGAACATTTTATCTTGTAATAAAAAAACAATATAAAAGAATGGGGCCAGTTTCACAGTGTGTTCAAGTTCCCCCCCCCCCAGAATATACACCACAAAATCTAAAAACAATGTGGTACATGTCCAAACAAATCCAAAATCAGCAACAATTCAGTCTTTATTTGATTTGATCGTATTGATTTAATCACAGATGAATCAGGTGTTACAAAAATATATAACTTGGTTTAGAAAGCTTAATCTCACACGAAGATGCAATAATTGGTAAGTACATGTACATGAATGAATACATGTCAATACTGTAAGGTACTGAGTGGGCTTATGAGGAAACTCGCTCTGAATATGCCTGGAATTTTTTTTCTTGGACAGGTCAGTGAAAATTTTGGGAGCCCAGACAAAAAGTACATTTTATATCTAAATAATACAGTTAAGCCTGGCCAAGTCGGCACTCTTGGGACCTGCACATTTGTGACAACGTACACGATTGCCACCACCTGCTGTATTTAAAGTTGTCATTTTGCCAACTTACATGCAAGGCCTATGCACATGATTTGTTGCAATACGTTTGGCTTCGATTTACCTTGGTTTATCTCCTTATGGCTTGAGTTGATTCCAACAAATTAATACTTGATTTTTATCATCACAGGCTGGGGTATTTCGTAGCATTCCATGTACTGGAGACCATGTATGTGTACATTTATACGCGCAGAGTATTGAACGTACTGTCCATAAACGAAACGTACGTGTACAACATATTGCAAATTGAATACGCACATTGACTGCATCGTTCAATAAGACGACGCCCAAAATAGACCTAGCACATGCGTGCAGGACTAGAGGGGTACATGGAATTGATGTGCTCACGATAGATGCAGTATTGGAGAAACCCCTTTTTGATTGCGCACACTGTGGAACATGTTGCCGATCGCAGTGCAAGAAGTCCATGCCAATGTTTGATTTTTTTAAATGGCAAGTTAAACAAAGGATTTTGTTGTGCTTTTTGTGGAAAGGGGACCGCGAGTAACACACCAAATTTAGCCAAATGGTGACTTACAAAAGCCAACTTAAAAATAAAAATTTCAATGGAAATGCATTAGAGACGATCGGGACTTTCGTTAGACAGCCACCTTGAGCGATTTGGCGAGTTGTACGATGTCGACTTGGCCGGAGTTTACTGAACAGGGTTTCTTGCAGAATTTGACGACAGGAAAATCCACTGGAATTTTCAAAATGAAGACAAATTGCTCTTAGCTGGTTTGCGCAGATCGCCAAACTTTCCCCGGAACTTGGCAAATGTTGCAGCATTCATGATAGCATTGACTATCATGGTGTGGGCATCATGGTCAGTCTCAACAGCCTCGGTAGATGTCACTGTGGCTTCTTTGTACAACCAGCTGTCATCAACATTGGACAAACCAGAAGAAATGCACAAGGTCAGAAAGAATGAGGACATTTTTTTATCAAATTCCCAGTATTTTTCAAGATCTTCAATTTGGCACAGTAAAAAGGTTTATAATAATATAGGTTTAAAATGTGAAAGCCCACAAGTGTACGGATGGAGTGAATTCGTGTGAAACCCTTTCAAAGCATTTTTTCCCCAATTGTAATTCTACCACATGCTTGTGCTTATTCGAGAAAACCAAAATCATTCTATTACGCGTCAGTGTACGAAGTGCACGCGCACACCTGTGTGTCAGTTCATGAAACCGAAATTATTGATTACGCAGTTTTCACAAACTGACAGCACAAAGCGCATGTGTGTCAATTTGTGAAAACAGTGACGAATGAAGTCCTCCAAGTCACAAGCCATCCATGCTAACTGTGACACCTCAACCGCATGCCTGTTTCATTGTTAATCACCGGGTACTTAGACTTGTAATTTGACAAGCTACTGGTGGACTTATGATTAACTTGCGACTGAATTGTGGTTGACTTGTAGTTGACCTGTGGTTGACTTGTGATTAACTTAAGTGTTGACAAGGGATTGACTTGTGATTGAGGTATGATATGATTGTCTTACCTAAGATGAGGACCACTCATTGGTATCTCCAGCTGGCAGGGTATGATATCAGTTACCTCTAGTAACTTGTCCTGAATACAGTCCTTGAGTTTATCCAAACCATCACCCTTGTCAGCAGACACCAAAATTCCACATGCTTCATGTTCACTTCCCATAGGCCTGCACACAGAATACAGATACATGTAGATTTCATCAGGTGTGCATACCAATTATGTGTACAATCATATCCATATGTAAAAAGGAAAATAATAATAATAATAATAATAACAAAGCATTTGTAAGGCGCACAGTATCTGACAATAACAGTCATTCAAAGACGCCGGTCAGTGAAAGTCAGTGTGTGTGTGTGTGTGAAGGTAGAGGTCATTATGTGTAAGAGAGAAACTGATTGAAGAGGTGGGTCTTTAGGTGGCGTGTGAAGAGAGATAATTGGTGTATTGCCCTTAACTCGTCTTCATTGTGACCAACGTATGAATTAGCAATTGTTGACTGCTATGATGTGAGATATATTGATTTTAACACTCAAGGGGTGCATTTATACAGTTACAAATGATTTTTTGAAATTTGGAGTATCTGCACAACGTTTTAAATAATCTGCTTGTGTATGATTTTGTTTATTCATGGACTTGAATAAGTCATGGACTTATGCACTATGAAACTTTTGTGAAATTGTCATAACTAAATGTTGCGCAGTGTGAAATGCAGCAATTACTGGGACAATAAACTGTGGCGCAAGTGGACTTGTGCCACTGCGTAAAGTTTTGTGAAATCTGCTGCTGATTTTACGTAATTGGCACCACGAACTGACACTCAGTTGCGTGTGTGTGCACTGCACGCGCGTGTATTTACAGAACCGGGTTATTTAGGGTTTCACGAACTGACATCCTCCACAGTGCGGCACTTTTAGAGTGCATCCCCTACATTTTCGGTTTCACGAACGGACACTTGCCTTATTTTCACCAATCACAACACTTTTTAATTAAATTTTTGAGAAAGCACACAAGTATATGAATGGATTAAATTTGTGTAAAACTTTTCAAAATGTTTTTCTCTGTTCTGTATTACAGCATTATGCTTGGGTGTCAGTCATTGTTTTGTCAGTTCGTGAAAACAAAGAATCTTCCTATTTTGTATCAGTGTCGATTGTTGATCGTGTGGTTTTCACGAACTGACACCTACTTGCGCGTGAGTGTCGGTTCGTGGTGCTGATGACGATTTGATTGACTTAGACTGCTGAGATATGGCTGAGATGATGTCTGAATGAGTTGTGAAATTGTGATGAAACTTGCTTATGATGACTTTTTGGTGACTATACTACGTATCATCCTGCCAGCCGTTGGGTGTCATTTCTATAATGACTAGCAGGGCTAGTACTCATGATTGTGAAGACCCTATGGTCAGTAAAGGTTTGGAATAATAACTGAATAGACTTACTCTTGGAGTTTATCTGCCTTGTTGCAGACTTCCACCATGTTATCAATGAGTGAATCGGACACACCAAGTTCTGTCAACACTTGAAGGACGTTAAGCTTCTGTGATACTGTGTCTGGGTGGCTGATATCCCGAACATGTACAATCACATCCTGATACAAATTATAAAAATACATGAAACACAGCGTGAGAATCACACTTGTGCCTTCCCTTTTCTCCAGTTTTGAACCAAAATGTAAAAGTGTTGGCCTGCCTTGGTGCATTTTTTAAAGCTACAAAAGTTCTAAAAATCTAAAGATGGGTGTTTATCAACTAACCTGACAAACTTTTAGCTCTGTGAATGCTGTACATTCTGAAAAAAATATTCTAGGATCTCGATTTCAATTCAAAAGTTGCAGAGTCATGTTTTGAATTGCGCCCGAAATCAGCGTCCTAGACACGTTCTCATTCAGCCAATTGCAGCATATGTGCGTCGTGTCAACGCTTGCGCCCACCCATGCACGAATTCACCAAATTGCCGACCAACTGCTTCCAGAAATTTTCAAAAATGCATCAGTAGATGCATTTTTGGAAAAGGCCTTCTTTTATTGTTTTCTTCAAAATGACAGCCTGCCACAAAGAATAATTTCGCAGGGAGTTTAATTTATTGCCATTACTATGTTTAAAATAATTTTGTCTGTTACATTTTGGATAGCTTCAAATGATAAACTCTACCTTTACGTCCATATCATTGAAGAGTTGAAGATCCGACCTACAGTACATGTTTAATGGAATATTTGTCAATGAAATGGGGCAAATGATTAAATGTCATGTGACTAAATTCCACCAATCACATGACAAGGATCTATTTAGGTGTTACATACAAAATGCTATTTCATGGAATGGACTGTTGAGATATCCATGGAAAGTTAATTCACATTAACTCTTTGCACGGTGAGTTTCAAGGATTTACTAAAAGGAAAAAACTATTTGATACAAATGTAACTCACCGAGAGCAAAACATCTTCTAGAGTAGCAGCAAAAGAAGCAACCAGATTATGAGGCAAGGCTGATATGAAGCCAACAGTGTCCATATAAATGACGGGCATTCTGTTGGGCAGTGTAGCGGCATGTGCAGTCACATCCAACGTTGCAAATAGCTGGTCTTTGGGTTGCATGGTAGCATCTCCACTCAGTGCCTTAATGAGAGTGGTTTTTCCTGATATAGCACAAATGATGGTCAAGACAATGTTTTATCAATGCTTGTACCTGAACGCAACATGCTGTTCTAAGCAGACTAGGAACTACTGTATCCCCTAAACGGTATGGTATAACATGTTTATCCCACCACTGACACCAATAAATCAATTGAATATCAAATAACAGAATCTGTGTACCGTAATTTCCTGCGGATAAGACGCGTCTCATCTGACTTTCTAGACCACAAAAACATCGCTGCGCCTTATCTACAGGTGCGCCTTATCTGGTGTCGCTTGAGTTCAAAGTGACGGTCTTTGTGTGAAGAATTCTTTCAATGCCGCAATCCATAATGCGGTCAACCAAGGCTCAACTCTCCAGACATTGTGACCGTATTTTCATTCCAACAATGCCGCGATGTGTTGATCCCCCATGATCGTGCTTTCATTCCAACAATGCCGCAATGCGTTGATCCCCCTTAGTGATCGTGCTTTCGTTCCAACAATGCCGTCATACAAACGTTTTTCTTTGTGGCCGTTTTTTCATTCCGAAAATGCTGCAATCAGAATTACTTAAACGTTTGGAAATCGCATTCACTCAAGTTCTATTGTGTGAACGTTGAGGGTGTTTATTGTACAGGATATCTTCGAAGTCTGCAAGCCTGAAGATCAAGATGAAAACAGTGCGAGTCGGTAAAAGCGGCTCAGGAAAGCGTACTTCCGGCCCGAGCACCATGTTATGCATACAGAGACCGCACGAACCTCAGTGCACGTGTGGCCGAACATTTTGTAGAAACACGCTGCGGTGTATCATCAAGTCCGAGCGGTAAAATCTCGTTAAAATATATATTTCAACGGACAAATACATACACAGAGAAGAGAGATCACGTTCTGAGAATTAATTTGCGGAAATTCTCTTTCTCCACCGATGTATGTTATTTTCTACGATCCAAATTCGTCCTGATACGCTACTGTAGTCATGCACGGAACATCATGGTCCGGTACCGTACGTAGGCCGTAGTCACTGGTTCCTGGCCCACATCATAGCTTCGATTCTGTAAGCATGCGATGGGAACCAACGAATACTGATGGCACTGCTGCCGCACGGAACATCGTACAGCGGCATGGCTTCGACGACGTGCATCACAAATGCGTCAGAATTACAGGCCTTTTCGTCAAGATTTAGCGTGTCAAGATGAAATAATATCGTGTAAACGATTATGTTGTGCATGCAAATGGCGTGTGTAATATTACTGTGCGTATCGGCGGCTGAAAATGTGATCGGCAATTTGTTTTCTGTGTACGGTGAGTAATTATACTGACACTGTGACAGCTCGGTTACTTCTCCCACGCGGTCTGGGTAAATTTTCCCGTGTCGAAAGTCCAAGTGCGGACAGTGGTCACATTTGACCATTTCTCACTTTACTATCGTCTCGGTAAAACCTTCCAAAAAAAAATCCAGTGCGGACACGGCTTAATTCATCCTCCGAATAGTGTGATCGTTCTAAGGCAACACAATGGCCCCTTTGTGGCGCTGTACCGACACCGGGTGACGCCTGGTGTTCTTCTGTGTGCGGTCAAACATGCGTCTTATGCGGCGGTGCGCCTTATCTGTTGGCGTTTGAATTTTTTTGGGGTGATTTTAGGGACCTGCGCCTTATCCGCCGCGCGCCTTATCCGCAGGAAATTACGGTACATGTATTCAACAACTGACCTGCTGACACCAGCAAATCAACATACCTGCATTTGTGTATCCCACCACTGACACCACTGGAAAGTTCTTCTTGGTCCTGCCACTGCGTAGTAAAGTTTGTTTCTTCTTGAGTTGATCCAAGGCTTTGCGTACCTTCTGTTCCCGTTCTTTCAGGACTCGCTGCCTGACAGTCAAGTAGGTTTCTCCTCCCCCACTGATGAAGGAGTGCCCGCCCCTTTGCTGATCCATGCTGCTGGATTCGTTGCGGAGACGGGACCTGTATAAAGGAAATATTGAAACAAGGAGAGGTGGGGAATATAGTGGTTTAACCAATGTTATGATAATTACCATAGGAGTACCGGTATGCCATGTTGTATCTTTTACTCTCTATAGTCTGAGGGTTCGATAGTCGGAAGGTTCAGTACTCCAAAGGAACAATAGTCCAAAGGTTCATTAGTCTGAAGGTTCATTAGGTTCATTATTCAGAAGGTTCAGAAGTCTGAAGGTTCGATATTCTGAATAAACGATAAGGTTAGACAGTCCGAATATACCACAAGATTAGATAGTCCGAATAACGATGCGGTTCGATAGTCTAAATCAATGAGGCTTAACAGTCAGAATTGACAACATCGAACCTTACTGTCAATTCGGACTACTGAACCTTGCATGCTTTTCAAATTAATGAACCTTGGGACTTCTGAACATTGTTTTAATTTCAGACTTTTGACAGACTAATTAACCTTATTCTTAATTCGTACTCCTGAAAAACTCCTGAAACTTCAGACAGGTGAACCTTCGGACAAATGAACCTTTGGACTAACGAACCTTTGGACTATCTCATCAAATGCTCGGATTAATGAACCTTAATTCACTTTTGGAGTAATGAACCCCCGGTTATGGGAAATTGGTGTGTTTTGGACTATCGAACCTTCAGATCAATGCCTTCAGACTATCAAACCCTCAGACTATCGAGAGGATCCTGTTTCATCATAGAAAAATAGGTAACAACTCCATATACCCAGTTTGAATCCTACCAAGTACTGTGCAGCACAACCAATGAATCTACAGTCCCACTGGTTCCAATAATATGTGAGGCTTCTGACAAAATGAGATGGAACTGGGCGCAGGCAGTAGTGGACCTTTTTTACAATTTTCAGTAATAATTCGATATTTGTAATCTTCATGTTTACTTCTCATACTTTAAAGAAACAGCATAAAAATCATGGAATAAAAGTGTTTCAAAGAAAAACAATTGGCATCTTTCATCTCCACGGTCTAAACTTTAAAGACTTTTTCTCAGCATTTTAATTTTTTTGACATGTCAATCAATGCGAACTTTATAAACAGCCACAACCTGTCAATGGAAAGTCCAAATGTTCAACAAACAGTATTGATAAGGAGAATTTTATTCCCTTTTTTAATACCCGTAAATCCTCATTTTGACCTCTGCCCAGTTCTGTCTCATTTTGCCTGAAGGTCTCATAACAAATGCAGTGAGAAGCCAATGTCTTTGCTGGACATGTAACTGACCTGAGGTATGGGATCTCAGCGAGGGCAATCTGCATCTTGGCCTCTCTAGTCCTCGCATGATCCTTGAAGATCTTAAGTACTACACCATATCTGTTGATATCACACACAATATAAAGAACATACATTACTCTCAGTTGTTTTACAATGCACCAGAGTTGCTGACTCGAGTCATGTGACTTGGACTCGAGTCGGACTCGAGCCGCTATTTTTGTGACTTGTGACTTGACTTGTAAATACCAGCTTTGACTTGTGACTTGACTTGGACTTGCAAACAATGACTTGTGACTTGACTTGGGATTGCAAACAATGACTTGATACCAACCCAAGTCAGACGCTACTCGAGCGATCCAATACACTTTAATTAAGCTATTATACTTTTAATTAGCTGTTTCATTCCAGAAAATAGACCTCAGTGACTGAATCCAGTAAAATGAATAGTTCCCACTAGTTTCAAAAGTTTTCAATAAGACTGTCACAACAAACTACAGTTTTCAATGACCAATTGTCTCTTGCTTAATGTATTGGTTGAACAAACTTTGAAAGGAACCTTTCATGAAAAGAAAGCAGGCCTTTGTCAATTGCATGTAAAATACCGGATAGCCTAACCCATTGGTATACATGAAAATTGAACAATGAAGTGTTAGTATACTACATGTAATCAAGTGAGGAAGTCTTTTTTTCACGGTCATCTCAACATTTATTTCTACAATGTAAAGTAAATTTATTAAAGTATACAAAGGGCTAATATCTGACAGATATGTGATAAACTACAAGAATAGTAATTGCAACACATTGAAAAAGGGGAATTAAGGAGGCATGTTCAAAATAACTCTTAAGTTCACGCCAGGTTAATTCTTTTAGCTTATTACAGCTGGACAAAATAATGTGCAACTTGACGTGTTCTTGGAAAAAGATGCTTGTGACTCGACTTGTTTTTAGACCAAATGACTTGTGACTTGACTTGTGACTGGACCTAATGACTTGTGACTTGACTTGTGACTGGACCTAATGACTTGTGACTTGACTTGGACTTGCAAACAATGACTTGTGACTTGACTTGGACTTGCAAAAAATGACTTGCTGCCACCTCTGCAATGCACCCATTGGTTTGACAGGATTTTGCAAGAATTAACTCTCCTAGTGTCTGAACAGTCACAGACAGTCAACAAAATAATCCTCTTCCCCTGTCATGCCTTTAACACAGGCTAGTCACCAACAGTCAGCTCATATTTCAAGCAAAGAGCAAGGAACAGGTAGCACTCTGACTAGTCAAATTCAGTCAAAAGACAAAAACATGCAAGTGGCTTATCAATCACCTACAGTCAAAGCATTGCTGTATCCAGTTATACATAAGGCTCCTGTCATTTGTGACACCAGAAAATAATGCATTTGTAACTGAACAACTTGACCATGCCCATGTGAATGCCTGGTGAGACTGGAGCCTAAAATATAGCATTCATCCAAGATATGGTTTAATTGGCATCATTAAATGTGTAGTGTGAAAATTCAACAACTTCAGTGTGTTTTTTCAAAGGGTGAGAAGTGCACAGTTTAGATGCTACAATGTAAATGATGTATACAGAGTCAATGTTCCCACCTGTCGTACACCTGCACCCCCCATGCTTCCTCCAACTCCTTTTGTTGTAATGCACTCAACTTCTCCACACTCACGAAGACAGCTGTAATCTCAGGACTGGATTGGATCATCTCCGTCAACTTGGCATGAGTTCCCTTGCCAAAGACTGACTTCTTAGCTGGCTCCTTGACCCCTTGCACCAATCCCTCAACTACCGTCCAGTCCGGAATGGTCTCAATCAAGGCCATGGACTCCTCCAGTTGCAGCTGGGGGTTCGAAACCTGTCCATGTTTGGAACCTTTGATTTTAAGGTCAGGCTGGAGTACAAGGAAGCGATGGCCTCCCACAGGAGGCGGGTCAAGGTCCTCTGAGATATGCTCCTCTTGCAAGAGGATCGCATCCCATTCTGATGTATCATCATCCATGTCATCTTCAATAGTTCTTATATCTGACCCTAAACTTTCAGTAGTCCGGTGCTCCTTCGTTTTCTTGTGCTTTCGATACACACCATGAGTTGTTTGGTATGACGACTTAGGGAACCATGCCAATGCTGCTCTTACCCATGGCAGATGCACAGCTGTACCCGTTACCGACCAGCTTATCTTACAGTGAGCATGACACTGGAACGCACCAACTGTTCTGTTTAGGCTGGGAGAAAGATGGCCCAGTAATCTGCCATGGCAAGCATAAAGGGGGATGCATGGGAAACCTTGGCCACGTGTGATGGATGTACATAGAGTCAGCGTGTCTCTTACAGTAACATTGACTGTTCTTGTCACGATCTTCGTGATAGCTGACATAGTCATGATAGTGACAATGTGTAGCAGTCTTATTCTGTGAAGGAAAACTGAAAGAGTTTGCCAAAAAAATTGTTTCAACATTTAAGAGAAAACAAATTAAGTGTAGCTTATAAATACACAACGTACATATGGGTTGCTGCATCACTTGAAAATAACATGTACGTATGCGATATGCGCTGTGAGTGGATTTACTATAGGCACAGACCGAGCGCAACCCAGACTTGGCCAAGTCTAGCATGCATGGTGCATCGATCTCCGCACGCGCACTGCCTGTACGTAGGCCTGCGCGATATTCTGCATGTTCGTTGTGTCATGGAGAGGAAGGTGCAAAACATTGTGCACTCCAAAGTTCCACGCGCGCTATCGTCATACAATTGAGGAGAAACGGTCAGAAATGGTTTCAAAACGTATTTAAAATTCATTTCTATTTATTTTAATTATATTTCTTCCCTTCCAAAAAAAATATCCAGGGTCGGCCGCATTTTTAGGGTCGGTCGGGTTACGCCAACATAACACTTTTTTTTTAGGCCTAAGTTGGGTCCAAGTTACTCGGACTACAGAACTGTAAGGTTTTTTACAAACCGTTAGCCTTTAGGCGCTAGGCCTAACATGCCTGAAGAGTAAGAGTTACTAAGACCAATTGAAGTTGCTGTAGCAGCACATTCTCAATTTTTTCTGACCTCGAAACTCTGCTGTCGCGAAATGTTTGGCCTCAATATTTCACAAGTATTATCTGGATGAGGATTTGTACCTCTAGAGTGGGTTGAAATTTCTCAAACGTCAAACAAAAATGTGAAATTTACACAAATTTCGTTAACTTCAGGCGTCTCGCACTCGGCCGTCTCTCGTCGTTTACCGTCGACTGAGGGCGCTCTTGACCAACTACAGCGCGGCCGCGGCTCATCATCATCATGCATCGCGCGAGGCACGGAGAAACTATCGGAATGAAAGCCGCGCTGTCAATGTCATTGTTTGAGCATGCATAGGCGTGGACGACTTACATTCTCCATTATTTTAAAGAAAATCCACATTAAATATATTTTCATATTGGGTAAGGCCAAAAAAAAAGTTTCCGGTTTCTGGTATGCACGTGCGTCGCCGTAGCCATGCGCGTCGGCAAAATGAAAAAGGTTTTTTTTCAATGAAAGATGATGACTCAAAACCGCCAAACTCACTGGTTTGACTGGAATCCTGCTGCTGCACAATTCTAACGTATTTTTAGATGGGGTTATGATCGAGAATAAGCTTTATATGGCCTCTGTGGACCCCCATATATTTGGGGGTTTAGTCGGGCACCGTTTGCAGTCATCAGTCGACATTTGAAGCAAAAAAAACAGGTAAAAAAAAAAGCCGCGTCGCCGCACCACTTTTGGGCAAGCTCCATACCAGAAACCGGAGACTTTTTGTTTTGGCCTAAGGCAAGTTTTTATCAAAACTTTTAGATGGACAGCTCGAACAATAGGGTTGAATGTGATATAGTTCAGTCGGAAAAGGGGGGTATCGTGCACCCTCGGAAAATCAATTTCTAATCAACGTCTCTAGGTCAGAAAAAAAATGCGTAGAAAACGATTTGCTATGTTAAAAAAATTCAAAAAAATTGTCCCACGTATTGTTTTTATGCAAATTAGTGCCACCATTACCGACAAATCTATTTTTCACTGTATCTCAGCCAATATTGCAGATAACTGAGCGAATTTGGTGTCTAAACCCATAATGTCAAGGTCAGAGATCACAATAAAACTTTTCTGGAAGTGACCACATGTGTCTGTGGCATAGGAATATGCAAATTAGTGCCGCTAATACTGGAAAATCATGTTTTTGGCATATCTCGGCCAATATAGCACATAACTACACAGGCAAGTAAGGTGTCTAAACCCATGCTTTGAGCGTCAGGTATCATTAGAAGACCATTCACGAAGTAAATATGTGTATCTCTGGCATACAAATATGAAAATTTTAAATGGCCGGTTTATCAAAAATTTGATTTTCAGCCAATGTTTTATTCAATTTCAGCCAATATTACAGTTAATTTTGAATATGATGGCTTAAAATCAACTTTGATAATTACTGCCTATCAAAAACCCTTTCCTGTCAACATCAGCTGCAATATTGGCTGAGATATTGGGTAAAATCAAATTTCTGATAATGAATTTTTAGCTTTGGTTAATATCGAATAATGGAGTGGAAAAAAATACGTCATTGCACACGGTACGGGTGCCGTCTAGAAAGTAGAAGCGGGCCTAAGACAAAAAAGTTTAAAAAGTAAAAAGAAGAGGTAAACAAAAATCCAGAAGGCTGTTATTATTCCGTTTATCATTCGAGCGAGGTACGTACTATTTGGTCATTTCTAATTTAAGCTGGATTGTTAGTAAATTTTGGACTTTTTTTCAAATAACAATAAGCCAAGCCTGTAATCGTTAATGACGGTTTTTAATAATTACTTTTTGTGAGATTTACAATTAAAAAATACCGACTCTCCTTCAAGGGCGGATCCAGGGGGGGGCCAAAGGGGGCCATGGCCACCCCCCCCCCAAAACGAAACCAATTTTTTTTTTTTTTTTAATGTGACATCGCAATAAAGGCAGGCAATGAGTACACCACCATCTTTTCCTCAAAAAAATTGGTTAAAGTGGTCAGAAATTGCCTCAGATCGCACCACAGAGCATCTAGAATCCAAAAATTTTTCGGGGCCCTAGCGGGCCCCGAACCCCACGCCGTAATTTTTTAGACCCACTTTTTGGGGGGACCAAAATTTTTTTTGGCCCCCCCCCAAAATTGTGTTCTGGATCCGCCCTTGCTCTCCTTTCGCGTGGGTACACAGTAGGCAAGATGGCGCCATCTTGTATCTATAGGTTCACTGTGGTTGCAAACCATGTAAACATATTTCCATACAAGTATAAGCTCACTTTCGCGCACTTGCAATATTTAAAATACCGTCTCTCCAAGGTGTTGAGGCACACACCAAATTAAATTTTATTTCTTCATCTTTCCTTACCCCAGACTGTGGTATTTTCCGATCCCCTGAGCCCATTTTTTGGACAATAGGATCAGCTAATCATTAGTACGTCTAAAAATTGAAAATATCAGTCAGTAAAGTGGTTGAACATTTTCTACCGCATTTCTACCTACCTTTCCACACTGAAACTGCCAACAAAATTAAGTTACCTCTTTAAATAATAATTAACTAATGCAAATATATTAAACGTTAATAAGGTATTAAATGTGTGCTTGGTCGGTTTTAAACACTCTCTTTAAGAATTTTATAAAAGTGGGTAAGTCTGGTGTTTTCCGCCTATCTGCCAAAGGAATCCCATTTTAACGTCTCGATCATTAGGCGGATGTTGCGAATAGGCGGATGTTGGATGACAGTTATCTACGATCGTAGATATACGAAACAACAACAGACCAAGCACTGTGCCTTGAGGCACTCCAGATACAGCCTTCTGTCAGACTACCACTGATAAGCTTCTCCATTGATCACAACTCGTTGTTGTCTCTGGGTTAAAAAGGTGCTGATCCAGTTGAGGATGTTGAGGATGAATGGCCTTTGCGAAGTCCATGCTGTAATGATATGAGGATATCATGTCTATCAAGGTGTTTACTAATCTGAGAGTGGAGGATGCGCTCGATGAGTTTACACATAATAGCTGTCCGCGAAACAGGACGATAGTTCCCTGGGTCGTCCCTCCGAGCACCTTTTTTGTGAAGGGCGGTGGCATTTGCGAGCAACCAATCTTCAGGAAGATTCCCCGGATTGCTGGAACAGAGCAAATGAATGGATAACCAACCCACGCACCCATGTCTTCGTTCATACCTAGTGTGGACATTCCTTTGTGTTCGTGTAGTTAAGAAAAACCTGTGGAAAAAAAATCAATTTACTCACACTGTGAAAACTCTTTCAACTTCAATTTTTTCTATGATTCCTTGAGTGTTTCTCTTCATTTTGCGACCGATAAACCTAACCTTCAAATGCCTCTAAACCTGTTTTCAGAGAGGGGAACCTTGTGCCAGTGTACGTGTTCATCTCTTCAAACCGTAAAAAATACCAGAGAACAAAAGAGAACAATATCGTCCACGATTCCCAGCATACGTCCGCGATTGAGGTCGAGTACAAAACATATTGGAGTCTTCCTAAAATGTTGAGTACAAACAACAGAGGGACAATAGGACGTCCACGATCGACGGTGAACACGTTTGTGTGTGTGCCTGTGCAGAGCATGTGCATACATGTGATTCAAAAGTTAGCAAATCTGCGCGCGTTTTTAGGAATTAAAACGCCAATTGCCTGAAACGCTGTGCTAAGATTGGCTTCTACCGAAGTGGGTAGAAGCCAATCAATAGACTGTGTACAAACATGGAACAAAGGGGCGCGTACGCTTGACATTTTGACCAAGTCTGGGTTGCTGCACTGTACGTTTTTAACATTTTGGTCAGGGTTTGACGCATGATGGCGGCCGTAATGGTAAGGCGTGTTTAGTGTATAATGTATGCGCTAAAGACGTATGCTGTTTAACAAACAAGCCCAAGATATTCTTGAGCATCCTGAAGTCTACGAATATGTCTTGTGGGCATTTTTCACGTATTAGTTTGTGGTGCACGTGGAACAACAAACTTTACTCTTCATTTATATAATACATCATTCGGCAGATTGATGTCTAATTAATATTTGCATATTATGAACAGGTGCGGATCTAGAGTGGTTTTGGGGGTCAACCCCCCCCCCCCAGCTGTGTCTTAATTTTTTGTTCTTCATAGAAATACATTGAAATAATGTGAACCCCCCCCCCCCCCGCCCTGACACCCAAACAATAATGATAATTACATTTGTAAATAATATCCGTGCGTGCAATTTTGTCATAGCCAACTGGGTTATAGAAATACCGGTATTTCTACACTATTCTGTAACAGTGTTGATGATCGTCGAATTTTGAACAGCGCCTCCATTGAAAGTATATGACACGAGCCCCCCCCCCCCCCAACTTTACGGAAGCCAAGTGTCCGGAGAAAAAAAACCCGTCTACATTTAAGTTTTTTGGCTGCATGAAACCCCCCCCCCTTGCAACAATCCCTGAATACGCCACTGATAAAATGGATAAAAGTGTTGACTTGTCCTACTGTTTTCCAATGTGAACAATTTGTGAATATTACTCATTAGTAGCTCTGGTAATAGCATATAATGCTCATAGGCGCAGTACAATCAAATTAAAAAAACAAGTTGAAGTTAAACATTAAAATAAAGAGTTAAAAACATTGAAAGATCACACAAAATTACACAGATTTACAAAAACAACTTAAGGTTAAACCTTAATATTAAGATTTAAAAAGCATTCAGGGATCTCACAAAATTACATAGATTTACAGGAACAGTGAGGCCAAACCAAAAAAAATCGTGTGTTTACGGTAACGGTTTGAAAAAAATCCAGGTAGGTAGGTAGGGAAATAATTTTATTTTGTAAAATTTTTATTTCAGTTCTGCAGGCTCATGCGTGTTCTTTCACAAAATATTTGTATAAAAACATTATTCAAGCATTCAAGATACTCAATCGATACATTTCATTCCAAATTAATTCGTACCGTCCCAGGGTTCTCCCCAGGATTTTTTTCAAACCCGTGGGGGAAGTTTTGCTGTGATTCAACAACCAGCGAAGCCATGGCGTGGGGTTCGGGGCCCGCTTTTTAAGGGTCCCAAACATTTTTGAGAGAAGATCTTGTAGGCCCTTTTGTAATTAAAGAAAAAATCAAAATTACATTTACAAGTTAGTTTCAAATTAAGAAATTACGGTGAATAAAAAAATCCTTTTGCTTCCGATTACATGCCTTTCAAAATAGCGTCAATACGTCGGAAAAAATTATTTCGCCAATTTTTTGGGGGGCTGATTAATGGAGCATCATAGAGCAAGGAATCATGTTTATTTTGTGCCTGGATTATTTTCATTTGCGCCACGAACATTATCAAGACTGGCCATCAAAAGTGATTAAAGTGATTGTGTAGCGTTCCTTTTTGTTGTGAGTTGTATAAAGGGAGAGCCTCGTGTAAAGAAGTGGCAAGAATAAATGGCCGGAGAGCCCCGAAACCCTGAAGAATATTGTCTGTGGTTTCCTTCGTCTGGCGTGTGAGAACCCCAGATTCGTTCTACGTTACAATATTTCAGTTTGACTGCTGGGACCCTGAGAAGAGTTGTGTCAGAAAATGACCTAAGCGACCGGGCTGTTGTGTATGGCATCAGCAAGGTTCCGGCAGGCCTTGTAGATGATAACACTCAGCTTGTATGAATCCTGCGAATAACAGGCATCCAGTGTAGAGATCTGAGAACTGGAGTAAGGTGCTCTAGATCTCTGCGTTTTGTGCCAGTAAGAAACCTCGCAGCCATGTTCTGTAATCGCTGGAGGTGAGATATGGCGTACTGTGGAAGGCCATGCAGCAGGGCATTTATACACGAATCTAACCGGGAGGTGACGAATGCATGTATGGCATTCGCGCTGCTGCTTCATCAGTGCCCGGGTGCTTTCTGTTCAGTCTTATATTATACAGCTGATGATATGTAGCTTTACAGACCATGGTGATGTGTGCACTTTTACCCAGTGATGAGTCAAAAATGACTCCAAGGTTGCGAGCCTGATCCTTGGGCAGGATAGTACAGTGGGATATGTAAAATGCTTGGCCGCAATCTTTGGCACGCTGTTGATGGGTGCCAATATAAACCAGGAATTCTGTTTTATCTCCATTGAGTGGATGGTGCTAAACAGGCTCATGAGGCTAGCACCATCCACTTCTTTAATCTCAGCAACACACTCTTCAATTGCAGTTGCATCGGTTGAAGGTTTGAATGACAGGTAAAGCTGCGTGTCATCCACTTACAAATGGTAACAAAGTCCATGTCTTCTTACCAAATCTCCGGCAATGGTAAGGTGTAGATGGTGAAAATGGGTCCCAGCAGAGGGGGAATGGCCCTGAGAGTGAGTTATTCCCGCGTACTTGCTGCAGCCTGCCGGTAAGGTAGGAGTGGAACCACTTGAGTGCCTCAAATGTAATGCCAAGTCTGTCCGACATTCGTTGCAGCAATATATCGTGGTTCACCGTGTCGAATGCAGCAGACATGTCCAAAAGGATCAGAACAACTGCCTCCTGCCTATCCATAGCCATATAAGCACACCATTTTGCACTGAAGTGCAGTTTCCGTGCTATGTCCTGCGCGATAAGCTGATTGCAAGGCTCAAACAAGTCGTTTCTTTTTATATGTGCAGCTAGCTGGGCAGCTCGCAGACACTGCTCGCTCAATAACTTGCAAACATATGGCAGGTTTGAAATGGGACGATAGTTTTCCTTGACTCGGTTGGCGAGCCTTGAAGGGGGAAGCTTGCAACAGTGGCATAGCCAGGAATTTTTCAGTGGGGGGGGGGGGGCGCTGGAGGGGGGCTGGAACATTTCATGGGGGGGGGGCGTCATGTAGGGGCGTCAATCGCTTCTCAAAATTGGGGGGGGGACATTCCTTGATCAGAACTGATGCGAGCGCGAAGCCCTTTACGGCGTGGGGGTTCGGGGCCCGCTTAAGGGCCCCGAAAAAAATTGGATTCTAGATGTTCTGTGGTGTGATCTGAAGCAATTTCTTACCACTTTCCTCCATGCTTCAACTAATATTTTCTTAGCAAAAGATAATTATTTGAACATCGTTTTCGAGGTTGGAGTCATTGAATCAGCTATCGGTTTTTGGAGCTATAGGCGTGGGGTTCGGGGCCCGCTTAAGGGCCCCGAAAAAAATTGGATTCTCGATGCTCTGTGGTGTGATCTGAGGCAATTTCTTACCACTTTAACCAATAATTATCTTAGCACAAAAGATAATAATTTAAACATAATTTTCGAGGTTTTCTCAGCAAAAGGCATAAGAACTTTTTTGAACATTGTTTTCGAGGTTGGAGTCATTGAATCAGCTACCAGAATTCTGAGCTATAGGCGTGGGGTTCGGGGCCCGCTTAAGGGCCCCGAAAAATTTTGGATTCTATATGCTCTGTGGTGCTATCTGAGGCAATTTCTAACCACTTTAACCAATATTTTCTAAGCAAAAGATTCATTGTAGTACATAATAGGGCCCTGTAAATGAGACACGAGTTCAAAAATCTGGGGGGGGGGGGACATTTGATATTGTGTCCCCCACCCCATCAAAAAGTGGGGGGGGGGGAACCAGCCCCCCTGTCCCCCCCAGGATTGACGCCCATGGCGTCATGTAGATCAATGATTATTTTTTTAGAAACTCAAAATCTCAGTGGGGGGTGACTGGGGGGCGACAAGGTTTCATGGGGGGCGGTCGCCCCCCCCCCCCCCCCCCCACGCCCCCCGGTGGCCACGCCACTGGCTTGCAATGTATATAGCCTAATCGGTGCCTACATATCCCTACTGGGGTTGTTTTGACTGCTCTCGGACTTCTTCGTTGTTAATGAAGTCATTCCACCTGATGCCCAAGATCTTTCTCATACATTTTGTGTCAAAGGCATCAAGTCTCTTTTCCTGACTAAATTTTAGAAGCCAGGTTTCACAGCTGTTGAGTAAGGTGGACAAAACATTGTAAGAATTGTAGAAACGAAGCTCATGGCGCATACTTTAAAAGAAAAACAATACATATGTAATTACCAAAACGACTTAGATTTAGGTTAGATTTGATTGTAGACAGGGATTTCATTTGACATAGTTCAAGTGGGAGATTGCTCCAAAGTTCCGGGGCAGCATGAGCGAAGGACCGTCGACCCCACGAGTGATTCAGTGGCCAAGTTTAGCTTTGGCCAAGTCATTATACCGTGATGGTACGGTAACTATTTTGGCTGCAAGTTACCCTGCAGATGGCTAGCGATGAACGCCTTGACCAAGGATAAGCTTGGTCTTTAGGGTAAGCTTCTTAATTGCTTGTTCAAATCTTGTTACGCTGGTTGAAGGCTGCACACCTTGTCTACAGCTCATGGTCCATTGTACCCCGGTTGTTGATAGAACTAATTCCCTGGTAAGTGAAGCCTTTGGTGACTTGTTCTTTGTTCTGGCTAATAAGAGACATCATCAGGTGGCCAGTGGTTTCCTATCAGCATATTTTCATGGTCTTCTTGTCGCAGATTAACAGGCCTAGACCACCTGTACTTTGCAATGGCATTCACTACGCCCTGGAGACGTTGCTACATGTATCAGCAAAATCAAGGTCAGTCAGCTTGCTTCCTTCATACCAATTGATGCCCTGTCATTCGTCTACTATACAATGTACTACTTCTACTACGTGGACTCAGGCAGAGAGGGCGGCGTCGAGCGCGAGGAGGAATTCTTCACTCCTCCCTCTCCCTCTCCCGCGTGTTTAGTTCATCTACATTCGCTGCAACTGTCAGTCGTCGCTCTCCTCATGACAAGACCGTCCCAGTCAATTTCCAAAGCAAAGCGGATTGGGGAGAGGATGCAGCCTTGTCGGATGCCGGTTAATTAACACCTGGAAACCAACTGCTGAAACCATCTGTCCTGACACAGCAGCAAGAATGCAAAGGGGACCTGGTATACTTGAGTACACTCTTGTCATTTCTTGCTGATGCGCTGGAGAGTGAAGATCTGTTCAGCGCATGAGCGCTTTTGTCTGATACCTGCCTGATTGCACTCCCCACCAGTTGACACAGTTAAAGATTCCCTTTATTGAGTACAGCACCATCTTTCCAATCGTGAGAGAGTACTCCTGATGAGTTCGACATATAGTTGCAGATTGGCACAACTACCGAACAGATGATGGCTTTCCTTGTTGGGTGTTGATAGGAAAGGTATATACAGGGTCTTTGGGCTGGGCAGAGGTAGTATAGTGTAACGTCAACTGAGTCCTGGGTTGTCACACGCCAGACGAAGGACAACCACAACACTATTCTTCAGGTTTTCGGGGCTCTAGGCCATTTATTCTTGCATGCACTTTCTTTACACGAGGCTCTCTCTTTATACAACTCAAAACAAAAGAACGTTATACAAAATGTCACACCACCGAGCCGGCGCAACCCGGCAACGCCCCCCCCCCCCCCCCCGGCCAAGCACACAGCCGCACGGCGGGTCCGCCCGGCGCCCCCAGTGCCAGTGCTGGTCAGTTTTAGAGCGCCCCCATTTGGAAGATGGGTATCCCCCGCGCTTGATCTGACCAGTCTATGATCTGACGGAGGCCAAGTGTCAGGAGAAAAAAAAACAAGTCTACATATTTCGGCACGAATGTGAAAGTGCAAGATCTTCGAATTCCTTAAGACAATATAGCTTCCTGCAAGTCGCGCTTTAGAGCGAGCAAAGATTAATAACTATAATGCATAATGATTCATGAATCACGGGTATGGTTACCAGCTGGTCGAGATAACGCCCTCTTGCGGCGGCGGGTTATCACGACGGCGGCGGATTTTCAACATCTACGACTTGACCTATTCATCGTGCGTGACATAAACAACTGGTTTTTTCGTCCTCGGTCTCGTGTACGGTAAGACATTGGCATTTAGGGGACAATGTTGCAACCTGACGCCAGCGGTTGTGTACAAAGTCTGTGGAGAGTCAAGAAAATGTTCGTTTCCTAAAAAAATTAATAAATGTTTCTCAGTCATGTGTGTCAGTCTAGTCCCAGATTGAAAAAATTCCATAGGCTACTCGATCGCCACTTTTTTCAATTAATTTTCTAGCGCCAAAAGTTACATCTTTTATGGTTATTCCCTCCACTAGCCCCATATATGTGGCCAATTTATCCGTAAACATAGGCCACACGTCCACATGTACAAAAACGTGTCGCACTTTGTCAAATTTTGATTTTCACATTTAGGATTAGCGGTTTGTAGGTTTTTTTGCTTTAGAACTAGAAGCATACTTACCCTCTTTAGGCCTATAGGCTAATCAGAAAGTGCTGCCTTTTTCAGATGTCTAATTTTTGTGAAATTTCATGTTTAAATTTTGATACGCAAATGTGTGCAAATGAATCTGGAAATTTCTCGAAAAATAGACATCTGAAAAAGGCAGCACTTTCTGATTAGCCTATAAAGAGGGTAAGACCGTAAGTATGCTTCTAAAGCAAAAAAAACCTACAAACTAAGCCTAAATGTGAAAATCAAAATTTGACGAAGTGCGACACGTTTTTGTACATGTGGACGTGTGGCCTATGTTTACGGAGGTAGTCCAGTAAATTGGCCACATTGATGGGGCTATCCCTCCACTTTCCCTCCTCTACTCTCCTCTCTCACCCTCTCCTTTCCTTAATTTCTATTTATCAATCAGTCACTTACTTCATCGAGATTCGAACCTCAGACGCTTGTGTGGCTAGGCCGCACACGATCGCTGTTGCAATAATCAATCTTTGGACGTATTTGAAGTATCCATTGAAATGAACTAAATATTCATGAGAAAATAAATATTCATAATGAGGTATTGCACTATCATTGGCCGGCTCATGCGACGTCATGGTTATCGATGTCATGCGCATAACGTACCGCTGTTCCAGACACTTCAATCAGTTTTGACCGGCTGCCTCAACTTGGTTCTGGACGACGTGTGCATCCAAAAATGTGCTCTAAAAACACATTTGTCCTAATTTTTTTTCACCTTAACACAGCTTCCTGGATTCCTCTTGGTTGAAATCACAATGTGAGGTGACAATTAATATGTTTGGCAGCAGATAAATTGACGATCGAGTATGGAATTTTTCCTATTTCTTTCATATTTTTACCTGATAGATCATAGTACATAGAAGAAGCTGAAATTTCGTTTACATATTCCCTTGTGTCCAGAACTGTGCGTACGCTGGGTTCAGAAAAGAAAAATATGTTTTGTGGGCGGCGTTTTCAGTACGAACTCCCCGCGTGAAGACTTATCATCAGACCTCCTCAAGCTACGCGCTCCTATTTGAGTATTTCTGCGTACTTGCCTTTAACTAGTTATATTTTGCAAGGCATGCATCCTAAAAAATGACTAGGCCTACTTTCACTGGGATCCTATCCTTTGTGCACGAACTTTAACCAGCAGCCGAAATACATACATGTGGAAATTGAAGGCATTACCGGGAATTCAGGCAAAATATGAAAAAAAAATAGGCTTTTTACAGCTAATTACTAAGTACAAATGCAGGCAGATGCTTCCGGGCCTGCAGAAGTCGAAAATATGACCAAAAGGTGACCTTTCTTGGTCTCCTATTATCGTCTGTATTATAGTAAAGATGTCATTGATAAGAATTTGCAGTTTCTACGAGGGTGTTAAACTTACATGTACATGTACGGTGCAACTAAAAAGACACATTTCTTATATTTTTTTGGAATTGGTTTGGTCATAAGTTTTAAAATCCGACATCTTAAAAATTGTCTCTGTTGATTGGGATGATCAGAATAACAATGTCATGGGGATCTACATTTAGTAGGTAAATATGTATCAAATGTATTATGTAAATATATAAATATAGGCCTTAGTATAAATCTCGAAAATAGGATATTGAAAATAATCTTGAAAAAATGAAAAGTGTATTGGCATTGAAAAAAGAAAGGAAAAAGAAAGAAAGTATGTTTGAAAGGCTCAGGAAATATATTTCCTAAAGCCGACAAGTCCAAGTCATTCAAAAAAAAATGTATATATTGAGTTACATGGCCCGGACAGCACATATTTTTCAGAAAACGTCCCCTGCGCAGAATTAGGCAGGATTCTTTTCTACAACGCCAAAACTGCATGCTTTGGAATTCCCCAATTTCGCTTTGTTAATCGGTATGGTGGATGATCGTAAGCCAACAATAAAAGTTTTGTTGAGGAAAAGAGTGGTTCCTTTTTTATTTTTTAAGCTACTTGGTTGCAAAGCCTTATGTGCGCAGAAATACATGTAGGAGGATCGATGCCGTTTGCTGCTGTTTGCTGCCGTGGCGGCAGCGTGCAAGGTGTGCATGCACATGTGCGGGCAATCCTCACATGGGGAGTTCGTACTGCACTGAAAATATTTGCAACGATCGAGTAAATTGCGGTTGATTTTCGGTAAACATGCCACCCGCGGATATATTTGCCTTTTTGGCGAGCTGCGAAGCAGATGCGAGCCTATGTAATACCAATTTCCGTCCGTCTGTCCGGGCGGACGTTCTAGCCAGACGGACTTGTGGGGTGATAGCATTGTGTTCCCATTATCCCTTTTTCTAAAGATTCCCTTCTGGGGTGATGTTTTTCCATTGTGTAAAAAGTGGGGTGATGAGTTCTGAAAGGAACATCACCCCACAAGGGTGGTCTGGTCAGAACGGACATCCGTCCGTCCGTCTGTCCGTCCGTCCACGTTCAGATAAAAATGTTGAAGTTTTTGGTTCTAGTTAACTTGGGGAAAAACTTAAATGCAGTTGTCATGTATCATCTCTATAACTTCAGTTAGGTTCATATCATTGCAGTAAATTTTATGATTTTATTGAGGAACTTTAATTCAAGGAAATGTTAAAGTTTTTAATTGTTACATGTACATGTATACTGGTATAACATGTACGTGTGTGTATACCGGTATAACATGTACATGTACACTATGCATTATGGGGATGTGCATGAGCGTCTGATTTGATCTTTTAGTTTATGGGGTTGGAGTAGGGATGGGGTAGGGGAGGGTGGGGTGGGGTGGGTTGGGGGATAGGGATAGGGTTGGAGTTAGGGTTTGTGTGAGTAGGATGAGTAGGGGAGCTAGGATGGGTGGGGCGGGGTGGGGTGGGGTGGGGAGAGGGGTTGGAATACTGGGTTTGGGTGGGGTGGGGATTTGTAGGGGTGGGGTGGGTACATGTAGGGAGAGACAGGTAGGGAGAGGATGGGCATGGATGTAGGGGTTGGGTTAGGAGGGGGTTGGGCAGGGGGAGGGATATAGGATCGGAGTAGGGGTTGGGTTGGGGATGGGTTGTTGTAGGGGTTGGATAAGGGGAGGGGGAAGTATATAGGGATCAGAGTAGGGGTTGCATGGGGTCAGGTGGGGATGTATGGGTGGGGGAATGGGGTGGGCGGGATATTGGAATTCGAGTAAGGGTTAGGGTGGGGATGTGTAGGGTGGGTAAGGACAGATAGGGGAAGATAGGGTAGGTGGGTGTAGGGGGTTGAGGTAGGTGAGGGTACGGGTCAGTGGAGGGGGAAGGAGATAGGGATTGGAGTTTGGGTGGGGTTGGGATGTGTAGCTGATAGGGTGGGGATGGTTAGGGGATGATGGAATGGGTGTGGGTAGGGGGTTGGGTTGGGGAGGGGGCAGGTTGGGGATGGGGTAAGGTTTTGGGATAGGGTAAGTTTTGGGGGAGGTGGTGATGGTGCTGTGTCTTCATGTACATGTATACCCATTCTTGTTCTGCATTTGTGGCGACTACACAAGAGTTTTCCCATGGTAATACAAGTATGGGGAGCAGAAGACACTGTTGGGGCTGCAAAAATTCACAACTGGGTCCTAATTACCCTAGCAATGGAAAACTCCCCCATAATACAGTGATGGCTAACCTATATACACGTGTATTTATTAGGTAATCTGTTGACTTTTTATGTTGACATTTAAAAACTGACCCCTACGCCTAGGCACATCAACAAGAATCCTTATCCCCTTCCATCATGCCCATCCCCAACCCTACCTTCAGCCTCCCTTCCTGCCTTGGACAGCGAGCCATGGCGGCTTCGCCGTTCTAGTTTAAATCCAGCGTATGCACAATTCTGGACACAAGGAATCTGTAAATGAAATTTCAGCTTCCTTCATCAGGTACAAATATGAAAAAAATGTTTTAGATTTTTTTTTCGCCATAGCAGCAGACTACTTCCACTTCCAGAACTTACAAACCTTACAGAGAGACCAATTGAAGTTGCTGTAGCAGAAAATTCTTAATTTTTTCCAACCTCCAAACTATCCTGTCGTGAAATGTTCAGCCTGAATGTTTCACAAGTATTATCTTGATGTGAATTTGTACATGTATATCTAGGGTAGTCCGAGTAACTGGGACCCAACTTATTGCCTTTTTAACACTCGGAAATGGTCTGGCGATATTAGTACGGTCCAAGCTAAACCACATCACCGGTCGAAACAAAAACCCAGCATTGCCCAACAAAAACATCAGATTTTTACCATCAAAATGGCCTACAATTAACTAGACATACCACCTGAGATACAAGTAGACATCGATGATTAAGATGGTTGTACTTAAGTTTACTTACGATCTGGTGAAAAGTGAAATTTGGACCCAAATTATCACCTTTTTAACATTCGGACATGGCCGGTCTGGTGATATACCTTGTACAGTGTCCGATTAAAAAAAGTGTTGAAGGTTTGAAGCAACAAAAGTGCTCACAATCTAAAGAAAGGTGATAAACAACTAAGCTGATGAAATCTCAGCTCAGCTTCAGCAGTATTTTGAGAAAAATAGCATTCTAGGTTGTTGATTTCAAATCAAAAGTTGCTGAATCATGTTTTGAATTGGGCCTGAATTTAGGGTCCGAGACACGTAAGTTCTCACTGAGCCGATTGCAGCTACGTGATGTCGCGCACCGATCCAACGAGTTATAGCAACTGCGCGCGTGTGTGCGTCATGCATGCCTGCGCGCGCATTGCCGAATTAAAAAACGAACTACTAACGGAAATTTCCAACGGTGCATCTTAAGACAGATCGTTTTAAAGGCCTTTTTTCGTAAATTGCTTCAAAATGACAGCATACCATGAAGAATAATTTCACAGGGATTTTACCAAAATTATCCTTTTTTTATAGGCCCCCCTATTCGTGTAGCAAGAAAGATAATGTGTAAGTCTATTCCTTCTTCCATGCAGTTGCAGTGTCAGTTGGAAAGATGTCATCACAGACTAATTGCGACCATTGTGGAGGTCCATATCAGAAACGTGTTGGAGGGTCTAGCTATCTTCGGTACAGAGTAGGTCTTATGGTAGACCAGGAATCTGCAGAAGTTCTCTTTCCGTTGGTAAATGCGACAGCAGGGTTTGTCTGTCAAAAATGCAGGTCGTTTGCTATGTCCAAGTGTAGGAAAGTGAAGGGACTTGCTATATCCAAGTGTAGGAAAGTGGGACGAAGGACACGGGCAGCATATAGGCTGCCACCCTCAGCAATAGCAAGATGGAGGAGTGGGCTGCCACTCGAGGAAGACCAAGAGCAAGGAACAGAAGCAGTAAGTATGCAAGTACAACTACAAAAAAACCTGCTAAGGCTTTATCATGTGACTTCATGTATATTTTAGTTGACACATTGCTCAAATTTGAATATTTTAATGTCAGAACAGCTAGGCCTACCTGAAATTTGCTAATCTTTTTTTCAAGATTCAAAATTGAGCATGGTGAGTTTTTGAAATGACTGTTGCATTTTCCTAATTGGATTTACATCACGCGACGCAGAAATTCCATCTTATGAAGAGTTAATGCAGTACCCGCTTCTGTGTACATCAGATTCGAACCAGCCAACCAATCCAGTTAGCTTGGTGGTCAAGTGGTAAGACATCTGCACTAGAAAGCAGGAGGTCATGGGTTCAATTCCCACCCGAGTGACTTGGCATGTCACAGGTCTTAAATACAGGGTGAGTAAAAAAAAAAGGAAACCCAAATGTCGGGACCATTTTTTTTTAGTGAAGTTCTGCATGTAGTACTTTCAAAAACTAGGATATGAAAGCCCAATTCATAAACTTTCTTTTAGTACAAAAATCATTCAAATCACTGTATGTACTTGAAGTTATGGAATTCTAAACACAAACAAATCGCATAGGGATGTGTGTGAATTGTTTTCGTTTTGCTGAAAGAACACAGGCCTTTTTTGTGATCCGTGAACAGAACTTTAAAACGGCTGTTGTGTTTAAAACTCCGTAACTTGAAAAGTACATGAGTGATTTGAATGATTCTTGAACTAAAAGAAAGCTTATGAATTGGGCTTTTATATCCTAGATTTTGAAAGTGCTACATGCAGAACTTCATGAAAACAGTGGTCTTGACATTTGGGTTTTCAGGGGTTTTTTTTACTCACCCTGTATTGCAGAACATCCTCTTAGCCTATTCAGGTCTTCAAATTCAAACTTTTTTGAAAATCAGTACATCTTATACAATGTTTAAGCAGTTCCTCGTAACTTCACAAAGCTAATATTTTGTTCTATTATCTATAACAATTTTAATAGGTTCCAACATACGTCTGTGTTACGAATTTGTTTCAGGATTTCCACTTTTGACAATAAAGGGATCTTCAAAATAAGCCTCTCACCACATTGACTCTCCTGCGTGTCTGTCTTTTATCAGTGTGCCCCGCTTGATAGTGGTTCTCCTATGGAAGCAGTTGGATCTCTGCCACCTACAAACAACAGTGATGAGGCTAATGTGATGCCACACAGTCTTCCAGCCCAGCCATTGCTGTATAAAAGAGGAAAAAAACCAACTTACAAGGTATCTTTCAGCTTCTTTATATACCTACAAGGGGTTGACTAGAGGGCGTGCAAGTCACAAGGAAACTATCGACACTGCGGAACTCTGCTACATTGGAGAATTTGCAGGAATTTTGATGGTCAAATGTTGTCCAAGAAGCCAAATCCGTAATGCCCTTCACGATGGTGACTTTGAAAGGGTTGCTACCGTCACTGTCTAGTGCAAGAACAAAGAACACAAGCCAGAAAACACAACTCGGGTTCGTTTTTTCATAGGGACTCTTCTGATTTCTTTTAATTCCCCTGGCTTTTAAGATTGTTTCTGTGTGTCTGTACATGTATGTGCGTGTGTCTGTTCAATTTGTTAACTGTTTTGTGCTGTCATATCCAAAGTCGGACTCCAGTCTTTTGTTGACAATAACCTTTGGGTAGGGGGCATTGCAAACTCCAAAATGATGGCGCCCTTAAACACAAGTAATGAAAATGTAATGCCTAGTAAGCTCTCTCCTTATATTACAGCTTGGCACCGCTTGCTCATTGATATCAACAGATTGGAAAGAATCTTATGATCCAGGCCATACATGTACCAAATCCACTGAATTTGGAGCAACTTGGCTTGAATCGGAAGTGGTGGAGTTGCCCTCCAGTGGATTGGTAGGTCAGGGCTTGGAACTGGCTCTTGCATTACCTGCAAACTCCCAAATGTCCCCCCCCCCCCCCCCCGACTTCTCGAATGAAATCTGGGGTTGGGTCGGCCTGATATTCCAGCATAATCAAAGCAATATGCAGCGGTGCATTGTCCTGCTGAAATGGGAATTCCCGGCCGATCAAACGATGGGCAGAAGAGATCAGAATGCCTTCAACTAGCACCAGCTACAGGCCGATGCCACCTGTGGATTGTTGATTAAGCCGAAGCAACCCCAGACCTTTATTCCCAAACCTTGTACTTCTGTACATAAGTTAGTCCAGGAGGGTTTTCCAACAGCGAGTCCAAGAACCTGTGGAGAGGTGCGTGCATGGTTGCCCATGCAGCCTCCCACTTCCACTGTCTCTGGTCGCTTCCAGTTTCTCCATCCAGTATTGGCTGCAGGGCATCATGCGCTGCAGCCTTGAATGGATGGCTTGATTTCAGCCTCTGTGGTCCAATATCTCCACTGCTTTTGACAATACCATGGAGGAGATGATCCGGACACAGGACTGCTTTGCAACACTGAATATGCTGCTCCCTCGCGTCTGATGGTAGCTGGCTAAATACCAGCAAGGACTGGAGGCTGTTCTACTGGTGTTAATCATAGACATCCAGTGATAGTATGGAGGCAGTTGTTAGGCATATTGACAAGCCGAGTGTGTGCACTGCGGCTTGATGTGGCAGCACAGTATTCAGCTGGTGCATACACCAGTGATAGTGCTGTAGTTCGCAGCACTTTGGTGTTTGCGCCCCAGGAAGTGCCAACTAGCTGTCGTAGGAGGAGGGCAGCGCGAATGACACTTTGTCCCTCAGTCCTTCTAGATGTTTCCGATAGGTAAGGGACCGGTCCAACTTGACTCCCAGGGTAGGTGGGGCATGGGTCGAAGGGCAGGCGGGTTCCATTGAGCTGGGTGTACAGCTCGCGGGAAGCTTCCCTGTTGTTGTGGTGGCACGCTGCTGAGACTGTTGTTGCACTGCTGAGCAGAATTCGCCACTTATTCAGGTAGGACGACAATGTACATCCTGGTTGAGATTACACAAATATAACATGGTTTGAGGGTGGACAGTCGATATTTGCTCCCCGAGGTATTGAAAGTTGACAAACTAGTTTGTCAACTTTCAATACTGAGGGGAGCTAATATCGGCTGTCCACCCGAAATAAACCATGTTATATTTGTTTTACTGTACCTCCTACATATTCAGCGCCAATTTGTTTGTTTTTTCGTTGCAGTATGCACCTCAAAAAAAACTTTTAAAAACTTGTCCAGTTCACCAAAAGAATCGCATTGCTCAAATTCACTAGTTCAGTTTGTTTACAATACAGTGCAGCTGTAAATACAGTAGTTTGTGTACAATGATCTTTGGTACAGGATGAATCTCTTTTGTCTATAAATATTCTCTAGTTCGGCATCATTGAGCTCAAGAAAATAACAATTGCTTTGTAAAGCGCATGCGTAGTAGACTGTCTAACGGGTAACCCATGCGACAGTCCTGTGCGTGAAACCTCGCGCATGCTTAGTAAACAGCAAAAATAACATCTGGCTCGTGATGGTGAATTGACCAGTAAGAGTTCGGCTCATGATCATAAATATGTATGAGGTAAAGTAATGCAATCTATTCTCTCCCATCTGTTGCTAGTCAACTGGATGGCAAGGTCGTCGGCATAGGCATATTTGCTTAAGATAGTCTGGGGGATGTCTTGCAGGTAGATGTTGAATAGCATTTGCTCTAGCACTGAGTCCTGTGGGACTCGCTCACTGTACTGCATAGACATCTGGGGTCCGTCGCGCTGATCTCCTGTGTCCGCGGTTTGTAGCCTGGTTCCAGAGCCTGTCAACCTTCGGTCCCAGTTGCTCGACCCAGGATGTCCTTGGTGGGCCTTGGGGTCTTGACCAGCCAGGTGCTGGGGGAATTCTGCCTCTGCCGTTAATGGCGATATTAAGTGCCTTCTTTGCCGGGATATCGTTGGCGAGGCGGGCAGTGTGACTGAAGAGAGCCTCTCTGCGGTGACGGACAAGATGTCCAATGGTGGATTGTTTGGTTCTTTGGGTGACTTCTGCATTGGTGATATGGTCATACCAACGGATCCCGAGGATGATCCTTTGGCATCGTTGGTGAAAGGCATCGAGTCTTCTCAGATCGGTCTGGAGGAGTGTCCTTTGGGACACCATTCCTCAAATGCCACAGGCAACTTTGTTGATCATGGCTGGTCCGCAGGACGAAGTTCCCTTTGGAAATTAGCTCCATGATGAACTGGACCATGTGCTTGTCAGCAGCAGTACTCAACAGCTTGTATGCCAGATCTCAGTGCCACATGGTATCATAGGCGGCCGACTTCGATTTGGTCTGGAAATTATCTTCGATGTCCTGTGTCCAAATTTTTTTTTTACTTGGTCCACTGTTGACCTGCCGTGCCTGAAACCTGCCTGCTCTGGAGGAAATTGATGCTCGATAACAGGCTCCAGGTGGCTGTGGATCATGCTCTCCAAGATTTTATATAGAACGTGCAGCAGGGATATCAGTCTGTAACTCTTGATGCCATCAGATAGCTTGTTCAGCTTCTAAATGGCAATTACTGTCGCTCTTCTCGAGATCTTAGGGGTTCTGAGTTGTCGCATGCATGAGGAGAAATATCTTCCTAGCCATGCGAGGGCATCTTTCCCAGAGTGCAGGATGAATTAAGGACGGACGAGGTCCAGACCCGGAGCGTTATCACCTTTTAGCTGGCGGATGGCGTCTCTGACTTCAGATGGTGTGAATTAATGTCAACGCCAGGGGATTACCACAGCTCTGACAAACTTTTCGTCAGTTCCCTCTGGAATGACCTATCACGATGGTTGTGCCAGCCATTCTTCACAAGTTGTGAGGCAATGTTTGTTGGCTGAGACTGGGCACTTGCCTGGGGCTGCTTTTCCTCCGCCAGTGTGCGCCAGGCCTTCATGCTGGAGTGGGTAAAGTCCACAGATTCAACCATTTCCATCCAACGCGCTTGGCGCTTTTGGTCCAGATGGTCCATCAAGGTATGCATCAGATGCTGATTGACTGTCTTCTGCAGTGGTTGAATCTTTAAATTGATCGTATAAGGCTTGGCATTCTTGGTCCTAGCATGGAATGTAGTTCTTGCGACATCCCTGTGAGATCACCTTTTGTCCACCATAGAAAATAGTGAATTAGTACATGTATTTGTGTTCAATTAGATTCATGACTGATGTATATTTTCAAATTTAAGGTTTCAACAAAAAGACGCACATTGGCTGCCATTGTGGCTGACTCCCCACCACCCAGAAAGCCACGTGCACTGAAGAGACTAAATAAGAATATCGAGCAAGTAAGTGACGTACCCCACCCACTTGTCAGTGATGTCTCTGTGTGCAAAAATCTTCACCAATACGGTGTATTAATCAAATCATCTCTGGCTTTTTAAAACATTCCTTCCACACGGAAATTTACATTTCAGGAAGAGCACTGTTTAAATTTCTCTTCTGTATTTGGCAATTTAAAGCAAATATTAAAAGATAGCATCAATTTTTACCGCTCAGCTGAGAAGCTGGAGGGGTATCGCCTTCGGCATCCGTCCATTGGAACATTGGTCCACCCGTTGGGTTAAAAATGAGATTTCGGTGTCTAACTTTGGCAGGGGCTTGCCCTTGGGTACAGGCAGCTTACCTGTAGTTTCCAAATGATAACTTGAGTTTAGAAACGTTGTTTAAGATTGTGACTTCGGCAGAGGGTTTCCCATTGGATGTAGATAATTTGGTTTCTGATTCGATTTTTAATGGTTTCTGGATTATAACTCGAGTTAGAAATGAGATTTTAGTGTCTAACTAGGGGGTTTTCATTGGTTACACATAAGTTAGGATTGGTTTGGGGGTCAAAGGTCAAGGTCAACATGATGAGTTTAAGGTTAATGGTTTCCTAATGATAATCGAGTTAGAAATGAGATATGGGTTTCTAACTTCAGTAGGGGGTTGCCGTTGGGTACGGGCAAGTTGGGATGGATTTCGGGATTCAAAGGTTAAAGGTCAAAGTCACAGTGGTGAGTTAAATGTTTATTGTTTCTGGATGATAACTTGACTCCCGCTGAGGGGTTTCAACAGTGACGCTGTGACGCTGTTTCAACAGTGACGCTGTTACTTTAAGACACAATTGCAGAAAACCCCGCCACTCAATCTATGTACCTCGTAGCTGGCTACGGAGTCACGACTGATTGCCCACAACAAACCCTCTCAGCGCTTTACCTGTAAGTACTAGGCACTCGTCATATTCCACTGCACTCCCACTCTGTATCCGCGTAGCCGGCAACAGGGTAGTTGGTTTCGATTTAGAATTTTTCCAGCAACCCCCATTCCTTTTGCATTGCTTCGTTCTCAAGAGGACCCCCACTTAGTATCTGCGTAGCTGGCAATGGACTTGAATTGTTTCTTTTGTAGTGATTCCAACTGCGTAGCCAGAGATTTCAGGGGTGTATTTCAGGGTGGCGGGGTATTCTGTAATTACTCCTATTTTAATTAGAATAACTAGACGTACAAGGTACAGCACATCATTTGCAGCTATCCAAAATGGAACTGACAAAACTATTGTTGAAACGCCTTCTTGGTTTAAATATAGTAATATCAATAACTCCCTCTGAAGTACTGCTGTCGTTGTTAAGAAAACACTGGAAGAAGGTCTTCCCCAAAGAGGCATCTCAAGATGCATTTTGGGATTTTTTTTTCTCAGTAAGTCGCTTTTTTATTTGGCGACTGGTTCAAGCATTGCCACAACGGACAAAGTACAATTCGTTGGTTCAGTGTGTGGCATAGCGTAGCAGTCATCTGAATGAGAACATGTCTCAGACGCTGATTTTGGGTGCAATTCAAAACATGAATCGACAACTGATAGAATCAAGCTCCTAGAATACTGTTTTCCCGGAATATGTAGCATCCACTGAGATAAAGCTTCATCGGGTTAGTTACAACCCTTCATCTTCAGCATTTTTGTTGCTTGAAACGAAGGAATTGCACAAATGACAAATAATGTAATCTGTCTTAAATTCAAAAGAAAATAATACATCAATATCTTTTCTAAACTGAAGGAACATGACTATGCAAAGATGGTGGCTTCGGTGAGGGAAAGCGACAACCTGAAGAGCAAATTAGCCACGCAAAAAGAGGTGAGTGACACAAAGAAAAGGACCTAGAGAATAGAGAAATCCCTCACATCTTTGACTGACGAGTTTCTGGAAATGAAGCACATCAGCGAAGACCAAAAGAAATTATTGACAGAAAGGTATTCCAGTGCAAAATCCTTTCTAGCTGCTAACACTATTGCTTCTGTTCTGGGGGGGGGGTATTTTTTTTATTTATTTTTTTTTGGTTCTTTCTTGCTTGATTAAGCACATTTGTCCATAAATTTTGCCCACATTTTCTTCCAACCCTACATTTTGGCATTTTCGTGAATCCGATGGACCTCAGACTTTGACACATATAGACAATTATCTAAAGATGGAGCTAGATGTTCCTCACAAGTTCGTCCGACTATCATAGATACAGAAAACCATAGATTCATGAAAAAAGATATCTTTTTTTTTTTAACGTGGTGCGTTTTAAAAAGGGAATGTTCAACATTTGCTTTTGCTGCAATTTTCAGAAATATTTGGACTTGGAGGATTGGTATGTTATAACAAATACGTTACACTGACTTGTTTCATGTTTTGGGTTCATAGATGCAGGAAAAACCAAGAAAACCAATCATATTCTTGTAGTCTTGTTCCCTGAACCCCACTTAAGATGAAACGGATCAGTTATAGACTTTGGGGAAATTGTAAGGTCAGAGAATCAGTCTAGCAAGCTTGTACCTCTTCACAGGTGTGTAATCAATTGCAAAGCAAATGCAAACACACTAAATATGAACAAGACTTATGTTTTTGGACAAACACAGGGCTATTTCGGTTATTTTTTGTGACATATGACATACATGTATAAAGTTTCAAATACATGTATAAGTTCCATCCTGGAAGGATGTGTAGTTCTATTTATAACTGGTGGCATATAATATGTGATTACATTCTCATCTCTTTACATTATGACGTCATCATGTCACATGTGACGTCACATCAATTTTCATCTATAACTATATTTTTGTTTGTAAGTAACAACTTAGCCATAGCATACATCATTGAAAGCAAGTTCACATCTTTCACCAATTTTAAATTACAAGGCACTTCCGGTTTCAACCGGAAGAAAGGGTCACGTGATTTTGCACATACTATAACAAATGAAGACCCTGGATTATTCTATCGATTCCCGCAAACGTCAAGTTCAGGTCTCTCACAGTTGATTTTATATTGATTTTCAAAGATTAAATCTATTAATTTTTAACCTGACGTCATGTGATCCATGGATGACGCCATCGTGACGTCACTTCAATTTTCATCTATAACACATCCCGGTTAAGGTACATACCAAGTTTCAACCTTATCGAACCTGCATTTATGGAGATAGAGGCCTTCAAAATATGGACCAATATTGTGACGTCACATGTCATGTGATGACGTCATCGTGACGTCACTTAAATTTTCATCTACAACACATTCTGGTTGAGGTACATACCAACTTTCAACCCAATCGGACCCGTAGTTCTGGAGATATAGCCCAATCTGTCAGATCTAGCCGAATTCTGCTAGAAAATGGTCACAAAAGAAAAATCGCATATAATGTGACGTCACGTGACTCATGATGATGTCACGATAATGTCAATATTCGGCACACAACTTCAGATACTGGTTGAAGTGTATGCCAAGTATAAAAAGTGTATGCCAAGTATAAAGTCAACTGGATTGATTTTGGTGCCCAAAGTGCCGGTAGCAAAAAAACGTGTACAAATGCTATGGACAAAATGATTGGAAAAAAAAACAAAAACAAAAAACTAGAGGTTTATGTCTGTTCAATCAACAGAACATATGGCTTTTTCGCATTGTTGATTGTTGTTGTTGGTTGTTGTTGTTGATTGTTGATGTTGATTGTTGATGTTGATGTTGATTGTTGATTGTTGACGTTGATTGTTGATGTTGATTATTGATGTCGATTGTTGATGATGTTTCTTGATGATGATTGTTGATGTTGGTTATTGATGTTGATTGTTGATGACTGTTGATGTTAATTGTTGATTTTGATGTTGATTGATGATTATTTGATGCTGATTGTTAATGTTGATGTTGATGTTGATTGTTGATGTTGATGATGTTGTTGTTGAATGTTGATGTTGATTTTTGATATTGATTTTTGATGTTGTTGATGATTGTTGACGTTGATTATTTATGTCGATTGTTGATGATGTTTCTTGATGTTGATTGTTGATGTTGGTTATTGATGTTGATTGTTGATGATGATTGTTGATGTTAATTGTTAATTGTTAATTGTTGATTTTGATTGTTGATTGTTGATGTTGATGTCGGTTGATGATTATTGATAATTGATTGTTGATTAATGATTGTTGATGTTGATTAATGATTGTTGATGTTGATAGTTGATGATTTTTGGTGTTGATTGTTGATTTTGACTGTTGATTTTTGATTTTTAATTGTGGATTGTTGATTAGTTGATGGTGATTGTTGATGTTGATGTTATGTTTATATGTGTTTTCAACTATCGCATTTTCATGACGTCATGATGACGTCACATTCTTTTCAAAATTTTGTGTATACTTATTCCCTATCAAACCAAATAGAAAAAGAATTTTGAATTTTGCATCTTGCGTTCGTGTGATATGGCTTAAAGGTCCAACAATTCATAAAATCATATAAAATTGCATGATGACGTCATTATGACATCATTTCAATTTGTACCTATAACACATCCCGGTCTACCTACATACCAAGTTTCAACCCAATCAGACTTACCCTGCTGTAGATATTGGGCTTTGAAATATGAACTTTTAAGATGACGTCACGTGACCCATGATGATGTCATTAAAACAATACTTGGCGGTGCTCATTATTGTTTTGTGGATTTAGCCTGTACCAAGTTTGAAGCGACTCAGATGAATAAAAGTGTTAAATTTTGTAAGGCCAAAAAAAAAAGTCTCCGGTTTCTGGTATGCGCACGTCGCCGTAGCCATGTGCGTCGGCAAAACGAAAAAGGTTTTTTTTTCAATGAAAGATGATGTCTCAAAACCGCCAAACTCACTGGTTTGACTGGAATCCTGCTGCTGCGCAATTTCAACGTGTTTTTAGATGGGGTTATGATCGAGAATAAGCTTTATGTGGCCTCTCTGGACTCCCATATATTTGCACTAAGTTTAGTCGGGCACCATTTGCAGTCATCAGCTATATTTGAAGCAAAAAAGTCGGGTAAAAAAAAAAAAAAAAGCCGCGTCGCCGCACCACTTTTTGGACAAGCTCCATACCAGAAACCGGAGACTTTTTTTTTGTCCTAATCAGAATGAAATTGTAAATATTTTAAAAATCGTTAAAAATCTGTCGATGACGTCATCGTGACGTCATTTCAGATTTTGTGCACTGGTACAATTATCTACCCACCCACCAAGTTTCAGTACGATCGGACATTCCCTTATATGTGTTTTACAAAATCACAGTTTTGATGACATCATCATGACGTCACACATTTTTCAAAATTTTGTGAATATATACCTATTGCTTAACAAACCTAATACAAAAAGAATTTTGAATTTAGCATATTGCATTCGTGAGATATGGCTTCGAGGTCCAAAAAGTCAAAAATCGATATCAAATCACACGATGACGTCATGATGACGTCACCTCAATATTTATCCATAACACATCCCGGTCTACCAACATACCGAGTTTCAACCCAATCCGACTTATAGTTCTTTAGATATAGGGTCCTAGAGTTTGCACATTTCAGATGACGTCATGTGGCCCATGATGACGTCATGATGACGTCACTTTTCCATGCATGAGTTCACTGTGGGTTCTGACTCTGTGCCAAGTTTCATTAAGATTGAAGTATGTTCAGGGTCAAAAGTGGGGTCCAGAATAAAACATGTGCAAAGTCAATGGGATTTGGGATAGAAGAACAAGAAGAAGAAGTAAGAAAAATAAAATCAGAGCAAAAACAAAGGCTTTTTCGCTGATGGCGAAAAAGCCACACAAAAAATCTTAAAGAAAACAAAGGCTGTTTCTGCTGGTTGCCGAAACAGCCAAATATGAGGAGCAGTTTTTGAAAAAAGGCCAGTTTTCTCCAATGCTGGTCGGCCGACCAGCGTTGGAAAAATACAGTTTTTCTTGAAAATGTCAGCACACCAGGATCCACTATTTTACAGGATGCTTTAGACTGTCATTCCCTTACAATCTAGTAAGGTATTTTGTGATAATTTGATCATTTCGTTTTTTTTATGTTTGCAAATGTTGTATTTTCCCTTTAATATTGCTAGAAAACCATTTTAGCCTATTTTAGACTTCAAATACAACTTTAAAGAAATTCAGTGCACCTTATTTAATTTTGCGATGCCATTGTAAAAAGCAATTCCCCATAGAAAAATTGTTCAGAAAGCTGCCCATCTTTTTGTGATGGTTCAAATTCAAGCTGACCTACTTTTACGCCCTTCTGTGGAAATTTTTTTCAAATAATTTCTAATTGTGAAGTTGTGAACAATATTTTAATTGGTTCAAACATACATGTATTTCTGTGCTAGTAATTTGTTTCTGACTCAGCTTTTAACGATATCATTGCTGCTCTTTAAGGGATCTTCAAAATAAGCCACTCCCCACATTGACACCTCTTTTTCTGTTTATTTTATCAGTGTGCAAATCCCTTTGGTAGTGGCTCTACTATGGTAGCAGTGGGATCTCTGCCACCGACAAACAGCAGTGATGAGGTTAATGTGATGCCACACAGTCTTCCAGCCCAGCCATTGCCGTATAAAATTCCAAGAAGAAAAGCAGCTCACAAGGTGCATGTACCTTTCAGCTTCCAGGACCCTTATATACCTACAAGGGGTTGACTAGAGGGCTGATTTCCAAGTTGTATATACTCATTGTATTTCATTCCTTCTTTGTTTATGAATCTTTTCTTTGGTTCCATTTGTGTTGTTTGGTCATTCTCCTCACCTTTGGACTCCAGCAGTATTTCAGTTTGAGTGATGCCAATTTGTTTTCCAGAAAGACGCCATCAACAGCGCAAGAAAGAGTAACTATAGAGAAACCCTGGAGCATCTATGGTGCCTGAAACAAGGAAGGCAGGCTATCATTGAATTTGTCAAGCATAAATTGAAGGAGGAGTTGAGAAGTGTGCAAGGCACAAGGAAACTATCGACACTGCACAAGTCTGCAACAATGGAGAATGTGCAAGAATTTCGATGGTCAAATGTTGTCCAAGAAGCCAAATCCGTAATGCCCTTCACGATGGTGACTTTGAAAGGGTTGCTACCGTCACTGTCCAGTGTAAAAAGAAAGAAAAGAAAAGGCCCTAGGACAGAGCGGAAGTAAGTTAGTTCATAAAGACTCTTCTGATCCCTTTTTATTGTTTAATTTTGTAGCCATTTTGAAGCTATTTTCATTCAGACAACTTCTTGTGTATTTGCGTAGACATGAAGTTGTCTGATTGAATCTAGCTTCAGATGGTTTGTTTACAATTCTCTCTCTCTATATCGGTGATCAGGAAGTTGACGACCAGAGAAGCACGAGCGGTGTGGAATCTAAAGGCTGGTAACATCCTGGCAATTCTGCTGTTTATGTGGAGACCAGATATCTACAATCTCTGGCAATCGGTTCTTGGAGTTGAAATGTGGCATCAAGGTGCAACTCAAAAACTTATAACCATCTTCCATCGTCTTGGCCTGTGCCAAGCAGTGGTGACAGTTCGAAGTAAGGTGAACCAGATCTGTACTCTCTACGACAGAGAATTGATGGAGAAGGCTGAAGTTGCTGTAAGTAATTTTCCTTAGGACAGTCATGGTGTTTGCTTGGAGACTTTATAGAGACATGTGGGAGTGGCAAAGGGGGGTGGCCGAGCAATCCTCAATGTGGCAATTTTAGGGGTACTTTTTGCCACATTTGCCGAAACGGCCTTTCTTTTTGTTAAAATGTTTGTTTTTGTTGGGGTGTTGGTTTGTTGGTTGTTTTTTTTTTCAGACTTCTGCCCATAGCATTTGTACACGTTTTCATAATGGCCAGCACTTTGGGCACTAAAATCTACCTGATTGCCTTTAAACTCAGTGCACGCTTAGACCAGCACCTTAAGGTGTGTGCCAAACATTGACGTCATCACGAGTCATGTGTCGTCAGAGTATAGGTGCATATTTTGAAGGCCTCTACAACTACAGGTCCAATTGGGTTGAATCTTGCTATGTACCTAGACCACAGTGCTGTAGTACTCGTACTTGGTACTCGTACCCAAGTATTATTTGAGTACTTTCTTGGAGTACTCATACTGGTACTCGAATGTCAAAGTACTCATACTCAAAATGACGGTACTCGTACTCGGACAGCAAAGTACTCATACTCGACATGTCAAAATTGTACCGATTATCAAAGTACTCGTACTCAAATAGCAGTACTCGGGGGTGGGGGGGGGGGGGAAATGGTATAGCTTGACTTACCAGGGCCTTACTTTATAGACACTTTCAGTTTGTAATGGTTTACTGGCTTGTGGCGAAATCAGAGTTTCCTGATTTTCCCTTGTGCACATTGAGCAGCTAGCCATGAGTGGGTCTGTATATCGGTCTGACTGGGCCCAGGCCAATAATGTACAATTTGCTGTATGTCTGTTTTGGAAATACAAGTCCTCATACTCATACAAGTACTCGGAAGTACAAGTACTAATACATGTATTCGTAGGTACAAGTACTCATACTCGGAGATCTGTACTTGTTCTCGGAGGTACAAGTACTTGTACTTGGCAACCTAAGTACTCAGTAGTACACGGGAAAAAAGTACTCTACTACAACACTGCTAGACAGGATGTGTTATAGATGAAAATTGAAGTGACGTCACGGTGACGTCATCACGTGACGTGATGTCTGAAGGCCTATATCTACAGCACTACAGCTTCCTACTTGACAACTCTGATAATGTAGTCTGGTAGAATATCTCAACTTAGGTGACTTGCAGGTATTTCATTAGTGGTTTATTGTTATGTTTATTAGTAGAGCGGACATTGTTAGGTAAATACCAATATAAAAGCTTTTTCATAATTATACCTAAGACACTTTACCAATTCCCACTGGTCGAGAGTCTTGAACAGTTGATAAAACGCTGGCTGGTTTTAAACATTTTCCAGTGTCGTATGAAATTTGCACTTTACCTTTCAGCGGTTAAGCGTTCACAATTTTCACTTAGGAGTATTGCCAATAAGCCCTTATTTACAAAGTCTTTATTTCACTGCGCTCGTCTTACCCGTAAAGCATTTCTGCATGTGCATTAATTGCTAGCAGTCAGGCGGCTTAGACCCAATTTTTTAACAAGATAGTGACCGACTGGTCCAAAGCACCAAACTTATTGATGCAACAACACCACTACGGTGTCCTACATCAAGCGGTAAGGAGGGACGCACTCTGCAAGCCTATGCATAGCTATGCCTACTCACGTGGCAGCATTTGTGTCGCGAGCATGCCATCTTTATCACAGTGGTCCATCTGATCTAGTCGGCACAGACAATACCCACAGCAGACGCTCTCTCCCAGGACTGGATTCGCCCCATAGAATGGAAACTTCCAACCTTGGTCATGCAAACAATCTTCTCACATTTGGATCATCCTCTAATGGAACTTTTGCAACAGTCCTCAACTGCAAGCTCCCGGTGTACTGTTCCAGATCCCCTGAGCCCCAGGCATGGTAAACTAATGCCCTCTCACTTTGCATTGACCAACCTGTTTGCCTAAACTTCTCCCCAAGCTACTACCCAAAGTAGTCTGGAAGATCGAACAGGATCCATACAGGGTCCTCCTGATTGCCCCATTTTGGCCCCAATACCTGTGGTTTCCACAACTTGTCTGCCTTCTCTACCTTCCTCCTCCCACAATGGCCAGACATTCTTCATCAGCCCTAGGTTTCAACCCATCGGGCAAGCCTCCTTGCGATGTGCTGGCAGTTGTCCAGCGTTCCTTCTGACATGTAGGACTTAAAAAGAGGCTGCTGCTATTGCGGTGTCAGTCAACCCAAACTGTTCATGACAGTTGATTACGACTTTCTGTAAATGGTGCAGACAGCATGTAGTGTATCCCCTCGCTGCGATTCCAACCAAAGTTGTTGATTTTCTTCTCCAGCTCTTCCCTTTGGGTGTAGCAATTTGCACTGTGAAGAACTATCACTGATGTCTGATTGCACCACACTCACACACCTCCTCAGGCAGGACACCCCTACCATCATGGATCTTGGAATCTCTCGCCCGACCCCCTTTTGAAACTGTGGACCAAGCTGCTCATTTGAACATTTCTTTGAAACAGCCTTCCTCCTGACAGCAGCCACAAGCTGCTGCATGAGTGAACTCCAGACCCTGACTATAGGCCGAAGGCAATTAATAAATTATTAGTATCTTGTGAAACCCCCTTCCCCTTTTTATATGAAACTTAACCCATTAAAAAAACTGGCACTTCTTATTGTCTACTCTCGTGCAGCACAAAAACAAATGAAAAGAAAAACATGAACAAAAAGGGACCTCTACAAAATTTGATCCTCCATTTTATTATTCCCTCTCATAAAAAATGGGGAAATAAAAGCAAGCTAAAAGCAGTTTCCACACCATCATAACCTAAAGAATAAACCAAATTAACGAAAAGGTCAAGAACAACTTGCCACTAAAGTGAACTGCCAGCATGGCCAGGGATTAATAAGGACAGGTCCATGTCCAACAAGGCACCACTAATCCTGTAATTGATCTGTTGTCTGACTGTGGCCATTGATGCCCCACAGTTCATGTCACCACACAAGATAGCGCCGTGTGCGTTGGGGCAAACATGCAAGTCTCCCTCTTTGGTTTGAACCGTCCCACACTCACACAATAACACAAGCAGCTCACGGTAAATGAACCAGGGCTATTTTGCCTGTCCGCCTTAAAGTGGGTTTAACATTGTTGGCTAAGGGCTCACGCTTCTTTCTCTTTCTTGCCACTGGGCAATACCCAAAGTTTTTACGTAAGTAAAATGATCCATTCCTAATTCTGGTTTGAATGTTCCAGAATGTTCCAGATGCCACAGTCATGAACGTTCCAGATGCCACAGTCATGAACGTTCCAGATGCCACAGTCATGAACGTTCCAGATGCCACCATTATGAACATTCCAGATGCCACATTCATCAATGTTCCAGATGCCACAAACATGAATGTTCCAGATGCCCCAGTCATGAATGTTCCAGATGCTATGCAACAACCTCCTGATACCAGACTCAGCATCAAAGGCATTCTTACATCAGTAAGTATAATCAAAAATACTAAGTATGTATGCACAGCTATGTGGGTTGTTCTTCAGAATTTTGAGTGACTTTCGGACCCCATAGGCAAAATGTCAAGGTTTTCATTTTTGAAGACAAATAAAATAATGACATCATGATAACTCAACTTGATTTAAAAAACGTATTTGTTGTAGGTTTTGATTATTCCAAAAATTCATATTTTTATTTCTAGGCCTTTTTCAAGTCACAAAGGATTCGCTTTGGAGAAATGTATTACTTACACCGTACGGCTGAAATAATGTTAGGCCAGTTAATTTTGTTGATTTGTGTATTTCAGGCTAGTCCAGTCAGTATGCAATTTGCTTTAAATCACATGGATTGACTTCCCAACAACAAAAAGAAAACTTATTCATGGATCATAGGCATCAATCAATGCAGTATGTAATAAGCTTAAAGCCGTGTCCGCACTGGACTTTTTTTTTGGAAGGTTTTACCGAGACGATGGTAAAATGAGAAATGGTCAAATGTGACCACTGTCCGCACTTGGACTTTCGACACGGGAAAATTTACCCAGACCGCGTGGGAGAAGTAACCGAGCTGTCACAGTGTCAGTATAATGACTCACCGTACACAGAAAACAAATTGCCGATCACATTTTCAGCCGCATAATCTTTACACGATATTATTTCATATTGACACGCTAAATCTTGACGAAAAGGCCTATAATTCTGACGCATTTGTGATGCACGTCGTCGAAGCCATGCCACTGTACGATGTTCCGTGCGGCAGCAGTGCCATCAGTATTCGTTGGTTCCCATCGCATGCTTACAGAATCGAAGCTATGATGTGGGCCAGGAACCAGTGACTACGGCCTATGTACGGTACCGGACCATGATGTTCCGTGCATGACTACAGTAGCGTATCAGGGTGAATTTGGATCGTAGAAAATAACATACATCGGTGGAGAAAGAGAATTTCCGCAAACTTATTATTCTCAGAACGTGATCTCTCTTCTCTGTGTATGTATTTTAACGAGATTTTACTGCTCGGACTTGATGATACACCGCAGCGTGTTTCTACAAAATGTTCGGCCACTGCACGTGCAGGTTCGTGCGGTCTCTGTATGCATAACAGGGCGCTCGGGCCGGATTTACGCTTTCCTGAGCCGCTTTTACCGACTCGCACTGTCCGCACTGGACTTATCGTCTCGGGAAAAGTGACCTGGTCAGTTTTCCTGGGCGCGTGGGAAGTTTTCCTGGGCGCGTGGGAAGTTTTCCTGGGCAGCAGTTGGCCAGTAAAAGTAACCGCTGGACTCAGGAAAAGTAACTGAGAGGAAAACGTCCTAGGCTGTCCACACTGGACTTAAAATGGGAAAAGTACCCATAGTCTCGGTTAGTTTGACCAAAAAAAGTCCAGTGCGGACAGGGCTTAAGGGGGAAATAGCAATGTCCATGAACATTCCATGTGACCCAGGTAAGCTAATGTTAAAAGAGTGGTGTCATGTCAAGGGAACAGTTGCAGGGCATTTGTGTTTTTGACACTACTTTTCTTGTTTGCTCTTATTCAACATGAAAATACATGTATTAATGTATTTTTATTAACAGGTATCACGTTTAAAGTTGGGTAACGGCAGGAAACACAAGACGCTACAGATCTGTGCTGACCAGCATTCCAAAGACAAGATTGTTGTCATCCTCTGGGAGAATGCAGCTACTCAAGACATGCCTGGACTCAACTCAGCTGTGACAGTCACAAATGTTGCAACCAAGATGTGCTCAAACAGGATGACCTTCAATTCAACAGAGGAAACACACGTCAAGGTACTCTCCATTTTTCATTTAAAAAAACAACAAATTGCTCTAATTAAAAGGTAAATAAAATTATTGTACATCGAAATGTCCGAAAAAGGCAAAATAATGAAATACTTGACAAATTCAATCAAAGAGGGTGCTCTTCAAGTAGGGCACAAGAGGGCGCTGAGCACAGGCGGCTTAAAATCATTATAGCCAGTATTCCGGTTGCCAAGGCTCTGCATGGAGCGTTGATCAGGAAAGTTTGACATAACTGGGCATCACACACAGGGCAGTGAACTGATTGCGCCCCCCAAAAATATCACATTTTTGAATGTTCTAGTGTTAACAGATTTATGCTCCGTATGATTTAAATGTTAAATTATAATAGTAGAACCTATCGTAAACTTAATATCAGGGAATTAATTACCGTTACTGATTCAGAAACATCAGTATGGGTCACTGGTAAAGTTTACCTAAAAGTCATTGAAAAATTGTTCTAAAAGGCCCCCAAATCCATTGACTTTCTTTCCAGGAACCCTTACAAGTTATTTCACGATTAGTTGAACACTTCCAAGTATATTCTGAATTTCAGCTTCATATTTTGTTGAAATAACTTGTGTTACACCTTCTACTATCACCAATTCAAGGTATATTTTGACTCAGATTTTTGCTCTCAGCAAAACAACACATGATCTTCTGGTACATAACGATCGATTTGGCTGAAATAATATGAAAAATTTGGCTGCAACGGTGACTTAACCCGTTATTAGCATATTCATAGTGACTCCATGTGACTTCGCATGGGTCTCGCTATGGACCAGTGGGAGCTCGCCAAAAAGTTTGATAATTATTAATAATTTGTGAAAGGGGGGGATCATACAAATGTTTACTGCACACTATATACGAATAGGAATCGTATTACTATTTGTGAGGATTATATTGCAAGCACCATTTGTTACAGCTTTGAAAAATGGACATACCCAAACCTATTTTTCAATTTGAATGAAAAATATTAAACATATCAAAACAATTTTCAGCACATAGTTGGACCATTTTTAGGGAATCAAACTCCGAAAGTGGCATGAAGTTTTTGTGTTCAAAACGGGGGAAATTTTTCATATGGTTTTGCCCCACAAACATATCTGTGTATCTGCATATCTGCGTAACAGTAATTTCAGCTTCATTCAAAATAAAGTGTTATGTAATGGGGCAAAATCGGCCATATCAACCGAAGACTGTACAGATTACGAACAATTTCTGTGGATCCAGTTATGATTGTTACAGTGCTTGTATTTTTGAGAATTTTTTTTTTTTTACAAATTGCACATAAAAACCACTTGAACTATTCTGAAACGGTTCAACATCCACATACAGACATTGTCAAGAACGTCCACACATTTCCTTTCTCTACACAGCCAGATGACCAGTGCACTACCAAAGACATTGCAGTCACTTCCTTAGCTGAAGAGAGGTAATATGAATTGACATTTTATTGTATACAGTTATATACGTCTTTAATGTTATCATTATGATGAGATAATACTTCCTAAGCTCCCTCCCCAACTCACCCCCAATAAAAAGACACATACATTTAAATGGTTTTGTTCCTCATTAATTTGAACCATCTTCAACCAGCAAGCCAAGCATGCTGCTTGTTGCCTTGAGTCCTACTCAGCCACATATAACTATCTGCAGGTCAGAATCTCAATGCCCGAGTTTTCTAGATGAGTGGCAACAGCACTAGCAATGACTCTTCATGTTTCCAACTCTAACAGCAAGAAAAAGAACCATCACCTGTGCACAAACACCTGTCATCAGAAACAGAGTAAATTAAAGAATACTTCATGCATACTGTATTCACAGACTGTAGATTGAACATCAGCCCATTTAAGAAGAAACCACATTCTTAGTTTTTCCTGCGAAATTAAAATCACTCGCTCATCTTTACGTGTTGGAATGAAGCAAATTATTAATCAAAGTTTATCATCAAGTCATATGAAGATAGTCCAGTCATAACTTAAATGCAAAATCCCAATATTTCAACATAGCCTTCCCAATATTTTGAACAAAAAAAATGAGTGATTCTTGGCATCCATAGATGCAACATCCTCTTGCTGACAGAAGACAATGAAGTGCTGTATGTGGCGCCCTCTATCTTCAGCAGTTTCAGCAACACAGTTCTTGAGCAAGTTGTACTTCCTTTTTCAGCCACTGTCACTTTCAATGCTGCCACGAATGTGATCAGTGACATGCAACAGTAAGTACTTACCTGGAGAACGCTTGCTTTAACAACCCTCATCACTTCAAAACTTAGAAAATTGCTTGTAGTCTTTGGTCAATTATGTGTCTATTACTACTCCAACGAACAAAAAAGCAGCCGTGCAAACACATCACTCGCTATTCTTGCACCTGTATATTATCTTTCTCTCGTACGTATAAATTGTTTTCTTTCATTGTACAGCATTCCCTGCAGTGCATCAGTCATGGAAGTTACATGAAGACCGCTAGACCAAATCACACCATGCACAGTCAAGGACCACCTCAGTCAACATGGGCAATTCCTTGATGCTTTCTTTATTGTTCCTTACGTTTCTGTATCATATGGAAGCATTTCTTATATCGTTATTCAATTGTTGTCTGCTGTGATGTGAGATATGCTGTTTAACCCCTGCACTTGTTACATTGTGTATTGTCATAATTCATCTATCATAATTGTACACATTACTTGTAGCTATCTAAAAAGTAACTTACTAACTTATTGTTAAAAAGCTTACCTCTTGTGAAACTATTCCTTGGGGCATGCTGTTATTTTGAAGAAAACGGAAGGTTTGTTTCGAAAGATGAGTCAAGTGACATTTTTTTTTCATTTCTGTGTGTAATATGACATGAAAATATCATTGAAATTGACTTCAAACTATTGTAAATTGTTTAGCAGGTAGTTTGCATGACATAATCACTCTTGGAGGTCGAAGGCATGAAAAGATGTGTTCTGAATTTACAAAAACGGACGTCAGATGTAACAGGGACACCAACAAAATTGGACCCTGAATTTATAGAGTTACCCACGGACGTATGCTTGGTTGCTATCATTCATCGGTTCAGTGCATAATATCATGTAGCTGCTATTGGCTGAATGAGAACATGTGTTCCTAATGTTGATTTTGGGCGCAATTAAAAATTTGACTCGGCAACTTATGAGTTGAAATCTAGATCCTAGAATATTGTTTTCTGACAGTATACAGCATTCACAGAGCTAAAAGTTGTTTTTAGATATTTTTATTTGCTTCAAATGAAAAAAACTACACAATAACAAATGATCCACTCTACATTTAACCTGATAACAATTTAATGAAAACCATGAATCATACCAGATACCTAGACATTTCATCAGTTTGTTCTTAAAACAAAAAGAGGGGTTTTTTTGTTTCTTAATGCTTTTAATTCATGAAATTGAAAAGTTATAACTATTCCCATATTCTGCTTGCTCCAAAAGAGATATATCTTCAGACCTGAGTACATGCATCTACCAATGCACTGTGTAGTGTTGACATATAATACCCGTATACCCATGTTTGACATTTACGAGCACCACGTCTAAAATTAAAGATATTGATACAGCCTTATTCAAATTCCGTTAAAGTAACCATAAATTACTCTGTAAATATTATATCATTACATGAAGATCAGTATGTATCTTTCATTACTGAAACCAAAATAAAGTGTTTTGTAGCAGCGTATGTAACTTTTACAGTGTCTAATTTCTTTCTGTTCTAAAAACAATAAACTCATATTGTGAGTTTCTTCGTATTTTTTTAGTCCGAAAGCCGAAAAAATCCAGCACGAAATGTTTGATGGTGGCAGTGAGTATAATGTAGGTCGTTAATGTTAAGGGCACCATCTGACGTATGCCCAAATTTACCTTTAATTAGAATGTCGCGTACAAGCGTCAAAACGTAATATTTGACTAAAGAATGACAAATCTTGTCCATGTTTAAAAATGGCACAATTAAGATTTTCTTGCTGTCAATTAGAATTTTGAGCCAACTTAGATCAGTAGTAAAGTAGCCGCATACTCTAAGGAACTGCGATGTTGAGATGAATGAGAGTATTGAGCACAGCGATCATTCCAACACTAAATGGTGTCTAGCGTAAAAGGAGGGCGAATGATAGCCAACGTATAATATCTATCAGGGTGGCGGAACCGGGGGAGGGGCAAGGGGGCACTTCTCCCCACTCCCCCCCCCCCCCACCCCCCGATTTTCCTAGGCCGACAAAAGTACCCCTCTCTCGGTTACAAATGTGGCCCGCCCGGCCCCTCGAGTTGAAAACGAAACTGCCCCTCAAACGCACACATGAAAGCATATGATACCGCGCTACAAATAGATACGTCTCCTCTCGTAATGGAAAACTAACCCTCCAGAAACCCAAGTGCCCCTCTCGCATTATTACAAGACTGGGCACCTTCTCGAGATGGAAACTACCCCTCGAAAGCACAAATCCCCCTCTCGCAACAATAAAATGGTGCCCTCACCAGATGGAAAATTGGCCATCAAAAACAATAGTGCTCCTCTCGCGATAACTTCGAGATGTAATTTGCCCCTCGATAACACACTTTCAGTGCCCCGCTCACAACATTAAAATTATGCCCCTCTCATTGAAAAATGACCTTTAAAAATGATAGTGCTCCGGACCCAGAAGTCATTGCTGGGGTGTACGATGTAAGGGCGGATCCAAGGGGGAAACGGGGCCATGCCTCCCCCCCCCCCCCGGAGGCATGGCCCTGTTGCCCCCACCCCTAGCTACTACGTACACCACCATCTTTTCCTCAAAAAATGGTTAAAGTGGTCAGAAAATACCTCAGATCGCACCACATCCATTTTTTCGGGACCATCCTCACGCGCGGGCGCCAAATTTAACCCCACGCCGTGAATTTCCCCCAAATAAAAAGTGTCCTCTGGATCCCCCATTGCGCCCGGGAGGCCGAAGGACTCTACACACCGACGGAAGGTACCCCTTTTTTGGATAACTTATAAGTGCTCCCTTTTGGTCTTGCCCCTATTTTGTTCTTGCCCCTCCGCCGTTTGATCATTTTATTTTTCCTTTTTGAAATCGGAGGCTTTGAAGATTTAAAGGGAACTAAAGTCCGAATTTCATTACGTTCGAATTCTTTTCTTGTTTTTTTTTAATTTCATATTAATTTTGTTCTCATGTTTTTAAGAAATGTTAAGTCCAAATCGTCATAGCTATACCCCATGCGGATGTCGTTTGAAAAAAAACCCATTTCGCGGCCGGTCTTTTTACGCACAATCTCCAGTCAACGGTTAAAGACCCACATTACATGCACTCTCGCAAAAAAGTGGTCGGCCCCCATTCTATACAAAACCTCATTGGCCGGGTTTGTTTTGCGAAAACCTCATCAGTCACCTGATCACAACTGACTTCGGCAAAACCGCAAGTCCCATCATAAAGAATAAATTAACATGGGCATTTTTTCCCCCAAGAGTGTGTTTCTAATGGCTTGGCTTTTGAAGAACTTTTGCAAATGGGAAAGACACTTTGGAAATATCTTCATGAATTTCTGTATAAACGAGCACATTTTTAAACAGTACTTACTTACTATTATTTTTCGGGGTGGTGGGGGGGGGGGGCTAGACAGACGATACATCAGAATGGCGCAATAAGACCGACAGCGGGCGCAATAATTTGATTAGGGTTTCAAAAATTTCTACGCGAGTCATTTGCGTCAATAAAAAGTGACCCCGCAATTTTTGGTAAAAAAACGAGACCATCTAGTTTAAAAATTAGTGGAAGTCGTGCGAATATAGCCGAGGATCATCTCCCTAGCCGGATTTTGGGCTATTATCTATAAGAGCAGATTAGATAAAATTAGGGTCCAAAAATGGGTCCTATTGGCACGAGAAAATGTAGGGATGTCACTAGTAAATTTGGCAGTACGCAGGCTCGGCAAGCATCACCCTCTCATACAGGGGCGTCAATCGCTTCTCAGTAGTGGGGGGACATACTTAATGATTAGAACTGATGCGAGCGCGAAGCCCTTACGGCGTGGGGTTCGGGGCCCGCTTAAGGGCCCCGAAAATTTGGATTCTAGATGCTCTTTTGTGTGATCTGAAGCAATTTCTTACCATGCTTTAACTAATATTTTCTTGGCAAAAGATAATTATTTGAACATCGTTTTCGAGGTTGGAGTCATTGAATCAGCTACCCGAATTCTGAGCTACAGGCGTGGGCTTTGGGGCCCGCTTAAGGACCCCGAAAATTTTGGATTCTAAATGCTCTGTGGTGCTATCTGAGGCAATTTCTGACCACTTTAACCAATATTTTCTAAGCAAAGATACATTGTAGTACATAATAGGGCCCTGTAAATGAGACTCGTGTCAAAAAAATCTGGGGGGGGGGGACATTTGATATTGTGTCCCCCACCCTTCAAAAAGTGCGGGGGACATGTCCCCCTGCCCCCCCAGGATTGACGCTCATGCTCTCATATCCGTCATTTAGGCGCGCCCCTAACCCTTTTGCTTTCTTTTGATAATACTTTGGGGCCGGTGTAATTTGACGAAAATTTTGGTAAATCCCCCAAACACAATTACCCCTTAACTCATGAAGCGAAGGCCATCGCCATTTTTCAAATGCAAATGAATTCCAAATTTCCCCGAAATACAAGTTTATTAGGGATTGTTTGAGCTGACAGCCACTGAACTATCAACTTGATCAGTTAAGCCGTTGTGACAGGTAATTCTGTCCCCCCCCCCCCCCCCCCCCTGGTAAATGTGTCCCCCCGGACACATTTACCGGCTCGTGACCCGGTAAATGTGTCCGGGGGGACATTTTTACCTAGGTAAATTTGTCCCCCTCCAGGTAAAAATGTCCCCCTGCCCAACGGTGAAAGTGTCCCCCTGGTAAATGTGTCCCCATGCAGTATGTACTGAGAGCAGCAGCGTGTCGCACGCGCCAGTACATGCTGCAAGATTTGAGGCAGTTATAACATGTGTACATATGCGTCTCCCTCTACAATGGAAATTCGTCCAATAGGAAATTTCGTTACGCGCTATGATGGGAACACAGACCAATCCAAGGATGCGTTGTATCATACTATCAATGAGACGAGGGCCATCGCCATGCATCGCCGCTGTGTTGACCTATCGTGGTAGAATCGCGATAGACTTCACCGTACTCCGAATCGAAACATTGTGTTCACGTATCATCTAATAGACTAAATTAATTATTTTTTATATTCATGAAGGGCAGACTAAAAGTCCAAAATGTATACCTTGTAGAGTGAATTCATCAAAACAATAACCTTCCGGGTTTCAAAAGAGGGGGACAAAAAAACCTGGGGGACAGAATTACCTGGAGGGGGACAGAATTACCTGGAGGGGACAGCATTAACGGGCCAGGGAGGACACTTTTACCTAGGTAATTCTGTCCCCCCGGACACTTTTACCGGGGGACAGAATTACCTTCCACACCGTCATGTTGTCTTGATAAGGCGCCCTCTACCATTAAATGAGTCTACTCACGTCTTGTATCAAGACTATTGATTGCCGATTGACCTGTTTCATGACCTTACGTGCATATGCATGATAATGTATGTAATGCATGTAATGTGCAGCTGCAGCTGGAACGTTAGGAATGCCATGATCAGCGACAGTGTCTGACTGCTTGCAGTGGAGATTGGACGGTAGATTGAGCTGGAAAATGATTTTCTGAAATCTATCGTCAACAAAGACACCACATTCATTTTATACTTGCCTCAAGTGCATAGCAAGTGGTCATTCCTAAGTGCAAAATTCCTTGATCTGTTGTTGGTCCAGTGACTGTAGTTTCGTTTGTCAGACTGGGCGGGGCCGTGTCTCCAAACTTCCCAAAGACAAAAAGTGCTTAAGTTATTTTCTGCGGTTGTTGCTGTCTTCGGGAAGCACAATGCCTACCACATCGTACCGCACCAAGACAATCCATAGCATTCTGGATCCAGTTGCCCAACAGGTGAGAACTGATTGAGCGCCCGATTCATTACTTAGTTGCGTTAATTGGGGTAATCCTTTACTTTTAAAGTTTTAGGACACCTCTATTTTCTGTTCAAAACTAACTTTTGCAGATGACTGTCCAGTACTACCAAAGTGACTTTTGCAGGCTAAAGCAGTCTTTTTTCTTCATATAAACTAGGGCCTAATGTTACTTGTTAGTTGTAATTTTGAAACTGAAAGCACTTTCGAAGAAAATGTGACTTTCCTACACTTTTTCGCAGTCAGACGTGCACATACTCCTAGAACTATGAGGCTCCGCTCACGCGGAGCCTCATAGTTCTAGGAGTAACGTGCACATTCACTGACGTTGTAGTTCTCACACACGTGAAAGCCCTACATAGTGAAAGCGCGATGCTGATTGGCTGCTAAAAAAAATGGAAAAATTTCCGTACTGGGCCACCACTTTTTTCAATTAATTTTCACGCGCCAAAAAGTTGCATCCTTTATGGTTATTCCCTCCACTTTCCCTCCTCTACTCTCACCCTCTCCTTTCCTTTATTCCTATTTATTAATCAGTCACTTACTTCATTGGGATTCGAACCCCGGACTCTTGCTTGATACATGATACTCTTAACCGCTAGGCCGCGCACGATCGCTGTTGCAATAATAAATCTTTGGACGTATTTGAAGTATCCATTGAAATAAACTAAATATTCATGAGAAAATAAATATTCATGCATAATGACGTATTGCACTATCATTGGCCGGCTCATGGGACATCATGGTTGTTGATGTCACGTGTATAACGTACCACTGTCTTTCAGCCACTTCAATCAGTTTTGACCGGCTGCTTCAACTTAGTTCTGCACGACGTGTGCATCCAAAATGTGCTCTAAAAACACATTTTGCCAAATTTTTTTTCGCATTTACACAGCTTCCTGGATTCCTCTTGGGTGAAATCACAAGGTGAGGTGAAAATTGATGTGTTTAGCGGCAGGTAAAGTTGTGGCCCAGTATGGACATTTTCCCAAAAAAATAAATGAGATGTTCATTTTTTATCAGCCAATTAGCATCGAGCTTTCATCACATCAAGCTTTCACGTTTGCCATCTTGGTTTTTTTAGTCTGTTTTCTGCAGTTCTGGTTGTCATCGTCGTCTTTTAACCCCTAAATTTCCCTCATAAATCAAAGCCCTGCCCTCTTCCCACAAAATTAAACCTGCTGATATTTAAGAAGGTGTCATTGCCAATTGTTCAGATGTGCCAATAAATATCATAATGTCAATTTTGACTGTTTCGGTGAATCTTTCCCTTCCTATATAGGAACGGGGTCCTAAAAGTAAGGATTACCGTTAATTGATTTAACCATTATTGAAATGGTATAATTCATAACTTAGAGGCGATCATGAAGTGTAGGGCCCCTGTTTTGTTTTGATCAAATTATAGAGTCAAAAATGTTTTGTTTTGTTTTTTTGCTAAAAAATTACCTTTACAATCAAAAGCAGACTTTTCTCAATTCTAATGACACCCGTTTTGTAGTTTTGAACAGATTCTTGGGGTAGAAATCATGATTTTCCTGCGCGGTTTGTGCCTTGCAATTCAGAGGGCCATGCGTGCTCACGGTACATCGCACCGTGATTGCCGTCTCTTTATTTTCGGGTCGCATGTGTCGCCGCTCTGTCATCGTCATTTTACCCCCAAATTTCCCTCTAAAAATCAAAACCCTGCCCTCTATCTATGACATTTATTGAGAATGTCGCCAACTAGTTTGGTAGGTCCAATCATTTTAGGTGGATTTTGTTCCCTAATGTGAACCGGGCCCTACACTAACGATCGCAGGCTTAGCTTAGCCTTATCGCAAATAACAAAATACACACTGCACAAATCATTATGAGCAGGATAAGGGGGCAAAGAACATACACATTGTGCGGCTAGCTGGCCGACAGTACATGCATGAGGGCGCACTATACAAAAAGGATTTGCGCGAGGGCATTGTTTACATGGTTCAGCTGGAACATGGATGCAATTGAGTTGTTGGAGTAATTGCAGAATGCCCTGCCACTCGGAAATACACCCCTAAAATCTCTGGCTACGCGGTTGGAATCACTGGAAAAGAAACAATTCAAGTCCATTGCCAGCTATGCGAATACTGAGTGGGGGTCCCCTTGAGAATGAAGCAACACAAAATGAATGGAGTTGCTGAAGTCCAAACCAACTACCCTGTTGTCGGCTACGCGGATACTTGAGAGTGCGGTGGAGAATGACGTGTGTAGGCCTAGTACGTACAGTTACTGAGAAGGTTTATTGAGGGCAATCAACCGTGACTCCGTAGCCGGCTACGAGGTGCATACATGTAGATGGAGTGGCGGGATATTCTGCAATTGTGCCTCAGAGTTGTGTTTACAAACTGATGGCATGCCAAGAAACATCCACTTTCGGCTGGAGATAATGCAAAAGCTGGACATCTGACAAATGCAGCAAATTCAGGGTGCGTGTGTTTGAAAGCGTACATCAACTATGCAAGCTGTCTGAATGTGAAAAAAAAATTGTAAAAGTCCTACCGTTTTTAGTAAATTTGATAGTGGGGCCTTTATTTACGGAGGTAGTCCAGTAAATAGGCCACATTTATGGGGCTATGCTGGCATCATCCCAAAAAGCCGTAGCTTGTGGTGGATATGCCCAACAATACCTGTACAGAAAGTTTTCCATACTAGGACACCACTTTTTCAATAAATTTTCAAGCGCAAAAAAAGTTGCATCTTTTATGGTTATTTCCTCCACTTTCCCTCCCCTACTCTGACCCTCTCCTTTCCCTTTAGTCATATTAATCAGTCACTTACTTCATAATCGAGATTCAAACCCCGGACTCTTGTTAAAAACACAACACTCAGTTTACACGTCCCCCTAGGATGAGAACCCTGGCTATGCCGCTGTCTTTTTTAATTTACAAATTACTCGCGTATTATTAAATGATATGATAAGGCGATCCCCAGATCTATCTGAAGTTCAGACGAGTTCAGCCAGGTTGCTAAGAACGCATGTTCAGTTTGGTGAAATCTAACTTAGGACTAGTCACAAGTTAAGACGAGTTGCCCTTCCTATTAGACGCCTCTTAGCATTTTGTGACATCGGCCCCATTTCCTACACTTTTTTTCACAAATCTTTTTTGTAGTACGGTACGAACCAAATATTTGTCAAATGTCCTAGCTTGGTTACCCAGCATCGTAGACATGTGAACATGGCTAGATGCATGCACAGGGTGGTTAAAAAAACAAGGACACCCACATTTGACAGCAATTTTCACCTATTTTTAAAAATTATTTTTAACTATCGATTAGTAGCTATTAAAGTACTGGCCTTGAAGCAAATGTGACAAAAAAATTGTTGCATTTGCACATTTTGTCGTTGAGCTATGCTAATTTGAACATTCATGTGCGAAACCTGTTTGTCCACGGAGGTATACTGTACATTCCCTTCCCTTGACTGAGCTCAGCTATCGGAGCTTTATTTGAAAGGGCATGACATTTGATATGTTATGTAATGTTATGCAACAATGAAGGCGTTTTAATTTTTATGAACTACGAGAACGTCAAATTTACATAGAATAATCTGTGGACAAGACTGATTTTGGTGACTTGCATTCAAATTAGCATAATAAGGACCTGTAGTTCTGGAGATAAAGGCCTGTAACAGATGCAATTTCTCTTATGACGTCACAGGTCACGTGATGACGTCGTCATAACGTCTCTTCAATTTTCATCTTTAACACATTCCACTCTCGGTACATGTATATCAACTTTCAACCTAATCGGACCTGTAGTTCTGGAGATATAGCCAAATCTGTCAGATCTAGCCGAATTCTGCCAGAAAATGGTCACAACAGAAAAATCGCATATAATGTGACTCATGATGACGTCACGACGATGTCAACGTTCGGGGCACATCTTCAGATGCTGGTCTTAGTGTGTGCCGAGTATAAAGGCAATTGGATTAGTTTTAGTGGCCAAAGAGCCGGTAACAAAAAAACGTGTAAAAATGCTATGGGCTTGGGCTGAAAAAGAAAAAAACAAACAAACAAAAACTAGAAATGTGTTTGTGGACAAACACTGAGCTGTTTCAACCGTTTTATTAATGACTGCCGTAAAGGATTTTCATCCAGGTCGAATGAACATGTACATATGCGTATTATATACAAAAAGTGTCCATCCTATTAAAAAAAAAAAAACATTTTTCTTGACGTCATGATGACGGCACACATTTTTTGCAATTTTCTGTCTCCATCTACAACCTAACAAACCTTTTGCAAAAAAGAATTTCGAATTAACCACGTTCCATTGATGAGATATGAGTAAAAGGTCCAAAAATTGAATAATTCATATAAAATCACATGATGACGTCATCGTGACGTCACTGCAATTTTTGTCTATAACACTTCCTGGAATATATGCATGCCGACATTGAACTCAATCGGACATCAGGTTCTCTGAGGTCGATCGGACTGTATTTTATATAATTTTTGCAAAATTTGAAGAAAATATTAAAATTTGAAAAATTCATAAAAAATCAGACGATGACGTCATGATGACGTCACTTCAGATTTTGAATGCTTTTATCTATACCTACCTACCCACCAAGTTTCATAACGATCGGACATACCCTTATATGTGAATCAAAAAATCACGTTTTTGATGACGTCATGATGACGTCACACATTTTACGAAATTTTGTGCATCTATCTACGACCTAACAAACCTGTTACAAAAAGAATTTCAAATTTACCACATTCTGTTTATGAGATATGAGTAAAAGGTCCAAAAATTGAATGTTATCATATGGGAAAAAAAGTGGAAGAAAAAAAAAAAGAAAAAAAAATTAACAAAAACAAGAGCTGTTTGGGTGTGTACACCGAAACAGCTAAACAAATCTTTTAACGAAAACAAAGGCTGTTTCGGCTGGTTGCCGAAACAGCCAACGAGCACTTTATGTTCCTATAAACCCTGCTGAATCCAACAGGATCCAACTATGTCACATACCCGATGGAGCCTGTTGGATTGAACAGTAAACCCCTTGTGTACATGTACATTCCTCATGCAAAATGTTGGATTCAGCAGGCAACTGAACTGCATAACACCAAGTTGGAAAATGTTGGGTGGCTGATTTGACAATGTTTGAAACACAATTACTCCCATTTTAAACATTTTTTTTTTCTAGCAGGAACGTGCTGCTTTATGTTTTGATTTTTTGGTTGGAATAATGTGAACAGTATGAACAGAAAAAAAATGAGTTTGTTGAAGAACAGGGAGAACGAAACTTAAATTTGTGTCAAAAAAGTGGCAGTTGTTTTGATTCACTGACTATTGGGTTTGGAATGTTCTGGGTTTGCTCCATGAATTAAAGGGAAAATACAACATTTGCAAACATCGAAAAATAAAACTACCAAGTTGTTATGAAATACCTTACTCTAAGGATGTTGGTAAAGGACAGTCTAAAACATCCTGTAAAATTATGGCACATGGTGTGAAGTCATTTTCAAGAAAATGGTATTTTTGTATACATTTCCAATGGTGGTCAGCCAACCACCGTTGGAAAAACCTAACTATTTTTCAACTACTGCTCCAAATTTACCTCTTTTTTTTCAGTCCAAATTTTGTTTGCTATTGGTTGCATGTTCATGAACGGATGCAGGCCAGCTACACTGGTTCCCTTACCTTACAATTTTCCGGCATCTATAAATTGATCCATTTTATCCCTAGTGGAGTCAGGGCACCAGACTACTTGAACATTGTTGTTTTTCTTGGTTTTTCTAGCATTTTCGAACACTAGATTTAAAATATGTCAGTGTAACAATATTTGATATATACTAACCCCTCAAATAGTTCATTTCTGAAAATTACAGCAAAAGCCAATGATGTACATTCCCTTTAACAGAATCTCTTGTACTGGTGGCAACTTTTTGAACAAAAGCTATTTGCACAAAATATAATTCAAAACAGTGTGAGATGAATTGTATCCACTCATTGTACATCGAGTCAAACACATTATCATACTGCTTTGGACATGGATGAAGATTCACCCTGTTGAGTGCACACAGGAGACTGTATCCCATGCAGTAATGAGCGTTGCACATGTGCAGTGTACGTGCTTGCGTGAATGACTAATACCCTTGCCCTACCAAACATGGACATGCATGCCCTGACCAGACCTGTGCAGTCATGGCAGTAGCTTCATCATCAGATCATGCAACTCTCTGCGTGTTCATGTGGGGTTGTACAATGCAGGCCTACATGGGTTTGTTTATGGTGTAGATGGGTGAAAATCCTTAAATGAATTCGAGGACAGGATCGAGTCAAATTGAACACGTCCTCAATTAGAAAACATGTACAATTCCAATGGAAGTAGTTGCAAAAAAAGTTGTAGTAATTGTAAAAAGATTACTGATGATGAGGAACAATATAAATCATTGATTTACACCAAAAATAAAGTGGGTGTACATTTACATTCTCTTGTATAAACGTCAAGGGCAAATCTATATTGAATTACAGTACCCTGATGTAAATTCATCTTATGAATACTTTAATTTCTGTACCCAATGCTACATGTACCGATCCTGCACCGATCCTGCAAGCTTGGTTGTCGAGTGGTAAAACATCTGCACTAGAAAGCAGGAGGTCATACTAGGTTTGAGTCCCACCCGAGTGATTTTTCTCCAACTTTCACTTGGGAGGTAACACACTGAGTATACAGTACATATGTTGATGAAGGGCAAAACTTGATCAATCCAATGCAAATTCCACCTAATGACAACATGTATGAAACTTTATTAAATCCAAAAGTGGAAAAATGTATGAGGTGTAAAAAGTATGGGCTCCGTGCGCCAACAAAAGAGGAAGCCCTTTTACCTAGCAACGACATCCCATGGGCGGGACATTTAGCTGATTGACGCGCACCGTTTATTTGACAAATTTTGTACACGCAGTGGTACGGCTGCGCGTCACAGCAAAATTACAGTAAAGGCAACTGAGGCAAGATGGCGTCGGTCGGTCACCCCCAACTGTACTTTCTTTGCCGGTGAGGGGGTACTTATGAACGGAGTGGCTAAACCACATGGTTCAGGAGAGGTACATGTACATGTACATGTACATGTACATGTAGTCCCATCAACCAACATTTGAGAACCACTTCGGTGCTACTCTTCAGACTATAATGTACATTGTCCCACATGTATCTACACAAAATAAAGCATGATTGTTTTACTAGGAAGTATTGTGAAATTGACCCTGTCCTTGTAGAAATTGCTCTAAATGCTGTTCCACTGTAATGCAGGTCTTGATTGGATTGAGTGTGGAAAAAACTGTACATTGCTGCTCAGTAGACCTTGAGCAGACCTGTGTGACAGTAGTGTAAAGCAATGTATGATGTGTACTTTTTGTGTTCATATTTCAAGGTTGGGCACCTGGTGATTCTACATGAACAAGCTGAAGATGGCAATGCTATGACTGATTTGACTTCACCCATCAAGATTGTGGACCAAGCTGTCAGTAACTTAGTTGCAGTAAGTTAAGACATTCTATGCTGCAGCTAACCTTGGATTATTATTATTATACAGTTGGTCAACTGTTTTTACATTGTTGAAACTTGAAGAGTAGCACAACAATAGTTAAATCTGAAGAGAGCAAGTCCATGAAACAATGTTATGGCGATGTTAAACAGAAACTATGGCTTAGCATATTAATGACTAAGCATGGATTACCTGAGAACTTGTACATTGCATTTGCAAGATGTTTTGGTTGGTAAGCTGCTATGCTTTGCACATATTATTTATTCCTATGCTTAGCAATCTTGTGTCTATAAACCCAGTGTGGTATTATGCGTGTTTAGTTACATGCCCTGTAATTTTGTGGATAGAGGGCAGAGTTTTGAGCTTTTTGAGGGAAATTTTAGGGTAAAAAGGATGATGAAGATAGAAAAAAAAAAAATGATGGCAATCACCACAGTGTATAGTGAATACGCAAATAGCATTGATTCGCATGACTTCAACTGAAAAGTGCCGTAGTAAGCACAACTAGTCTGCATAGGGCCTACCTATACATGTAAGATTAGTGACTGAAATTGGCCAGGAATGGTTATGTATTAAATTTCCCTCTATAAAACGTTTTTGAGAATAGGTTTGTTTGTGATAATTATTTAGCAAAAAAATTAACATTAGTTTGATTTGCTGCTACCGGTAGGTTGGTAAACAAACAGCCAGTACCAGCAAAGATGAGATACTACGTCGGGAGATGCCTCCTACTTTCACCCAGGTGGAGAGGTCTTCAGGGTTGTTGGTGGAGGCCAGCGCCTTGCTGAAAGCTGATCCTTACTCAGTACCAGCACGGAAGAAACTGATTGAAGGAGCTAGAGGTCAGTACACACAAGGCCAAGCCCCATATCATAGCAATCAATGATTGTTTATTGCGTTGTGGGATTCAAGGAAATGTTACATTGTGTCCTTGACTTGCCGGGCTTGTTCAAGTGTCTCAGAAGCAACCACATTCAAAATCAAATCACATTTATTTCCTCTTCATGACAGAAATGAAAAAGTAATATAAGTACTTAAACATATAAAGGCCACTAGAGGTGGCAAAACCTTAAAAGCATAGCTTGTATCAGGCATGCCATTACACAAAACAGACGAATAATAACAGAAACAAAAACATTTAAAAACAAAGACCAATTACACACATGTATAATTCTAAGCAGTTAGCAAAGTTGTGAAAAAGTTATAAAAATAATATTAATAATTAATAATGGGCTACGAGTAGGATCGTCGTGCATACAGAGTCCAATTATGGCAGAGGCATATAACATATACATTACATAAGATACAATTTAAGTTTGCGTTTGAAAATATTATAAGACCTTAAACATCTGAGAGACAATGGTACATTGTTCCATATTTTAGGTCCGGTGTATTTAATGCTATATTGAAAGGCAGATGTTCTATGTTGCGGTATGTGGAAATGTAAGTTAGTAGACACACAAGTATTATAGTTATGCAAATTGCAGTTTAGTACAAACATGTTTGAATAGGAAATGGGCAGTAAATTGTTTTTAAACTTGTACATAAATAGAGCTTGTTGGTATTTATTTAGGTTTGTTATGCTTAAATATTTTAGTTCACGCAAGAGAGGTTGACTATGGGCCCTATATGGTGAATTTGTAATAATTCGAGCAACTCTTTTCTGCAATTTTATTAGTTTATCCAAATTCGTACGGAATGTATTCCCCCAAACAATGTTACAGTAAGAAAAATAAGGAAGTATTAATGAACTATAGAGAGTATTTAATACCTCAAAGGGAACAGTATGTTTTAGTCTGTTGATAACACCAATACTCTTAGAAACTTTACTTACAATCTCATCGATATGATATTTCCAAGTCAATTTTTCATCGATGATTACACCTAAAAATCTAAACTTGTCTACTTTCTTGATAGTTTTGCTATCCATTAAAATATTTAAGTTTGATGAGTTATTCTGTGTTTTCCCGTTACTGAAGATCATATAATTACATTTATCTAGATGAATTAAGAGTTAAGCGGTTAGCTTTTAACCAATCACAGATACTGACCAGTTCATTATTGACAATATTATACAGGGTAATAAGATCTTTGTTACAATAGAATAAACTAGTGTCATCAGCATATAATATAAAGGATAATAAGTTAGATGTCTTTGAAATGTCATTAATATAGAGTAGAAATAGTAAAGGTCCCAACAGAGAGCCCTGGGGTACTCCGCATGAGATGCCTGTTAAATCAGAGAGGCAGCTATTAAAAGTTGTACACTGTTTTCGATTATTTAAATAGCTCGCAAACCAATCATGGGCAACCCCACGGATACCATAGAAATTTAATTTATGAAGAAGAATATCATGGTATGTAGTATCAAATGCTTTTGATAAATCTAAGAATATATCGATTGAAAAAGCATTCTCCTCAAACGTTTGGACTACTTTATCTGCTAGGTCAATAAGTGCCATTGAAGTGGAGAAATTAGATCGAAAACCATATTGGTTATCAGAAATGATGTTATATTTGTCTAGAAATGCTACTGTCCTATTGTACACAAGTCTTTCAAGAATCTTGGAAAAACATGATAGTACCGAAATTGGTCTATAGTTACCAAGCTCAGCGGGGTTTTCTTTTTTAAATATAGGAGTGACTTTGGCAATTTTCAATTTATCTGGGAAAACCCCTTTAGATAGAGATAAATTAAAAATGTGACACAGGGGATCACTTATATTGGTTATGACAGATTTGATTAACCCTGGTTTGACACCATCCAAGCCAGGAGACTTATTGTTTTTAAATTTGGAGACAATTTCATGAATTTCTGTTTTTGTTATTGGATTAAAGAAAATGGAATCTTCGTTAGGATCAGTCAAGTAATTCTCATAACTAGCATTTGCTTGAGGAAGATTTCGATTGAGAGAAGGGCCTATTTGAGTAAAGTAGTCATTAAAAGCATTTGAAATATCTTTGGTGTTATTTGTATGGTTTCCACGTATATTGAATTCAGAAGGGTACTTTTTATGATTATTTTTGTTTAATAATGAGTTAATTATACACCATGTTTTTTTAGCATTACTTTTTACTTTTTCAAAATTATCTTTATAAAATTTTGCTTTGGTAATCTTGATGATGGCATTTAACTTGTTACGGAAAACTTTGTATTTGTCAAAATAGTTACTAGTTGGGTTTTTTAAATATGTTTTGTATAGTTTATTTTTATGATTAATTGAGTTCAAGATTCCATCCGTCATCCATAATTTGAGTTTCTTAGAGGGCTTGGTTTTCTTTGGGGGAAAGTTATCTTGAAATATCTTTAAAAAGTCAGAATGAAAATTATCAAAAATATCGATTTTGAATCGATTTTGAACCGATTTTGAACCTTTCCAATCTATCTGCTGTAATGTGTCTGCATAATCGAGCTGCATTTTGTTTATCAGTTCCTCTAATATTAAAGGAAGATATCTGATTCATTGGTAAGTGGTCAGAAACGTCATTGAACAGGATGCCGCTTTCTGTACGTCCAGTACTGTTTGATATAATATTATCTATTAAGGTAGCAGTTGTTCACATTGCAAAATACACTCCCAGATCATGCAATCCATTGGGAGAAATTGGAAGATTTTGAAGGTTTGAGTAAGGTAGAACCATGGGATATGATATCCAAGAAGAACTTTTAAGTACAACAAATGAATGTCCTGCTCAGAGGTGGATATTGGAGGACTGAGGAAGGTTCTTAGCAAGCGTCTTCATGATGACTTTGCCCTTGTCACCATGTACATGTAGGTATCCTGCAAGGCACATCTGATCTACTGTTTGTCTTTGATGAGAGTGAGGTGCGTAAGATTGTCAAGATCTGTGAGGGTGTCTTGCAGTTACTGGCAGTGTCTGAGGTGGTTGACACCATGCAAGATATTCTCACATTCGTGCAGGTAAGACGGCAGAGTTGTAATCAAGCCAGTGACAAGTATGTACAAATATAACATGTGGATAGTCGATATTAGCTCCCCGAGGTATTGGAAGTTTGTCTCAGGGGCTAGTTTGTCAACTACCAATACCAAGGGGAGCTAATTTTGACCATCCATCGGAAATAAACCGTGTTATATTTGTTTTACTGTATCTCATACATGTTCAGTTGCCAAATGTTCCTGTTGCACACCTCGGCATAAAATATTTGTAGAAACTTGTCCAGCTCACCAGAAGACTATTGCTCAACCTCACAAAAGTTCAGTTCTTTCGCAATACAGTAACTCTTAAAGAGTTTCTACCGTAGTGTGGACAACTTTTTTTAGTACAGGCATGACAGGAGGCATCTTGAGTGCACAGATTCTCCAGTTCGGCATCATTGAGCAGACTTTGGACTTTTCTTTCTTTATGAAGGCTTTGACGCCTGGAGTGACTAACATGAACAGTCAGGTGTCAGCGCGTCGCGAGGAGCTGATCAATGCTTCCCATGCTGCACAGCTAGCTCAGCATTCAGAGCAGTTTCAGAAGTTGATCCCTCTATTGGTCTCCAGTATGAAGATATATGTCACCATTCTAGAGCAAGGTAAGTCCCACAATCTGACAGGGATCTGTTTGACGCCAGGTCTGTGCAAGCAGACCTGACTCACATGGAGCACAGGATGCAGCGCATATCATTCGCACAAGCTTGGTGCGAGTCCATTCAAGTACTATCAGTGTAACAGTATACAATGCTTGTCATGTAGTCTGCCGTGTTTATGCTGTTCATCAGTGTAAAGATGTATTCTCCTGGCTAGTTTCTAGTTTCACTGCTAAAAATAGATTTGTTTTTTTCAATTGCTATTTTCCAAAAAAATGTAAAAGTTATTCATGTCAAACAGATATCAATCAAGCACAAATTTCCACCAACATTTAGTTATTGAATTATTTCTTCACACAAATTGAATGCCAGACAGTAATTTGTCTCTCGCAGGACAGGTTCGTTTGTGCACAGTACTAAAGCCCTTTCTCAGAGGATTGCAGCTGCCCATAATCAGAACTTTTATTTTTTGTTAAAAGAAAAGAAACAAATTAAAATATGTTAGGAGAAAAAGAAAAAAACCTTTCAAGCACAGGGTATCATCTTTAAATTGTATTGAGCCATGTTTCGGTTTATAATTTGTGTAGAACATCCCTCAAGTGGCATCAAGCTGAGTGGATATCCTGCATATTGTAGGATATCTGTGCTTTGTTTCAGAAACCTAACCTGAATGATATCCAATATGACTGATTGATTGCTTTGCTTTGGTGTGTAGGCAAACCTGGCAAGCAGGAGGCCTGGGAGAATCGTACCTATGTGGCTAGTAAGATGATCTATCACATCCAGGAGATCATTAGGGTATTGCAGGCTGTGGTGAGTACACAGGAAACTGCTGGTAGCGATATCAATACAAGTCATTTACAATACACCTTACACATTGCAGGAATGTCGAAGACTGTCTCTTCATTTAGTTACAAATAAATCCACACAATCTGTTCTCATGCCTGTCCAAGCGATGAAAATTATCCCCCTATACTTCCGTCTTAACGCACAAGGTCTATCAAGTGTGTCACTCAAATGTTGACCTCAAAGAAACCACTTCTAACTTTACGGTGCGTTGTCATTTCTGAGTATTTTGTCCTTATCCATCGTTTAAAAATTTGGAAACTCCCTAAGTTGTCTTACCTAGTGCAAATTGAACAAACAAATGTCTGGAAGTACAAGCCTCCAAAATGGCTGCCATGCCAAGGGTCTGTTCCTGACAGCAAGGGTTGGCACTCATTGGCACTGTTAGATGAACATTTTATCATAAATATGTTGTGTTATAAATACAAACTTAATGAAGCCCACTAGCTGTGAGGTTGCAAGAGAATTAATCAACCACAGTCTTTATGTATCTTATTATCAACTCTATTTCCGCACAGTGTTGGTGTACATGTAAGAAAGTGATTATTGAATGAATTGTCCTAAACAGGTTCCTTTCAAGCATAGACCAAGTGAACCCTGGAACCGACATGGACACCATGCACCAGTATCCTCCCCACTTTGTTACAAAGATAGAGAGAGAGAGAGTTACATCGCTGCAGTATGCTGGCATCATGCCAACATGCAGTATCATAATTCATCCAGCTCACAATGAGCCAAACACGCAGGAACTAGTGCATACGTGCATGCACCATGCGTCCACTACAAAGCAACTAGATAGATAACGCAAAGAATGAGCTAGTGGTTGTAACCTTCATGACCTTAACTTCAGTTATTTCTGCCTTGTATCTTGTTGGTTAGGATGATGATAGTTTCCGTGTGGATAATGTGACTGGTCTCCGTGCAGCGCAGAACCACATCAAGAACAACATGGATAAAGCCATGGGCTGGTTGGCAGATCCTAACGCACTGGCTGGGGGGATGGGTAAGTCGTGTCTCAAAATGGGTCACTCGCAAGGCTTGGAGTGGTACACATCACATGGTTTATGCATCTAAGAGCTGTGAAAAAAAAATTATATATTTCAGGTATATTATCTATATGCCTGTGATCTTGTTTGTGTATCATACGTGAGTGAGTGCGTAATGTAATACAATGTATATTTAGCACAGGTGGTAATGGGTTAAACACAGGTTCAAGTTTTTATTTTGGTAACATTCGGCATCCAGGTCGGATGTGTAGTTCCATAGATGTTGGGATACAAGTACAATTAGCACTTTCACGGTAATATGCGCCATCTTGTTGCTAGACTCGGCGCATTTGGAATGAACGCATGATGACATTGAAGCGCATAAAACGATGTTTACACAGCAATGCATGTGTATTTGCCCCATAAGCAGTATGGCGCATGTTACCGTGAAAGTGCTTATTGAAGGTGGTGTCATATAATTTGTGATGACATTCTCATAGGGCTTTCACAAAGGCCTATTTATTGTAATGTCATGTGACATATGATGACGTTATCATGACTTCATTTCAATTTTCAATTATTACATGTCCCTGACTATGAACAAACAATATTTCAACCAACATGGGCCTGTAGTTTTGGAGACATAATGCTTGGAATTATGTCTCCAAAACTACAGGCCCATTTCGGTTGAATGTGACATCATATGACACTCGACGATGTCATCTTGACCTAAATAATAGTTGGTTTGTTTTGCCATATGTGAAGGTGAGAAAGCTGTGCGACGTATACTGGAAGATGCTAAGAAGGTTGCTGGTGGTCTGGATGGGCCTAAGAAGGCAGAAATAGAGCAAGCTATCGATGAAATCACTGCCATGGTTAATGAACTGTCTGATCTCAGAGCAAAGGGACTGGTAAGGCAATCGCAAGAATTCTTGTTACAGGAAAGCTGAACTTTGCGCTGCTAATCCCACTCATTTAAAGTGTAGCATCAAAATGTTCATTTCTGTTAGTAGACTTGGGAAAACAATTCAAATGTAGTCAGGTCATGAGTCAGGTCATAAGTCAGGTCATGAGTCAGGTCAAGTCAGGTCATGAGTCAGGTCATGAGTCAGGTCAAGTCAGGTATGAGTCAGGTCATGAGTCAGGTCAAGTCAGGTCATGAGTCAGGTCATGAGTCAGGTCATGCGTAATGGGGGTTGAATGATTGCTACACACAGGGAACTTGTTTAAACTGTAGCTCAGTGTGGTATCTTTTCAGTGTGCTTGAGTCGAAATAGAATTGTCAAATAAAGTGGATGAATGTATTGCTTCTCTAAAGGCTTCTGAGCTTGCAAAATGCAATTATCAATCCAGGAGTTATCAATTCAATATATTTTGTGGTAATGAACATCATTGGTACTCTTTTCTGACTAAGGATTTGATTTGATTTAAGCTTGATCATATCATGATCATATCAACTTGGACTTGAGCCAGACTTGAACTAAGCTGGCCTTTGAGTTGGCTCAAGGAAGGTCTTAATGATGCACTTAACTTGGCTGGGAGGTACAACTGACTGTAAGATGAAACAATTTATTCATCACCAAACCCACATCAAGGTATAAGTAAGTGGTCACCTTATTGGAAATTCAGTGACTTTAATCCTGTAGATGCGTATGTTGAAAAAATGGATGTTTGACTGATGTTACAGGGTAACAGTCCTCGTGCGTTGGAGCTAGCCCATGCACTCGGCGGTGAGCATGGCAAACTAGCCAATCTGGAGAGGCAGATCAATGCTGCCATTGCAGAGATATTGAAGAGTAGTATGGGCAAGATGGCCTACACTGCTGGGGGTAAACTAGCTCAAGCTAAGGAATGGCTCAGCAATCCAGGTGCTGATGACAAAGGAGTGGGTAAGAGAACGCAACCTCTCTTATTTCCTCTCTGTAGCCAGTATCAGTATTGATACTGAATATCAAATTTAAAACTAGTAACTTAATTATTTATCAATATTTTATTTCGGCCCCACTGCTCTGCCAATCACAGAATGTATCTGCTGAGCAATATAGATCACACATCATTGGACTGATAAGTTTTTACTAATCAATTTCATTGAGCTACAAGAAGTATAGAGAAAAAAGCAAAACCTGGTGACACAAATTATGGGCTTCTTGCACAAGTACCAACGGCAAGACAGGGAGTGTTGGGGAGATTACTTAGACATGTCGCTCATTGCTGATGACGCCTGACACTCACATGAAGATGCTATGACTTTAATTTGTGCCCACTCTGAATACAATTAGTTGTGCGTACTTTGTGCTATACGTGCAAACCAGTACGTGCACATGGTGGGTCCCGTCCACAGGGCTCTCGATAGTGGTAAAAAAAACGCCCTCTCTTTTTCGCGCACGTAGCCAATGTATGTGGTCATGACTGGTTTGGATGTGATATTTGCATGGCTAGGGAGTATGTCAGTATGTCTGCTTCTCAGGTCTATGACATTTGCCCCTGGTGTGTTTCTTGCATCTTTCTACTTCACCCTGTATACTTGTTGAATACTACCATTAGGTTACCGCGCCATCAAAGACATCATTTCAACAGGACGTCAGATTGCTGGCACCTGCGATGATCTTGGTCAACGAAATGATCTTCTCCGTCTTTGTAACGAGGCAGAATCTCTGAACGACCATCTGAGAGATCTGTGTAAGAAGGGACAGGTATGCTTGACAAATGACTGCAATCCTCAATGCCACAATGAACTGTTCTCTTTCAAAAAATGTTGGTGAAAATATAAATTATAAACAGTTAAGATTAAAATTGTTAGTGTACTGTAGTGTAGACTTTTTAGTGCACATAGTTTTTCCACAAAATAGTGTATTGTGCAAGATGTTGATCATTTTAATATTTTAACTTCAACTTTTGAGCAAGTTGTAGCATCAGCTACCAGAAATGGCAGTTCATCCAAGCAGGCAAGAATGCACAATGGTTGAAGCACTCTAGTTGGTTATTTTAAACCTGACACAGGGACAGTTGTATCAATGGTTCTCAGTAATGTTCATTATTAATGAAGTTCACAAATAATGTTCATATTAATTAAGTGCAGAAAGAACTATTGACAGTGTGTAAAATAGCTGTGAAAAAAAATTAAATAGGAATGGCAATGTGCAATACACCTAATTCAGTAATGGCTTGACTAAGGTTAATTGAGTTGGACTGTAGCAGATCAATGGTTGATGCGCTTTGTGCTACCTTCATATCTTCTCTTCCAGGGTAACACTCCACAAGCTGAAGCAACGGCCAAAAAGTTATCAGAGAAGCTGGGTCAGTTAAATGACAAGATGACTGAGATTGTCATGGGCCAGGTGTCGTCTGATTTCCTTGACCCAATGTCTGCCGTCAACAAGATGTATGAGGCTGCCCTAGCTCCTGAAGGTATGTCTGGGAATCTGTCTACAACCCCTGGCTTTATGGTATCACACACTAAAGTACATCAGTTTTAGGCTATCAGAGAACGCGAAGACTACTGCTTAAGTAGAAACCACACATTCAGAGGAATGCCAACCTAATGTTTTGATAAGCAGATGAACACCCTTCAAATCAATGCATTTGAAGTCTTTGCTGATTTTGTCCAGCATCCTCCGTGTTACTCCATGTTGAGGGCATTAGCTTCTCATGTTTCAGCATCAGTTTCATCTCAAGCTCCTGAATAATTAAGGAGTCTTAAATGCTTTCACCAGATGAATGCACTCTCAAGATATGGCCTCATGTTATAGATGTGATGTCAGTGATCTATAATATGAAACTGAAACCCGAAGCTGAAGATGGCCCCTGTTTTCAGCAAAGGCTTAATCTCTAGCTTCAGATGGAGGAGATTGTTCGGCTCATGTCTTTTGGTACTTCATCTCAATGCCCATGCTGTGCCTTAAACACATGCGATCGTCCAATAATGAGGTCAAAAGTTGAAGTATTTCATGGATGCACATTATGTAAGGCGGCTTAATGAATCTGGAAGCAGAAACAAAGCTGAGATTTAGAAATAGTCTGAGTAGAAGCCCAGACTGATTGAATTCTCCGGCTATATACTATCATGTATTGTGTGTTCCTGGCCAGGCGCCCCACACCGTGAGGCTAACTTCACCAGCAAAGCGCAGATCTTTCTTGAGAGTAGCAACAAAGCGGCAGATACAGCGGCTCGCTTTGCTGGCATTGCTGATGCAGACAGAGACACAGTGGATCAGATTCATCGCCTCAGTAATCAGGTAGGAACCTGCTCAGTTGCTTATCATCTCTCTGTCACTGCAACTTTAAACCAAAACAAATCAATTTCATTCTACAGTATTTTGAAATATGTCAAAACGGGGCCCTAAAATGAAGGGTTTCCTCCATCCCACACGAAGAATAAGTTTGATTGAGAAACATATAGCGAAAGACAAGTGGCATAATTTTTTGCCATTTGGATGAGTTTTCTTCTCTTTTTTTGACAATCGGGAGTTCTTCTGAAAACTTGAAGTCCTATTACATTGGCACATGTGCCATGAGTATGTGATTGTTGTCATCCCTGTGTTATTGATAGTGTCATGTTGTCATGTTGTCATGTTGTCATGTGTGTGTGACAGGTGAAGGAGCTGACTCCACAGGTGGTCTCTGCTGCTCGCATTGTCCTGATGAATCCCAACAACAAGGTCAGACTTTATGCATGCAGTTATATTGTCCTCTTAACATTTCTGGTATGTTTGCATAAGAAACATAATGATGTGAGTGTCTAAGACAATCAATGTTAAAATTGTTTTTACCTTGAAGGAAGAGAATAAGACATGGGGTACAATACAATATCCTGACACCCTTGTGAGGATATTTTATAAAAATTATCATGACTCCCCCTACCCTTTCTCGGCAAACCTCTTAAGTAGCATCATGATACCATACAAACCTTTACATGTACATAGATTTATTGCTTTGTTTTATGTCACTTGGTAAGAGAATAATCATTGAAATGTTGGTCAATTGACACAGGCATATATTAAACAAATATTAAACATTGGCGTATGTGATGTACACATACAGACTGATCATTCCCAACTGACACATTTGCTACATAGAAGATGGCAACTAAATAATCTTCATGCCTCTCGGGGAGGGGGGGGGGGGTGGTTTGATGATGCGGGCACTGTCCAGGCCCTCCGTAGCATAAAGGTAGTGTTGATTGTAAGCCACGTCTCAAGTGGGCATTGTTGCAATGGCTGTGGCTCTCTACTGTGCCACACCAATGACATATGAATGTCATAGCCACAGTATCCCTGATTCACAGACAGTCTAATAGTCTTGATAATATGAACAGGTTGCAGCAGCTCATTTAGATGTGATGAAGAACGATTGGGAGGGAGCAATGAAAGAACTGGATGCCAAGCTGACGTCTTCCTTAGATGTGCCAGCATTCATGAAAGCCTCAGGTTAGATGAGTGTCTTGACATAACAGTAATAGGCTACTATCAATATTATACTGGGATTGGAATATTGGTCATCATGGTTCTCTGAGTAGGTTGCTGTGTGTAGGGATGCATTCAGGTTAGGGTAAAGGGCTGATTTCTTTGAAATCTGTACATGTGCTATATCCTGTATTCTTGGGCATCTTTTAAGAGAATGTAAGGGGTAATATAGTGTGTGGGTATTTGGGGGGCTTTTGTTGACGTCCGGATGAGGAATTACCACATAGTAGCCAAAGTGTTTAAGTGAAATCACAGTGATTCTGAAGTACAGTGCAGTACAATCCCTGTGTACACAATAGAGCGTACCATGGGAAATGGGCATGATGTGTATATTTGTTCAACTCCTATTTCAATGCAATCTATATACTCCAAACACATGGTGTTCTAGTTTTCATTCAACTGATTTTGTAACTAATCTGTTTTCATGTGATTTACAAAAATAGCACTTTTGCCAAATAAGGCCAAAGATATGTTTGTGGAATGATATAATCCTTTAGTTTGTCAGTGACTGATGGTTGCTTTACATGGTATCTCTGTGATCTCTTAGAGGAGAGTATGAAGAAACAGACTGAGCTTGCTGTAGCCGCTGTCCATCAGCGCAACCCACAGACCTATGCCTCATGCATCTCCAACATTGCACTACGCGGTAAGAACATGGTCAAAGTTGCCAAACGAGAAGCTGAGAACAGTGAGGATCCAGAGTTCCAACACAAAGTAGACTCCGCATCAGATCAAGTCAACAACTGTAAGTTGTTTTCACTTTGTTGTCTTCTGTAGACTAATTTGATGACCACAATCTGATGCTGTTAGTGAGTTGTCCTTTTATCCAATGCACAAATACCCCCTCAAACACTGAAAAGGAGAGATGTGAACTAATGAAGGAGTCCTGAGCACCACTGCAGTCATGTGCCTGCACTCAGGTACTAGCTGTGTGGAGATGCACTACAGGTATGTTCATATACATAATTGTGAAAATTGGTTGAATAAAATGTGAACCGATGCACCCACACAGATGGCCTTCATACATTGGCTACCATGAACAGCCACTTAACACCATCTATTCTTACACAGAGTTCACAATGTAGCCAAGATAAGCCCTCCCATCAGAAATTAAGAAATCTTACAACACACATGCAAGCAATGATCCACCTCAGTTATATATTCAGTTTGTGGTCATTGGATTATGAGATTTCTATCAGATCAATTAAAGGAGGAGAGTGCTTTGTGTGCTGTGTGTACATGGCCTGTGATCACCATGCCATAGTGGTGGTTCTCAGGACTGACATTGCACTCTCAACCGCATGATTTGGATGTACACATGCACACAGTCTCTCATATCTGTGTAATATGCCGACTGTTAGCACAGGCTTTCCTGTACTAGCTGGTGAATTCTAAGCTAAGCGTAACCAAGAAATTGACTGCCATGATTTTCCTCTGTGGTTTTAATGTCTTTCCTGTCAAGTAAACTCTTATCTGTTTTATGAAATGTGAGATAATGCTTTCTTCTTTACCCAACTGCCCTGCAGCAGGAGGTTGGCATTTATTAACCAGAATAACTCCAGTCTGCAATGTTAATGTGCTGTGTTACTATGATTGTCTTGATAGGCATCCCTCCAACAGTGACTACTGGCAAGCAATTGATGCAAGACATGGCAAATCCAGACAAAATGGCCAACTGGCAAGATGCAAATAGCAAGGTAAATTGACTCCTCATTCTACGACTTCTGTCCACTGCGTCTGTATTTCTATATTCCACAGCCTTTGTGCAGTCTATATGGAGTCCATTGAGAACAGCAGATAGAGCAATGTAGCCTACCCACCACTGCCTGTGTGTGCAGGACATGGTGCATATGCCCACTGTGTATGGTAGGGTGCAGCCAAAGCATCTTCATAGAGGAATGCACATGACTAGTAGTGGTAGTGTCCTGCAACCTCGCTCTCTCAATTCAACTGTATATGAGAGGTCATTGTACATGGTGCCCAGTGAATCAATCTTGGATAGATACCTGCATTATGCAGTCTATTCAATTGATAGCTGTAATTTAATGATACGTTGTCTCAGGTGAGGTTAGTTTGCTTCATCCACTTTTGGTGTAAACGTACATAGCCCCACACAGGTTGCAGCACCAGAAGGTGACAATACATTTATGCTGGATGAATTGATAGAGAGTTTGAGAAATCCAGGCAGTATAAGTTTGAAACAAAATGGAACGAGGCAACTGTACTCCAACTTACTAGATAGCACCCAGTTTCAAAACCTATCCGGGTCAGGAAGCAACCCAAATAGGTCCTGAAACAGTTCTCTATCTAGTAAGTTTGAGTCCAGTTGTCGCGCTTTAATTTGTTTTTTAAATTTATCCTGTAGCTCATGTGGTAGTTTGTCAGTGGCTGCAATCGTGAGTTGACATTATTAGATACAGAGCAAATCAACACACAGGTTGCCACAGCAGCCGTGGTATATTGCAGTGAATACATGTAACTCGGAGAGAGTGAGGGTTGAGTTAAACATTTACATATGCATAAATTACATACATGTTTGTAATACTGTTTACAAATTTCCCGATGGTGTTGTTGCTTACCCAATATTCTAGATATGAAATATCTGTTGTTGTCATTGGATCCCATTAATCTGAGAAATTGATTTATCAAAGTTCTCTTTTTTTTTCAGGAAGGATCGTCTGTCTTTCATCCACTCATGGTGTTTTTATTGCACTACATTTTGCTGAACTGTTTGAAATCTGAACTGTTTAGTAGAATCACACATTCATCACACAATATCCTGCACTTGGATATAGAGTCTGAGAATAGCTAGCCTATTATTGTCTATATGACCTCTGACATGGGGTCAATTTCTTCAGGCATCTCATGTGTATGTATAGGCGCTGTGTTGTGCTTGTATGCATAGCTGCTAGATAGTCTAATCACATTCATGGTTTATTATTCTTTATGCTCACAATAATCATTATTATAGGTACATAGTATAAGTACAATTAACAAAACAGGCAAAAGGAAACAGTTGGGTAAGTTATTTTAAGATGAATACTGAATGTCAGCATGGAGGGGGAGGCAGGAGAAGCCGAAGGCTTTTATTCCTCCCCCTTCCCATCCCCTATATCACCTTTAACTATAGTTACTGCATTGAAGGCTGTTGTATCCCCATGTATGATATGAGGACATGTTTGCAGTCTAACCACGTCAGCCTTGCCTTACCACACAGCTAATGACTTCAGTGGCGGAACTCCAAGTGCCATTCATCTATGTCATTCCCCCTGTGGAGTACTACGCCCCTCCACCACCGGTACCACCACCCCCATCACACCCAATGGCTCAACAGGCACAGCCAAGCAAACAGGTGCACAGAATTGACGATCACTCACAACTAACTTTGTTTGTGCTTTGTTTCCTCCAGTAATAGTTGAGCATCAGTGCATGGCAGATTCTTCACATTCAGTAGTGGATTAGGTAATGACTTCATTGTAGTGAATAATATGATGCATTGATAACTATCCATTGCCTAGCTGTTAAATACATGTATCACGTTATCAACTAATCAATTAACAAGAACGTTCTTACAGTAGACTTCACTGTACAGCATGTACATAGTGTTTGTGTATAGCCTTCATGAACATATGTGATGATGGAAAAAATAAGAAGTCGATATCTCCAATGAGGTACAGGCCTGGAATAGTGGTGTACTGGAGTGATCAAACAAAGCAAGCCTCCCAAGGTGATCTGTTTGTGAGCATGGTATAGTCCAGAAGCAATGGCAAGTAAACTAGAATGCTGCAAAGATCAGCAAGGAAGGCTTATATCAGCGTACCGTGAGTGAAGAATAGCAGTCAGTATTTGCATTATTATACCGCATGCTTGGATTATCAACAGATTTAAAAGTATCTGATTAATAGACGTAAACAAAAATCAAAGAAAACAATTATGTGGAGAGAAATTTTATGACATTAAAAAGTTGTCAGAATATTATCATGGTATGATTTGTTCATGTAGAAGGCATTACCGTCATCATTGGCGACCAGGCCTGTATACTGCATGGAAGTACTAACATTCCCATATCTATGCATTGACCATGTTTACTTCATGTATCTTTGTTTATGTACGTGTTACATCTGTACAGCCTGAAATTCAGTATTCACATCATTGAAGTGCAATTATTATAATTATTGATTTTTTTGGAGGGGGGGGGGGATCTTTGGGACAATTTTTATTAATTCCAAACTTCCACAGAATTGATTAGGGTATTGTCTGATGTTAAGAGGGTCAAGAGGCTCAAATCCAGCGACTGTGTTGTGTCCTTGGGCAATCCACCTCACCTCCACTTGCCTCCTTCACCCAGCATGCCCAGGGGGTGGGGAGTAACCTGTGATGGACTGGCATCACATGCAGGGGTATGTCATATATTCTCACAATCCTTGAATACCAAGGAAACCAGAGATACATACCAGCCCAAATGTCTCGAGAGAGAGACTTCAGTTTGGCCCGGTACAGATCTCTTTAATATACATTCATATTTTCACAGTTCTGCCTTTGCAAGTTTGTTGCATTATTGTGAAGAAATGGGAAACAAAGAAAAGGACACCATACAACATTTGTTTGTATACATCATACAACCTCAGCATGCAGCTAATTTACCTTTGTAATGTGTTTTGCTTGGTCAAATATCACCATATCAATATTTTCAGTCTCATTATTATCGTACAGTGTTTATGCCTGCCGGATTTATATCCACTCGTTAACAAACAAGCAGCACTTCACAATGGCCCTTGTTGGTATCTCAATGGTTGTTCATGTTGTGTAGTAGGAAATCAGACTGGGAAGCCTGAAACTCAAAATTTGAAAATAAGTAAACCTGTCAGTTGGCATGGGATGAGTTATGTGTGTGCAATAAATAACTGAAGAACTCATAACCTACATTTACATGTACATTACATGTATGTATTATTTTGTACTATATTTGGAAAACTAAGGAAGCTGTTGGAAGTTTCTCTTGCAGAGTGCACATATCCAGCATGCATAGACATCAGATCCTCTCATATTCAAGTTTGTATTCATGGTGTGAACCAACATACATGTACATTACTAACCACACATGTGCATGTGAATAATCAAATCCTAAGGCTTCATGGAAAGTTGATGTTTAAACAGTCCTTTAAATTCACAAAAGCAAATGCATTATTATTCATAAGATGGATTCGTTTTGCATCGGGGTGATGTCAATTTAATATTGGGTTCTGTCCTTCACCCTCAGCGACGGGCAGGACCCAATATTACATTCATTATTTGCATGTTTCTCCATGGAGAGCCTATCTCTTATCAATTCTGTTGTGTTCTTTTTTGAAGTGTTTGAAATAATCAGCATTGCCAGCATTGAGGTGGTTGATGTTCATTACATAGGCGTTATTTCAAGCTGTGTGCATCATGGTGTTATGTATCTTCACAAGTTCCTGTAAAGCTGAAATAAATCTAAACCATTATTTGTTTGAGTAGATTCCTCTGACAATGCTTTCTATACCATTGTAGTTCAGTCCTTTTCTGAGTCTGTGAACTGAAATACGTATAGCAGGAATCTAACCTACATGTAAGCAGCGAGGCTGTGTGGATTGAGTATTTGGAGACATATACCTAACACATACATTTGTATACAAAGATTTGCAAATGGACATGGTCTCTGGTCCAAGTTTTGTTGTATTTCTTGGACATTTTGGTACACCCTTTTGTCCAAGTCCAATAATCAATAGTACAAATACTCAGAACACACTGCCTTTCTCAAGGTTTAATTCTACTGTTTCCCTAAACCGGGAAGACTCAGAGAAGGACGTGGTTCAAGATGGTCTTGTACCCTTTTCACCCTTGTAGCGAGCAGGACAGTACCCAGTCTCCAGCATGTCTCAGTACAAGACCCCACCAGGACCTGACTTGCCTGGTTACAAGATGGCTGCCGCTCAGTTGCAAGATGCTCTGCATAGCCCGCCCTCACATTACCCCGCAGTGTCCAGTCATCAGTCCTACGCATACCCTACCTCTAATCACTCTGATACTCCCACGTACATTGACTCAGCATCAACAAGTCTACCATCTTATCATGCACAGGTTTTCAATTACAAGTTTTTGATTTCTTTCTGTCCTAAAGTCCAGACAAATGTTGCCTTGTTTTCAGCCATGTCTTTGTACAATGTTTGCATTTCCTTGATGTCTTTACAATTTCAAGTTGGAAAGTGAGAGCTGGATGTTGTTTCTTTTATATTTTGATGAAGTTGAGTCTAATGTTGTTTGTTTTAGCTGTGTTTTGGTAAAGTTTTGGTTGAGGTTTTGTTTTATATGATTATAAAGGTCATAGATTTTGTCACCATATGTAGAAAATTGAAGCTGGATTTTGTGCCTTGTTGTATGTGAGTCGGCATGTTTGTGTTTGGTTTTTGCAACTGTTGTCAAATGCTGTGTCGGTAGTGGTTATTGTACTGTGTCATGGTTACGATGGATCCATCATCTTATAAGAATACATCTTCCTTTGAGTCAGTGCCCATGGCATCAACAGCACATGCCATGAGCCCAGTGCCTGCCTTTGAGTCAGTGCGCATTGCATCAACAGCACATGCCATGAGCCCAGTGCCTGCCTTTGAGTCAGTGCGCATTGCATTAACAACACATGCCATGAGCCCAGTGCCTGCCTTTGAGTCAGTGCCCATGGCATCAACAGCACATGCCATGAGCCCAGTGCCTGCCTTTGAGTCAGAGCGCATTGCATCAACAGCACATGCCATGAGCCCAGTGTCTGCCTTTGAGTCAGAGTGCATTGCATCAACAGCACATGCCAAGAGCCCAGGTTCTGCCTTTGAGTCAGTGCGCATTGCATCAACAACACATGCCATGAGCCCAGTGTCTGCCTTTGAGTCAGTGCGCATTGCATCAACAGCACATGCCATGAGCCCAGTGCCTGCCTTTGAGTCAGTGCGCATTGCATCAACAACACATGCCATGTACCCAGTGCCTGCCTTTGAGTCAGTGCGCATTGCATCAACAACACATGCCATGAGCCCAGTGCCTGCCTTTGAGTCAGTGCGCATTGCATCAACAGCACATGCCATGAGCCCAGTGCCTGCCTTTGAGTCAGTGCGCATTGCATCAACAGCACATGCCATGAGCCCAGTGCCTGCCTTTGAGTCAGTGCGCATTGCATTAACAACACATGCCATGAGCCCAGTGCCTGCCTTTGAGTCAGTGCCCATGGCATCAACAGCACATGCCATGAGCCCAGTGCCTGCCTTTGAGTCAGAGCGCATTGCATCAACAGCACATGCCATGAGCCCAGTGTCTGCCTTTGAGTCAGTGCGCATTGCATCAACAGCACATGCCATGAGCCCAGGTTCTGCCTTTGAGTCGGTGCCGATGCATCAACAACACATGCCATGAGCCCAGTGTCTGCCTTTGAGTCAGTGCGCATTGCATCAACAGCACATGCCATGAGCCCAGTGCCTGCCTTTGAGTCAGTGCGCATTGCATCAACAACACATGCCATGTACCCAGTGCCTGCCTTTGAGTCAGTGCGCATTGCATCAACAACACATGCCATGAGCCCAGTGCCTGCCTTTGAGTCAGTGCGCATTGCATCAACAACACATGCCATGAGCCCAGTGTCTGCCTTTGAGTCGGTGCCGATGCATCAACAGCACATGCCATGAGCCCAGTGTCTGCCTTTGAGTCAGTGCGCATTGCATCAACAGCACATGCCATGAGCCCAGTGCCTGCCTTTGAGTCATTGCGCATTGCATCAACAACACATGCCATGTACCCAGTGCCTGCCTTTGAGTCAGTGCGCATTGCATCAACAGCACATGATGATCCCAGTGCCTGCCTTTGAATCAGTGCGCATTGCATCAACAGCACATGCCATGAGCCCAGTGTCTGCCTTTGAGTCAGTGCGCATTGCATCAACAACACATGCCATGAGCCCAGTGTCTGCCTTTGAGTCAGTGCGCATTGCATCAACAACACATGCCATGAGCCCAGTGTCTGCCTTTGAGTCAGAGCGCATTGCATCAACAGCACATGTCATGAGCCCAGTGTCTGCCTTTGAGTCAGTGCGCATTGCATCAACAACACATGCCATGAGCCCAGTGCCTGCCTTTGAGTCAGTGCGCATTGCATCAACAACACATGCCATGAGCCCAGTGTCTGCCTTTGAGTCAGAGCGCATTGCATCAACAGCACATGTCATGAGCCCAGTGCTTGCCTTTGAGTCAGAGTGCATTGCATCAATAGCCATGCCATGAGCCCAGTGCCTGCCTTTGAGTCAGTGCGCATTGCATCAACAGCACATGCCATGAGCCCAGTGCCTGCCTTTGAGTCAGTGCGCGCGCATCGCATCAACAACACATGCCATGAGCCCAGTGCCTGCCTTTGAGTCAGTGCGCATTGCATGAGCCAAGTGTCTGCCTTTGAGTCAGTGCGCATTGCATCAACAGCACATGTCATGAGCCCAGTGCCTGCCTTTGATTCAGAGCGCATTGCATCAACAGCACATGCCATGAGCCCAGTGCCTGCCTTTGAGTCAGTGCGCATCGCATCAACAGCACATGCCATGAGCCCAGTGCCTGCCTTTGAGTCAGTGCGCATTGCATCAACAGCACATGCCATGAGCCCAGTGGCTGCCTTTGAGTCAGTGCACATTGCATCAACAGCACATGTCATGAGCCCAGTGCCTGCCTTTGATTCAGAGCGCATTGCATCAACAGCACATGCCATGAGCCCAGTGCCTGCCTTTGAGTCAGTGCGCATCGCATCAACAGCACATGCCATGAGCCCAGTGCCTGCCTTTGAGTCAGTGCGCATTGCATCAACAGCACATGCCATGAGCCCAGTGGCTGCCTTTGAGTCGGTGCGCATTGTATCAACAACACATGCCATGAGCCCAGTGCCTGCTTTTGAGTCAGTGCGCATTGCATCAACAGCACATGCCATGAGCCCAGGTTCTGCCTTTGAGTCAGTGCGCATTGCATCAACAACACATGCCATGAGCCCAGTGCCTGCCTTTTGAGTCAGTGCGCATTGCATCAACAACACATGCCATGAGCCCAGTGTCTGCCTTTGAGTCAGTACGCATTGCATCAACAGCACATGCCATGAGCCCAGTGCCTGCCTTTGAGTCAGTGCGCATCGCATCAACAGCACATGCCATGAGCCCAGGTTCTGCCTTTGAGTCAGTGCGCATTGCATCAACAGCACATGCCATGAGCCCAGTGGCTGCCTTTGAGTCGGTGCGCATTGTATCAACAACACATGCCATGAGCCCAGTGCCTGCCTTTGAGTCAGTGCGCATTGCATCAACAGCACATGCCATGAGCCCAGTGCCTGCTTTTGAGTCAGTGCGCATTGCATCAACAGCACATGCCATGAGCCCAGGTTCTGCCTTTGAGTCAGTGCGCATTGCATCAACAACACATGCCATGAGCCCAGTGCCTGCCTTTTGAGTCAGTGCGCATTGCATCAACAACACATGCCATGAGCCCAGTGCCTGCCTTTGAATCAGTGCGCATTGCATCAACAACACATGCCATGAGCCCAGTGCCTGAGTCACAAGTCAAATGCTCCAATTCCTTTCCTTTCGTCATTTAATCTTCATGTGGTTTGATTGAGCATGATCATTTGTCCCTTGCAGTTATGAAACGAATATCATTTGGCAGAAATGCAAAATTACTGATGGCATTGCTTGTGTTCATATTGAGGTGCAGACACACAGGAGTATTTCACGGATTGCCGTTACAGTACCTGGTATCTGGTATCTGAAATCTGCTATATGTTTAGAACAAGTGCTTTTTATGAATGTTACTGTGTCATGTGACCTGCAAACCCTCACTTGTACTGGTTCTTTCATTCCTAATATGCAATCATTGAATGAAATGAATGTGTAAATGTGCCGCCACAGTATAACGGTAATCATCAATTGCTTGTAAATGACTCCCGGTGACATTGTGATACCACAGTCAGACACACATCTTGGAGTTCATGATCATATCAGATTTCAAAATCAAAAACATGGGAGAAATAATTTTAAGAACGTTGAAGAGATACTCTTTTAAAACCGTTATTGACAGCATAATATTGATTGATATTTGATGAGATGGTTGTTTTTTTGTCCCTTTATTAGCCATCCCGTTATGAGGCCATTCAGCCTGAGAGTGCTTCACCTCAGGTGCATTCTGCTCCACCTGTCCCTCCTCCTCCGGCACCTCAAGCCACTCAGGTGCCTTCTCTTCACTCTCTGGCATGCTTGTTGTCCTGTCCTGTCTAGTTTCCATGTCTTGTTCTTTGGGATGCTCACTTTCTAGTGAAGGATTATTGGATTTTGATGGAATTGTTTGTGTTATCAGTTCATCACAATGCATCCAGTCTCAAGTTAAGTCACAAGTCATTCCAGTGAACGGTGACTAAGGCACTCCTTGGCCATTGTTCATCCCTTGCTACTTGTAACCAGGACTCGTGATTTGACTTGAGGTTGACTGGATTACATCTCTGGCATTGTTTGCATCAGCATGAAGTCTGGAGTTGAGTTGCAGTGGTTGAGTCCTACACTCAGATAGCAGTGCTAATATGATTGTCGTACCAAGAATCACCAAAGACATTTGTGCTATAGAACAAGTTGTGCAAAGAAAACTTATAATGTGTTGTCTTTGTCAAAGTATTGAACAATTTGTCAGAGGAATGCCCGTCTGTAGTCTACAAGTATTAATGATGATTGATGAATAATATTTAGGGCTTTTAACTGAGATCAAAGCACTTGACATATTGCAAGGATTCAGTTTTGAATCACAGGCTTCAGCATGCGTCATGAAAAGTCGTGATGTTCAACTACAACCATTTAAAACTTGAATCATTCAAAAATTCAGTGTCAATTCATCATTTCATCTGATTGCTGTGTGTCAAATTTGCACGTTTTCCATGAAGATAAATAGGCTTGCCATGAGTGTTTTTCATAGCTGTACAACTTGCAGTGCTGTGTGTCTCCACATCCCCTCGGCCAAATAGCCTTCTGAACATAGATTAGATACACCTGCATGAGTCTCAGTGATCTAGTTACCCGTTTGGAATCACCTACAAGAGCAGCATTGGATATTGGCAAGGCACATTTGAAATCACAAATTACAAATAAATTCCGAAGTGTATACAAGTTATTGAGTCTCCTTGTCAAAGGGTGTCCCCCCCCCTTTTAAAAACAAAAGACAAAAACAAAGGGGGGAGGAAAATGGAAAAATAAAATAACATAGTGGATTCAGTTATTGAAAAGTGAATTTGATATAGAGTTAACAATAGGTACATGTAACAATCTTGCATCATGGAGATAGAGCACTCTTTAGTGTTAATGAACATCCAACCCAAGGAAAATGTCAAAATATTTCCAGTGAAATCCCCATGGAAAAAAAATTTCACTTTCCTACTGTTGAGATGTCAATAAATAACATTACGCTATACAGTGCTCCAAATGCTGAATATCTGGCTTTGTTTAATGCATGACAAGAACAAAATTGTTCATTGGACTGCTGTGGTCATGAATCCCCTGTGTTGGTTTCAGGAATGATCTCATCATTTCATATATTCCATTACCATAGCAATCATATGTTACACCACCACCTCCACCTACACCCACATCACGGCGCATTCAGGTAAAATCTCTTCTTGACTAGCATCATTTCCACTTCCTCCCTACATCTGTTCTTTATCACAATCTCATCCAAGATGCTGCTGTGTCTACATGTATCCTCTGAAGGCCTTGATTATGTATGCATGGGTTAGCTTCACTAAGCACCGTGATCAATCATATCTTTAGTTACAGTGGATATCAAGCTGTAACTCATGGTGGCTGCAATAAATGATTTCAAGAAACTTACAAAGTATGATGAGTCATTTGGTCATTGAACATTAAGTGTCATTTCAGAGCTTGTTTTACAACCTATCAAATGAAGAGGTGATCCTAAAATCTGGGTCTCATGTATAAATCTTAACACAAGAAACACAGGAAAAAAATGATATCCCTTGAAAAATTAATACCTGACAACTTGTCTCTGAATACCTGATGACTTGTGTCTGAATACCATACTGACTTGTTTCCGAATACCTGACAACATGTCACTGAATACCTGATGTGTCACTGAATACCTGCTGTGTCACTGAGTACCTGAGAAGACTTGTCACTCAATAACTGACTACATGTAACTGAATACCTGAGGACTTTTCACTGAATACATGACAACTTGTCACTGAATACCTAATGTGTCACTGAATACCTAATGTGTCACTGAATACCTGATGACTTGTCACTGAATACCTGACATGTTACTGAATACCTGGTGACTTGTTATTAAATTCCTGATGACTTGTTTGTTCATCTGATCCCTTGAAGAACTGATCTTAGCTGTGATTGTTTATGGTGCAGCTATCCCTCCTATCTAGGTTCATTGGTTACAGTAACTTTAGGGAACCCAATGCCTGATTCTGCAGTGCAATCCATATTGCTGTGGCATTTCATGTACAGCATCTTTCTATTTATATCTGTATGTAGAGTCAGGAGCCACCACGCCCTCCACCTCCACCTAGCTATCAGCCTAAAAAGGTCTCAACATTCTTTCATGTCTTTTTGCATGGCTTACTGACAACAGTTGGTTGAGTTTAACTGGAGCAGAATCTAAACCAGTGACATCTGATTGGACATTGTACTAGTGCCCTACCAACTGAGCTATCCGCCTGTATATTGCCAGTCTTCCATTATGTTGGCAATCTTCCAATTTGTCATTGTCTTCATTCAAGGGCTGCTAGTCAGAAGAACCTAAATGTATGCCATGAGTCCAGGGATCACAGCCAAACATGAACCATACTGTCAACCTGGGACATGGCTTATTACAAAGTTCGTTTTCAGACCCGAAATCATTTTGATATCCACAAGTCAAGATTGACCATTCATTGGCTTACATACCACATTCCACCACCATTTGGCTGGGGGTGGGGTGGTCCCTCATTCATTGGGTATACGTATGCATATATGTATTTTTACTTTGGATATTTTAATGAAGTATATATCCTAGAAGCGATACTGTGGTCTTCCTTGGAAAAGTCATAACCATGTCCATGGAACTATGCCACCATTTCATAGAAACGTATTCATCGTACGGCAATGAAGCTAAGAATGTTTTTTTTTGTTTTTTTAAATGAATGCCTATGGGCACTGTTATGCGTAAAGGCTAGCTCATACTTCATGCGAATGCGATGCAAATTTGACGTCATGAAACATTCGCTGCAAAATTCGGCGGAGTTAAAATTGTATTCAACTATTGTGAATTCGCAGTGCGAAAATTTGCCCTGACATCACAAATTCGTGTTCGCATTCGCTTTCGCGTTGAGTATGAACCAGCATTCAGAAATTCTTTCAACACGTAAATTGATGTTGCCGGTTAATTTGAAATAGTATATATGACTGATGTTATTTGTAGTAAACATTCCATAGGTTGAAATGCTTCTTGTTACTATTTAACATGATAATGGGCTATTTGTCTGTCCAGGCCAGCCAGTTATCTACAGGTGCCGGTCCTATGTCTCATGTCTCAGGCTTAGACACCCATGGACCCATCTCTTACCAAGCTACACCATCTATAGGCCAGGTCTCTACAGCACCTACGTCAGCTTTACAGCCTCAAGATTGGCAATCAACCCAGGTTTCTAACATTTGATCTCCATTTCCTCCTGTTTGCTTGTGTCTCCCATTGCCTGCCGGTTGATAATAACATTGCTGACTGTGTTGAATTTCAGGACAAAGACATTTGCTAGGATCCATTGTCATGTTGATCATCATTTTTAAGTGATTCCAGTTGTACTAACAATAATTGCATTCATTGTGCATGTTTTTCCCCCATGTTATTTGTTTGCTTTGTGTTTTATGTTTGAGAAATATTCTACCAGGATGAAAATGTCAAGCCCTCAGACTGGTATGACTTGTATGGTACATGTATCATAATGCTTCAATATTAGTACCTTACATTGTCAGGATTTGCATCAGTAAGGTCAAGACTGTGTTTTACAAGACGTTATGGCTCGCTTGATGGATGATACATGTGTGCAGAGTGTTTGGCACTAGCACCATGTACATGTACAAATGTATCTCGTTTATGAGTTAATGTGTGGTTCTTAGAACAACCAGCTAACTATGACCTGATATGAAGTCTAATCACAAAGACTCCCTCAATATTTATATAGAGAGAGGAGGGACTTTGGAATGCATTGAAGATGAGTGAAGATGAAGCGGGTTTGTGTGCAATCAGAATAACATGAGTCAGGTGTACTTTTATGCCGTGCGCACTTGATGCCTGAGTTGGTCATGAAGCGCCCTCTATGGTTGATACATGGAGTCCATAAGGTGGAACAAAAAACTTACTAGGCTAGAATTGTGCACTTCACCAGAAATAACCAGTTTTTCTTAGAATCACACATAATTCACAAAAGAGATACTTGGTGCTTCCAAAAACCTCTGAATTCAGAGACCTACGTATAAAGAATTATATCATTTTAACATTCAAGTATGATTTACATGTAAATATATCCCTGTTATGAGTTATATGTAAATAACACTTGTATGAATTCTGCCTCAGTGACAAGTAAAGTAGAATGCAATGTAGTTACATACATGGTTTGCTTCAATGGCAATGTGTTTCATGATGCATGATGTGACTGATTCCAACTACAGGACCATTTCTGTAGCCTCATCCTGAAATCCTAACACATTTTTGCAACTGACATTTATCATACTTGACTTTCATTAATTTGCCAGATTTGTAAGTGAGTCTGTAGTCAATACAAGTCACAACCAAGTCAGCATGTTCATCTCCTGTTGTGACCTGATGTGTGACCTGTCATTGACTTGATTTCAAATCTGTTAAACATTTGCTCATACATGTATGTCATACCAAAAGGTACTATAACAAGCGGTCATATGCTGCAGTTCCATGTAAGAATGACTAATATCCTAATCGCAATGGACAATGGCTGATTTGTTTTGTTTGCAGGTTTTCATTAAATTTTGATTCATTTCCTTCAGCTTAGAAATGATGTTTTGATATAAAGGACAGTATGTTGCTTCAAACCGTTTGGGGTTCAAACCCTCAGAAGGTTCATGGTCTATGTGTGTTCTTGGGCAAGACACTCTATTACAATTGCCCCTGTCTATCTTATGGGTATCGTGACAGTTGAAAACAGATTGTGATGATGTTGAACTAAGGGAATAAATGTGTGCTCCGGAGGTTTTTATCACTCTGTTTAATACCACTTAGAGTCTGGGTGCTGATAATTACCCGAGCCGAAGGCGAGGGTAATTATCAGCACCCAGACTCTAAGTGGTATTAAACAGAGTGATAAATACCGACGGAGTACATATTTATTCCCATTCATAAATACCTTTTCGGTAAAAAAAAAATCATATAATTCGTTCAAAACATCCCGATTTTGTTCAACAAATTCACTTTATGCTTTTTGAAACATCCCTCCTGCAAAATAATGGAGTGTTCAGCTGGCGAGTAAGATGAAAACAACCCTTTTATGGAGATTGACGCGCGCGTATCATGTTCTACGCGATGTCGCGCAGAACGCACCTGGCGCGTTGCGTTTTGAATTTAGAACTATAAAATTCTAACTCCCTGGTAGTGTTGCGCATGCCTACGTGAGGATTGTGAACGTTCAACCAATGAAACGATAAGAGGCACTGGATTTTTAGGAGTCCACATTTTATTGTGACACTGGAAAAGTGTTTAAGACCAGCTAGCCATGTCTTTATCATCCGTTTAATACCGGCCACGTGACGGGCTCTCGACCAATAGGAATGGCTAAACTGTCTGAGGTATTTATGAATACTGCATAATCTGATCTCATGGCCAAATGAACAGGGGTAATGATTATGATTGGAGTCATTTGAATAAAAGGCAGTGATCTAAATGTAAATGTGCCTTGAAGATTGGACACTGCTCCTATCTCTTTATTATTATTCTCAGTTTGTACTCTTTGTCAGCGATTCCCCAAATATGATTTCACATTTAATTTGTCATTAACTTTTGAAAATGAAGGCCGTTTCATTTGTGCTATCTCCTATGAGCAGATTTGACATTGAACACAGCTGAAGCCACAGAATATCTGATTCTGACAGGACCTATAGATAAGGAATGGCTTGAAGCATAAAACCAGCATGAACAAACTTCTGATGCTATACATGTTCTCTGTCTATGTTGATATCATTAGTTGCTGGATAGTGTTGGTAATGTTCGTCAAGCATTTGTCATGTCACAGCCACCAACCGATGCAATGAGCAGTCTCAGTTTAGGTAAGATGTATTGAGGATGTCTGTACAGCTTCATAATCAAGTCCCTTTCTGGATCCTTAACTGTGTTGATAAAAAAAACATGCGAAAACATGTATAAATATCTGCATCAAGACCCTGACTTGGGCCAGTCTGCATGGTCTTTATAAACCATGTGCCTAGTGACGTCCTGCCAACAGGCAACCACCGGGCAACCCAAACATTTCAGCATCTTTTGCATGTTATTTGACCCGCATCAAACAATATATGTAAACAATTATAAAATCGTTCATATTTCAAGAGGTATACATGCAGTGCTGATGAAAACGTTTTGCTGTTGGCATAACGTGACAACAACATCCAATTTGTAAACAAATGGCACATGGTCTAAAATACTTGGACATTCTCAGCATGCCTTTTTTGTCCAAATACATCCCTATCTGTAGGTAAGAATCCAGATACTTGAACCACACTTACTACTTTTTCAGCCTGACCTGCCACTATCGTCAGTATACTCGTGTGGCTCAGAAAAGAACTCTACATCAACAATGGTTGCCAAGCAGGAAACTGTTGTTTTTTCTGACTGCTACCAGAAATACCTTCCATGACATTACAGTGAGGGCACACTTGTGCTACAAGGCCACACTCCATTCTCACTGATGATCACACTTGTAAATTGGTCATTTGTTTGACAGAGAATGCACCTCCGAGGCCACCCCTACCACAGGGGGAAGTCCCCCCACCCCGCCCACCTCCCCCAGAGGAAGAAACAGAAGCACACTTCCATGAGGCACCGCCTAGCAACCAGCCTATTATGGTATGACACTGACTGCAAATCATTCAAATAGTACGAGATGAGATCAATTATCAGTAGTCAGATATTTGTCAATTGATACCATACTTTCGAAAGGGAATACATTCAGATGAAAAGAAACAAAAAAATCATTCTTTGTTGAATTGTCACTTATTTTAATAAGTGAGAAACTATTTTAACCGCTCCTTAAACTTGTGTAGTATTGTAAATGGGGTTTTTTTAACCAAATATCCATCTGCTTGTAACTTGTAATATTTTTCATTTACATTCATCTTTATCTCTGCAAGTTGGTTTCACTTCTTGCACTTTAAGCATTTGTTTATGGTAATTTCTGTATTTTTCTTTCAAGGTAAAGATTTACGAAAAAAATCAACTCTCAAATTACTTCATTGGCTTGATGTCTCCAGCGCACTATTTCCAGAGAATACAATATACACGTACATATATCAGCTTAATGTGCTTGAATAATTGGGAAATAACTTGGATATGGGCTCCGTGCGCCAACAAAAGAGGACGCGTTTTTACCTCTTTTGAGAGCTCTGTGGACGGGACACACTGAATGTAAATGTGCCAAAGCTATTAGCCACAGCGTCTTCGCGTGAGCGTCAGGTGTCGTCGGCGCGCGAATATGTTCGAATTCAACTCGCGATGGTCTCCGAGACTAAGCCCCGCCTCTAATAACTTTGGATATATTCGAAATACGCAATGGATGGACTGGGAACCAGTCTATGTCATTCCAACTCTCCTTTTCTGGCCGTTGGTGGGGTACATGTGCATGGAGCCCATAAACCTTTTTCCAATCAGCTTTTTCTGGCTTAATCATCCATTCTATAGACCTTATGCATTCAGGTGGAGTTAGAGGGCAATGGTCTTGTATCCTTGGATAACCATGAGTAAACATTTGAGCATCCCTTGTTAAAAAATATAACAACAAAACACAGCCTGTGAGACACCCGTAGTGCATAAAGTCTACTGACTGTTGTCATGCCATACTGGTATAATGAGAAACCCATTCACAGAGCCTACCAAGGTCACTAATGACTGACAGTAAACAGCTAGTTACTCTTGTGTGCTTGACCTTCTAGAAAGCTGCCTATGACTTGCATTTGGAGACACAGAAATGGTCCAGCCAGGGCAATGACCTGGTTGCTGCTGCTAAGAAGATGGCTATCCTCATGGCTCAAATGAGTAAACATGTCAGGTAAGCAGTGCCTTATCACGTTGGTATTAGGTTATTGGTCAGGTCAGAATGTTTAGTAATTTTGTTGTTATTTTTTTGTCAGCCATGGTTTGCCCAACATGGCCAAGCTTCATGGAGCTTCTCAATAGACCATTTCTCTATGTGTTAAGCATGGAAGACAATGTGAGAACCAGTTACAAGAAATGCACATCTAATGACATTTAGTTATTGCTGAGCAATCTTTTCTATGCTTGGGAATTATAGGGCTCGTTCAATGATGGCCATCTCTGTAGGAGAACTGCAACTGCGTATTTTACTCAATTAAGCACGCATTGCCTAGTGTTGAAAATGTTCCAGACACGCGCGCTTGTTGCTCAAAATGTGTTCGAAATACGACTTATGTAAGTTGACGCTCAAAATGCTGATGCACGTGGATGGTCTGTAGGAAATGACGTCATTTGAATGAGACCTATTGGTCTGTGTAGCAACTCTATGCAATACAATGGGCCTCTGGTTTTCAGTGGGGCCCAGCATTAGTAAAACAAAAGACTATGTAACTGTATGTTGTAATGACAACATACAGTTACATAGTCTTTTGTTTTACTAACACAACTGTATACATATAAGCAATTTTCATTGAAAAATTGAGTGCCAATGACAGGTCATTTGCAGGGAGGGTGAAAACCTTCTTTTTTTTGGAGGGAAACACAGCACCAGTCCAATATGGCTAAGTTATTGAGTCGCTGGTGCTAGGCAACCTACATGTATTCTACTGTGTTCTTTGATTTTCATTCACATCATTCAGCATACCTGAAGTTCACTCATAATTGCTATTTGCAGACTCTAATTGTTCCCGATTTTCCTAGAAAGGCCCCAGAATCCTGTTGCATGGTTTGTCAGCTTGTCAGTACTAGCAGATGGCAGCTACAATGTATACGTGGTGTCAACTGCTGTGCAATAGACGCTGACATGAATGCTCCAAAACACCAATGCCTGTACTATCTAGCAGAGTAACATTCAAACATGTTGGTGCATGATAGGAAATGCCTAGTTGATGGTTGTCTGTTTGTGTTGGTTGGTTTGTTTCATAGGGGAGAGGGAGGCAGTAAGAAGGATTTCATCATGTGTGCTCGGATGATTGCTAAGCAATCAGGAGAAGTGACTCGACTGGCTAACATCATAGCAGATCAGTGCACTGACAAACGCATCCGATTGGTAAGCATAGCATTTCTGTTCTGACCCAGTGTCATTGCACTGCTCACTGTAAGCATCACTACAGCAGAGATGTCTCTGCTAATGGTTTGCCTATATCGCAAATACTTGTACATTTACATGTAAACAAAGAATTGGGGCTTGAGTGCGTGCATACACATAACATAACTGAGATTCTCTGCCGACACATTCTTTCTATAAAATATAGCAAAAATGTCCATACTAACAGTAAGCATATATCACGAGTTGGCAAGGAATTTAGGCTTAGTTGCATTTGTTCCTGCAGTAATTAAAAATATTATGCTTAGAGGGTTAGAATATAATTTGACTGTTAGAATGTCAGCTATGTAAGCACACAGTGGTCATAGATCAGCACATTGTTATTCTTAGGAGAACGCATCACAAAGTTGCATGAACTCACTATTCTAAATTGCAAGCATTCACTCGGTCTAATTGTCCACTTTGTTTAGAACATGAAGCAAGTGATTGAGCGAATCCCAACATTCAGCACACAACTCAAGATCTTGACTACTGTCAAGGCTACTATGCTGGGTGCACAAGGTGAGTTGCACTCAATTCCACTACACCTCACTGTTTATGGGTCGGCTTCAGGATTCAGTGCTCACATTTATTGGAGGCAACATCTGTCATGCATATGGCTAATACCTTGGGCTTATTTCACCACTCATACGTGATGGAATTCAATTTAAAAAAAATTGGTTTTTGTTTTCAAGTTTAATTCAATTTAAGTGAAATTTATCTCCCCATGTGCACATAAAACAATCAATTAGTATACGTTCTGAAATATTTTTTAGATCGAGAAAAGTATTTGCAATGATAGATTTTTCAAAGGGTTTTGTGACATGGTACTTACACAGTCTACTTTCCAGTCGTATTTATAACAAAGATTTCTGTTGTCAATTTCATTTACAAGCACCTTATTACTTGATCTGATACTAGAATGTTCGCTTTATACATGGCTCCATGATCTGCATCTGATTGGAGGTTTGATACATCAGTTTTTTCTATGCTTCATCTACGTGCAATGCAAACATACTTGGACAGGCAGCAGGTGTACAGAACGTTATGTGGAAGTTTGACTAAATCAAATGTGGATTCCCCTGCATGGCTCAACTGGATTTTATTTTTGTATTCAGATCCTGAGAAAGATGAGGAAGCGACTGAGATGTTGATTGGTAATGCACAGAACTTGATGCAAGCAGTCAAAGAGTCTGTACGTGCCTCAGAAGCTGCTTCCATCAAGATACGTACTGATGCTGGACTCAAACTACGCTGGGTGCGACGTAATCCATATGCTTACTAACTCCATATGGAAAGGCCCGTTTCTAGCCAGACGTGGCCGTCCCGCATGATTGTCGCACTCACAGTATATTTGTTACTTGAATGTCTGAAGGTAGTTGCTGATTGATGCTAGTGACATCACTGCAGAGTTCAGTTATTGAAATGTGACTTGATTGCTGACATGACTTCTTGTAACTACACCATACAAATGATGAATACAAACTAATGACTACAAACACACACGCACAGTTCACAGTGTGGCACAAACACAGCAATTGTTTTCTCTTTGTTGAAAAATGACTGGGTTTGTAATGATGTATCATTTGTCAAAGCAGTGACTGTCACCTTGTATCCAGTAACTATAAGCATTGACAATTGTCAACTCACAACCAACTGACCACCAATGGACTTTGGCAATCCCCTTCCTTTCCTTTCCCTCCAAATCTGCCTGATGATTTATTGACCCTCTTCCTTACGGTCCAGACTTGACTTTTTACTTATCTGTTTGACCAATGACACTGTTGAATCTGTGTAGCCCCCGCTGCAGTGTGCCGGAGGTCACAGGTGCAGATACTGCTCTTGTCAACTTTTTGTTAATTCTGAAACTTTATATTCTATTTGCTTTGAGTTGGTGCTTAAGATATTCTTCTATGCAGGTCATTAAAAAAAGCAGCTTTAAATAGTATGAGATGGAAAATGCCAGGCATAGTAAAGCGAGTCAGGTATAGTAAAGCGAGTCAGGTATAGTAAAGCCAGTCAGGTATAGTAAAGAGAGTCAGGTATAGTAAAGAGAGTCAGGTATAGTAAAGCCAGTCAGGTATAGTAAAGCCAGTCAGGCATGGTAAAGCGAGTCAGGTATGGTAAAGAGAGTCGGCCATAGTAAAGCGAGTCGGATATAGTTAAGAGAGTCAGGCATAGTAAAGAGAGTCGGGTATAGTAAAGAGAGTCAATATCACGCTATGGTAGGGAAAAACAGACTATTGACAATAGAGTACCACTATCAAGCAGTTACCTTCAACAGGCCATTTCATAACAGGGCTGCATATATCATCTTACCATGCAAACACATCGCACTACCTCTAAGATTAAAGTGGACATTATTCACTCATGCATGTCCAAAACAATGTACATGTAAAAAAAAAACCTGCAATTCCATGTCACTTGGTGCATAATGAATACCTCAGGTGATGTCTGCAAATGGTTGTTATCCTTTTCTCAAAGTCCACTGCAGAGTGTGATATAACTGATGAACAAAAAAGACCAAGCACCATAGAATAATCCCAAATAAGCCTTGAAATCCAGAATCTCAGTGCTAAGCCATTGTATGAACTGAGGAGCTTTTCCATTGTTTAATCCTCTCAACAAAAGACAGCACTGGGGCCCTTGGTTTCAGTGCCAATTTGCAAATCCCCTATTAATGTTGAGCTGTCACAATATTTGTAAGCACAAATATATCAGATGGTTGATGACTGTCTAATGAACTGCCTCTCCATACTGCCCCAACCAATCACAAAACAGCATGGTCAAAACATTACTTCAAATCATCGACATAGATATATTAACAAGTATTTTTATAATAGACTTTATTTATAGCAGCCTACTTTTTGCCACTCTTTTTCTTTAGTCGATGCATAGAAAGTGTGAAATGTATGAAATAAATACTAATCAATGATTTTCATTTTTAAATATTTGATATAATTAAGCAATAGAGTTTTAATTATTTCATAGTTACTAATATCGTGGAATGTGTGAATACATTCTACATTTGTATTTTGATTGGTTCTTGAAATGTGGAAAGTGACAAAACTTGGACTTCCTATGTTAACTGTGTAAACTAATTTATTATTAATATTTTACTTCGTAATAGAACAATTTGTCATTTTCTATTTTGTAAAACTTCCTTTTGAAGAAAAAAAAATGACTTTGCAACAAAATTAAGGCCCATCTTATGGAGCTGCCGAGTATGAGAAATATTTTGCTTTATAGCTTAGACGGGTTACATTTCCGTGAAATGAGAGCTTACTTACACAATAGATCGTTTGCACTGCAGCCATCTTGGAGGTGCTTTTGTTCAACAGGGACATGCATGGCTAGACCTATTCATGAGATGAAATGTACCTCCTGCTTTCTAGTGTAGACGTCTTACCACTCGACCACCGAGCTTGCGGGGTTGGTTGGCTGGTTTGAATCTGATGTAGCAGGGGGTGTCACAATGAATATACATATATTCATAAGATGGAATTTGTGTCAGGGCGATGTAAATTCAATATTAGGTTTTGCCCTTCACCTATGTGTAAAGACTGTATACTCAGTGTGTGGACCTCTTAATGAATTAATATAACAAAGCACACCTCCAACATGGCTGCTACATGCAACCCATCTGTAGCTCAGTGTGTTTGCTTCAAAAGTGTAAGCCAGTTACATGACATTGCCTTTATGCTTGTGCTTTATTGCATTGACGTCATTTTTAATATATCTGTTGCATTGAACAGATTCTTGCATAGAACACTATTGAGCTAATTCAGTAATGTTAAGTTCATTACATGTATTTTAGAATATGCACAATGTGCGTAGTGACATTCTCACAGTCAGTTTTCAGCTAGACTGTAAAGTCATGTCACTTGTTTCTAATCTAAAGAATGACAATCTAAGATTATGATCTCTGAACTGACGCAAGTAGATTTGTTGTATTGTAAGCGATTCGGGAAGTCAATGGATTTAAGGTTCAGCAAATACTCTTCTTTCTTTTTTTCAAGTCAATACATGTAGCTGTAAGTGGGATATTTGCCCGACAGCCAACTAATGTTTCAGCCTATTAAGACATGTGGCATCACTGCTTATTATCAGACTTGTATTCAGGCACCAAACATGGAGGCTGAGTCCGAGTCATGTCTCCTGAGTCCGAGTCCCGAGTCCCACTGGTCGAGTCCGAGTCACAAGTCACAAATGTCGAGTCACCTTTAATATATTTTGGAAATTAATTTGAGGTACTGCTATAACCTCACAGTGTAAATGTTTCAATTTCTATCAGGTTTTTCTCTAATTTAATGAACTGGTATACAATTAATGAATGTTTATGAATGCAATGGTGAGAATATTGTCATGAGATGAAAGATGGAATGTTTATGATACATTCAACGAGGCGAAGCAAGTCCGAGTCACAAGTCTGGTTATTATAGCTACATGTACACATACATAGCGAAGTGTGCAATAAGGAGCAAGGACCTTGAGTTTTTGCCCATAGCTCTATGAGACGTTCTTACGTTGATGCAAGCGTGTACCAAGGTGACCACTAGTCAACCAAACATCTTGAACAAACTTGCACAGAACATGGCTTTCATTTGGAGTTAGGTTTTTGTACCCTTATAATTTAAACAAAAACGTGTGTTTGACCATGGTTTTTTGACATTAATATAGGCCTATAGCCCGTTATGGATATTGTTTCATATTCATTAGAAGTGTCATGCAATATTTTGAGAGGATGAAATAGGAATTTTTTTTTCAATTCTTTTCTTTCTTTTAAACTTCTTCACATCACCTTGTAAGATGACTGTTTGTTCCTTTTAAAACGTACCCTCTACAGCAAGAACTTTTAATGTTGCTCTTTTTGAGTTTCATGCAGAAAAAAATAACATGTATTTCTGATTTAAAAGTGCTGTTTTCCTACCACTACCAGTTAATTCACTGCTGAATAAGACATCAAACAAAACGCTTGCTCCTGTTTAGCTATGGAATAATTCAGGCAGATCTGTTTTTGCATCGGACGTGCAAAATAAAAGCCTTATGCAGAAGGTTGCAGACACAATAAAACAATTAACAATTACTTGGCAGAAAACAAATCTCATATGTACGAGAGCACATGGGATTTTGATGGAGCAGGTTACCTGTAGAATTACTGCCTTGACTAGTGATTTATCAATCCTGTAATTAACGTTTTCTAACTCTGTAATTATATCATACATGTAAGTGTAACTGGTAATGTAACCGATGTGTGTAATGTAGGACGTACATGTATATTTAACATGCACAGTTTCACCGAATGTAATCACATGAAAAAAATTAATCACTTGAAAAAGAGGAAAATAATTTGGTTTTTATTATGCATGCAAAAGTGAATACTGCCTTTGAACACTCACATTATATAATAATTGACAGAAATCTTTCAACCATGGTGCCTTGACATTTGCTCAGTGTACATGTATTCAATACAAGATGTGATGCCATGCCTGTAGGTACGGTATGCATAACACGGGACAAACAGGTTGCTATAAACGTCTTCCTCTAATAATTTCTGTAATCAATATTTTACTTATTAAATTCCACCAGTCTTAGCTGTGGTCGTCTGACAATGTTTCTGTAACTGCTCTTCCCAGTGTACTTTGTATTTCTGGACTAACGCTGTAGTGCATTATCAATGCGTGTTTATTTATGGTTGTTTGTAGTTTTGTTTTAAGAGAGCTTCAATTAAAATGCCTGGCAAGGTAAACAGATGAATTCATGTCAGTTTCACATCATTTGTTCGCAGTTCGCATTGGACAAACTGTTTGCCCTGCTGACACCAGGTTGAGCACACCCCACCCCACCCCACCCTTCCTTGCGAGTATATGGAGATCAGGTGACCAGGAAACAAATCCTGTCTACCTTTTAGCTTTGCTCGTACCCCCCGCCCTGCAAACAGGGCGCTGGGAGGACTGATGAGCTTCACAGAATCTTGTGAAGTGACCTATGACTTATATATAAAGCATAGTGGCTGCAGCTGTTCAAGACCGCAGTTAGCCAATGCGCACAAATGCTATCCAAAAACTTCCCATAGAAATGCACACATTCCATACCGGATGTGATTGCTTTTTGATTGCAGACTATGTGGACAAAGTTTGAGCGTCGCATAATGCAATCATTGACCCTTTGTGAATTCAAAACGGAGCCTGAGCAAGTGACAGAAATGGCAAATTTACAAAACAGGTAAGTTTTACAGGTTTTCCTTCATTATAACGCTTTTCAACGAAAACAAAAGCATTTATGAATGAGAATAAAGAAGTAATGAATCAGTCTTAATGGCCGTTTGAAACCTTGCAGGGTCGTGGTCATGAGGACTTGCCAGTCACAGGTCACGTAAAATCTATCCAATTACAGCATGAATTCATCAGCCCTTCCCAGCGTCCTGTTTGCAGGGCGGGGGGTATGAGCGAACCTTTCACCATGGATGGTCTGTCAGCAGACTTGAGTCAAGCCTAGGATACAGGGACTTGCGTTCTTGACTTGAGACCCGCCTAAGTCTGCCAAAAAGTAGTCTCATTTTAGCTTCATTCAGCATTCCCTTTTATTTGTGTATATTCAGGATTAAATTATTGTGCAAATAAAGCAAACCATAACACAAGTCACAATATTTTCAAGGATATTCAAAATAATCTTATTTACAAAATACTTTCCAATGGAAATACAAAAACTTTCTTTAGATCCACCAAAGAATTTATCTCCACTTTGTATTGATGGTCAAGAAATGTTTCTAATCTAAAAAAAAAAAATGATACACTACTGGACCTACCGACATTATATCAGATAACTATGGACACGCTAACAAATAAGCTTAAAAAAGTACAAATTTGTTATGTTACCTATTAAGTAAATACGTCAATGCTGTAATATGTGCAACCATGTATACATACAATATACAATACCAAGGCATGATTGGCAGCCACAGTGGGCCAATCATCATGCTTCTGTTGGTTTCATTATTTACATGTTTGTCTATGTACATGTCATATCAGCTGATATCGGTTTCAAATATATACAACACTTTCAGCTGGAATATCAGGTGGTTTCAACAATCGCAACATGCATGGCAACACAGTTCTGCAGCCATAACTTCTGCAGCTATTCTATAGCCACAGCACAATACACATGTATTATGCATGCGGCCCTCCAATATAAACACAATGTGAATTCTACAGCTATAAAACATAATATCTGCCCTCCAGGCAAGTTATGAGGACCCAATAACCTCCGTTCAGTTTTGCATTTATTACACGCAGTACAAAACTACTACAAACACAAATATGAAAGGTTTGTTTGCAGCACAGATGCCAGTTTTCAACAGGGTTTGTTTTCTCCAAGAGGCACATGATCTTCATGAATGATTTTGTTTCACTGACGCAAAATGTTAGTAATACTAGTTGTCTTGTGATACAGCAGCAAGTAAGAGCACTCCACAAGTTGACACTGAAACAATTAACGTTAACTGTTGGGACTTCATCAAGCAAGGCAGATGACAGGCAATGTGCATTTAGTACGGTAGATAGGTGATGGGATTGTGCCTTTGATGATACAAGCGTGTCCTTTGAACAAAACATAGGTAGAAAACCAAGCAATTTTCAAAATGGCTGCCATTGCTTGTTATTCTACCTATATTTTTCAAAGGGCAAATCTGTGATGGCCTTATAGCCAATTATCTTAAGACATACTCTGTGTGCCAAATGCCATGCTTGTATCATCAACGGCACAATTCCCCCAAATATTTGGCTTATCGCCCCACTAATTTGGTTGCCTTCAAGTTACCTGTGAAAACTGCCTTGTGTGGCTTGGCTCTAACTACGCAAACACAGTAAAGAGGTCATTAAGGGACCGTCACATTACCAATGTCCCCCTGATCATTTCATTATTTTTCAATCAATTTCATGTACACTCCAAAACCTGTTCTGCACATGACTTACCATGTAGGCTATAAACAGGATTGAATGAGGCCACGTGTGAGTGGTAATCAGCTCATAGCTGCACATCAAATCTTCATGTATGTTATTTATCAGTTACTGCAATTCCACTTTAGTTGACATAACAGTCAAGATGCTGTGAATACGACCACATGAAAATTCTGTCATAAATATGAAACCAAAGTGTTTTTTCCTTCTCCTTTTTTGTGTTTTTAAAGTATAATATTCCATTTCCATCCCAAATAGAATTGGAATATCTTCCACACATTTTTGACTGCAATTTCAAATAAACATGATTACCACAAACCCTGCTTATGACGGTATCCTTGGGGTTCTAGCCTGCATGCTGATTGATATGTGGAACCGTGGCATAAAACACTGCTAATGTGACTTGCCCCCCTGTGTCTTTGTGGTAGCATCTCTTTTTACATAAAGACAATCAATGAATTCCATGAAGTAGATTCAACTTCGCTTGAAGATGACAGCTAAGAAAATATGAAGTTTTCATATTTATGTCCAGAACACCCAAAAAAGAAAAACATGAATTTCAGTTATATGCTGGGATAATAAAAAAATATATTATTTTGTAAGTACATGTAATGCCAAAACATCAATGAGAAAATTAAATTTGGCTGCATTGGATTCTCTAAATGAGAACTGTCAAAAAGTTCTTTTGAGACAGAAATGCATTTCATAAAGACACTTGCAAACCCCATGACCCACAAAAGTCAAAGATATCTTTGTTTTGAGACAAAAGATTTGAAATTCAAAATGGTTATCAGTGAAGACAGGCACAAGGGCACTCGTGCGTAATAATAAGAAATGTTAGGACTTCTTGTAGTCAAATGTGCTGAACGTTCAGAGATTGCTATTTTGCTACAACTTTCTGTGTTACTTATTTGGAGATTTCTTGCATTATATTGGGCCACTTTTGGTTCTTAGCACACGTGTGCCTTCTTTCCAAACCTTGTCTCCTTACGTGGTCAGTGCAGGATGACAAGCACAGTCTTGCATGGTTTATGGATGGATGGCAACACTCAGCTAACCTTGCCTGAGTGAGTGCAAAATGACTACTCTGGGCTATCAGTGTCAAGAAATGATTCATTTGCCAATCCAGTCAATCACATGTCAAGTCACGTCACAAGTCCTTCCTGTTCAGTTTGATAAGGCATTCTTTTATCACTCTTCATCCTCTGTTCAACAATTAAACAAACAGTAATGACTGTTACTTCTGACTGGTTTGTGATTGACTAGTGATTGATTCATCAACTAAGCTGTTGTGAGTGATCATCGGTAAATACTGCCACACATTTAAAAAAAGAATTACACCTGTAATTGTTTCATTTACATTTTCAACCAATATGAGTGACCCAATATCAGTAAGGGAAGTTCAATTAATTTATCTTTGCAAAAAGAGTCTTTCTATTTTACACAATTTATTCACTGTCCAATGTCATTCATCTGTAACAACCTCAACTGGATTTGGTTGTCATCAGATAACTACATTTCGGTTATTTGAGGTAGATTCAACAAATGGTTACCACAGCTTCTTCATCAGTAGAATCCGTGTCATTTCAATTGTTTGGCAGTGTGATTAAGGCTAATTAACAAAGATAGTGAAAAGCAAAGAGATTGAATCATGGCATTGTGACCAAGGTACTTTCAAATTCAACTCAATACATAGAGATTAAGTCCACACTGAGGGGCGCCATAATGATGTCATTCTCTGGGTACAAACGCCAGAATATCTTGTTCATTGAAGCAGTTTAGTATATTTACTTGATTCCAAAAATTAAAGCTTGGAAAAAAGAAACGTTTGAGTTGTAGTAACATGTAAACGTACGTCAATAACATTGGATATGCGTCTGTTTATTCCCCAAAATGATGTCATAACAGCGCCCAAGCCTAAGGCCTATTGGCAAACACAGCATTGACATTGTGTGCAGTGCTAATAGGAACCCAGTCAGCATTACACGCATGTACAATGATGTCATCACCCCAGCCCCTCCCAGAGGGTCGCACTAAAAAGCGTCAACACAGCGTCAACACATGACAGAAGCGTCAACACACCGTCAACACATCCAAAACACATTCTGAATTAACAAAAATGGTATATAATTGTAAAGCATAGAATAAAAGAGAATTTCCATTGGATTGAGTTTGCATTTCGTTGTTAAAAATATAGTATTTTCACGCGAAAAAATGACCTTTCACTTGCACGGCCGTTGTCCGCCATTGGACTACAGCATTTCAAATAGGGGTGTGTAGGTAATGACATTATCTTGTCATAAACAACAGAGGGCGCCTTGCTGTAGACAGAGGGATACCAGATCTGTGAGGACTGAGGATCGGAGTGGCGGATCATTATTTTGTGAGTTGTGTTGATGTTTCATTTACTTTATTGAAATTGACATCTTTTGGTATTGGCCGGCCGCGCCCTCTCTGTTGGTTTATTGTACAACGCTATCACCCTTTAGCATAATGGTATGGTCCACGCTGCCACTGAGGCAACATGGCAGCCGATTTCGGAGCGGCACGGAGAGCCAATTTTCTTGAACTGAAAATCGCAATTTTCAGACGTTGAACCTATTGATTTTAAGCCAAAATCTTGTTTCTGTCCATACTGTATGGGTTACATACAGTTTTTGTCACTTTTAATGCATTTTGGATGTGTTGACGCTGTGTTGACGCCGTGTTGACGCCGTGTTGACGCTTTGGAGTGTGTTGACGCTGTGTTGACGCTGTGTTGACGCTGTGTTGACGCTGTGTTGACGCTTTGGAGTGTGTTGACGCTGTGTTGACGCTTTTTAGTATGACCGCTCCCAGATCCTTTACACTCCACCAGCAGATTTGGGAGGATGTTGCAGGATGGAATAAGGTCCAGCCCAGCCATGACTATATACATGGGGGTGTGACGTACTGTGGTAAGCATTCAAGAAGCTCCCAAAAGAGATGTGCCCAGGGATTAGGGGTGCATGTAAGCAATAGTATGTTTGGGATTACAGTCGCCTGATTCCTTTGCTTTGTATTTTGGAAGCACCATAATACTGTGCTGCTTTCAACATTCCTCTGCTTCTTGCACATTTAGGGTTTGAGATTTAAAAAAAAACATACAAAAAAGGTTGTTTTTGTCAATAACTCTCCTTACATGTATGACAAACAAATTCGGTAAACTGGAGGCTTCAACGTTTAACAAAGAGATAAATAGGTATTACTTGTTATAGTTAACACTTGGGGATTAATATCATGGCACTGATAAGCACAGGATTGTCTGCTACTGACAGAGCCTCTGTCCATTTCATGGAGACCAAATCCAAGATCCCGACTACTTCACGGTGCAACAATAGACATCTCCATGTCTGCACAAGGTGAGCAAATTGTCTTCAGGAAGCACCACTTTTCAGCTGAGTGTTAGTGCCATGAAAACTGGCCCCAAGATACACTGCTTCATCATGGCAGATCTTCATCAATTACAAATGATTACAAAAACTATTACATTCTCATGACAAGTGCTCCTGGATTTCATGAAAACGACTTCCAAGTCTACAGTTTGAAGTGACATTTAATGCCACTGGTTATGATTCAAAAAGAATGTCAATAATAAAGCACAAAAAAACAGTTCATCAATGCGTTTCTCATGCTTACCTTCCAACAGGGCTGATGTTTTACTCCCAATATTTTGGCACTTCATAGAAAGCTAAATAATTTTATACCCAAAATGCAATGCTCTGTGATGGTCTTGTGACATGCTAAGTATGTATTTCGTAATCATCTATCTGCCATGACTTCCTATGCAATACCAATCACACTGAATACATTCATTGTTATTTGCACCAGTTTTCAGAGCAGAAAATGCAGTACCTTTTTTCAAAGTCACAAGCACGCTTTTGGACCCATTATCAGTAGTAATGCAGATATGGTACTGTAAGTCTTACTGACCATTATGGACTGTACACACATGTACAACGTGTGGCCATTATCAGATGCCTTCTCAGTCAAGGACACTACAGGTCTGTGTACCTCCAGGTGACAATTGATGGTGTGAACGCTCCATTATAGGTCCATGAACTAGTAAGCACATGCAATGTGTGCTTCACATTGGCCGTCTTGAATAGGCCAAACAATGCCATCTACTATTCCTCCATGGAGTCCATATCACATCACAATGCACATCAGTAACAGCATCAAGGGATTTGAATCATACACAAAAACAAGGTCATTCATTCATTACAATCATGCTTTGTCCAATGAGTGTCTTACTTTGGCATATTATAACCTGGCATCATAGAGTCACCCATCCCCATATTGTTGCCAGGCATTTGAGGTGGGCCGAAACCAGGCCCATAATTCCCAGGCATTTGTTGACCCATAGTGTTTGGCATTCCCATAGGGGGGCCTCCATACTGCATTGGTGGTCTAGGTCCACCCATATACCCTGGCATTTGGTGTCTGGGTCTGTTAGAGGCAGGGTATCCCTGAGGATACATAGCATCTGGGCTGCACATTCTATTGGATGGTCCAGGCATGCGTTGTGAAGGTCCAAATGATGGTGTCATAGACGGAGGATTACCTGTTACCATTTCTAAAGGAAAAGGCATTTGAATTTGCTTGGGTGAAGGTCCAGGCCCTTGCGTTCCGGAGGTATTTGAAGGATTTAGATGCGGGTTACCAGACTGTGCCTGGGGTGCCGGGGTAGGGTTTCCCTGTGGAAAGTATTGCAGTGTTTGCTTTGGTCCTTTTCCATCAGGGAGTAGTGGTGGGGAAAAGCGACTCTGCAGTAACGAGAGAGGACTTGGGGAGGATGTGTGAACCGTCCTACCAGCCTGCGATTGGCTGATGGGTTTGGATTCCATTTGCATCATTGTTTCTCGCAGGTTTCCATCCATGTGCATCATTGGGGATCCACCTCCCGGCATGCTAGTCCTTCCCACAGGTCCTGGATTAGGTCCCATGGTTGAAGACACTGGTAATGTCCTGTGCATTTGCTTTGGTCCTGGGTACCTATTAGGCATGTTGTGCATTCCACGCATGTCCTGCATACCTGCATTGTTAGGCATACTGCCAAGCATTGGGTAATAACCCATGGGTACATCCATGGGATGCGGGTCTAAGCCCATTGGGTGTGGCTCCATGACAGGACTGTGTGAAGACATTCTTGTCTGGGGTGACATGCCCTGTTGATGCATCATAGCAGCCTGTGGTGACATCATCCTCTGCTGTGGCATCATGCCAGTTTGTGATGTCGTCATGCTACCCTGTGACATCATCATGCCTGCTTGTGAAGTCATATTTCCATGTGGTAGCATCATGTCATCTGGAGGCATACCAGGATTGCCATGGGATCCCATTAAGCCACTCGGTGGACCCATCCTAATTTGTGACATCATCCCTTGCCTGGATGTCATTGGACTGGCCTGTTGTGCCATCATTTGTTGTGAGGTAGGCATTCTAGGTTGCATCAGGCCAGATTGAGGTGGCATGGAGTCATGTGGTCCCATCATATCAGTTTGAGGAGACATAATTCCTCTGTGTTGTGAGGTCATCATATCTTGTTGTGGTGTCATATTTCCTGGGTGGGGCATCATGTCAGAATGTGGTCTCACCATTCCTGATTCTTGCATGATACCTTGCTGTGGTATGTTCTTGTCTCCGACATTTGATACTGAATGGGGAGGCATCATCCTTGGTTGAGATGTCATTTCCTGTGGTGCAGTCATTCTTGGTTGTGAAGTCATCATTTCATGTTGTGTAGTCATCCTTGATTGTGATGTCATTGCTTCCTGTGGTGCAGTCATCTTTGGCTGGGATGTCATTTCTGGTGGTGGATTTGTCATCCTCGGTTGTGATGTCATCATTTCTTGCGGATTTGTCATCCTGGGTTGTGATGTCATCATTTCTTGCGGATTTGTCATCCTCGGTTGTGATGTCATAATTTCTTGTGGATTTTTCATCCTTGGTTGTGATGGCATCATTCCTGGCTGTGAAGTCATCATTCCCGGCAATGAAGTCATCATTCCTGCTTGTGATGTCATCATTCCTGGCTGTGATGTCATCATTCCTGCTTGTGATGTCATCATTCCTGGCTGTGATGTCATCATTCCCGATTGTGATGCCATCATTCTTTGCTGTGATGTCATCATCCCTGTTTGAGATGTCATCAAGTCCGGCTGTGAATTAATAGAAGTCTGTGGAGTCATCATTCTTTGTTGAGGTCCCATCATTCCAGGTTGTGAAGTGGCCATATCTTGCTGTGACCTCATCAACCCAGACTGTGGAGTCACATTTTCTCCACTCTGTCCCATTATATCTGATCCCATAGGACTACCTGGTCCATAATACCTAGGTTTTGCGGATTCCTTTGAGGCCTTTTGATAAAAAGTTGATGCATACTGCTGCGGATCTTCTCCACGTGGCGGGAAATTTGGTGCCTTGTCCCTGTTCAACTGACTCGGAGGAAAATTGACCAACCTTTGCTGCGGAGCAGATGTGTTTGTGGCTCCACCTGCAACACTTTCTACAGGCTTTTGGTTGGCTGAACTTTGAGCAAGTTGTCCATCAGTGGATTTGGTAGTGGATGAGTCGGAGCCAGGTTTGACTACTGGAGGTGTAATGCTGCTTGGGGTAGACACCCCTTGCCTGCTTCCATTAACTGGGCCTGAATTAGGGGTTCCAGGCTGGGAACCCCCACTCTGATTAATCCTCACTGTCTGGGAACTTGTATCCCCAACAGGTGTTCCAGGTTGAGGGGGTCTGGGTGACTGCTCTACACTGCTGCCTGTAGTACGTGATTTACCGCCTATGGTAGAATCACCTGGGGTGTTTGGAGTCGAGACATTCGTTGGTGTTGGTGGTTGATGACTTTGTCGATATGGACTGTCCTGCTGTGGTGACATGGGTTGGCGAGAGACTGGTCCTGCTTGCGTGCTTGGCAACTGGGATCCTGAGGTAGCGGGTACAGCACATACTGCAGCTACTGAGGTTGTTCCTGTTGGACCAGATCCCGAAGACATGACTCCACTTGTAACATTTACAGAGGAGCCATGTCCTGATTGCATACTACTGGATGAAATACTGGTGGGTTTAATGTCATTCCCTGCTGCCATCTGTCCAGTGGGATTACTTGGAGTAGTTGAACTTGATGCTTGGGGCAAAGACCCTGAAGTAGGGAGTGAGTTAGTTCGATTAGCTCTTGGGGATGGCTGTCCGGATTGAATTTGATGTGGGGACATTGGTAATGGCGGTGCTGATTGATTTAATGACTGCTGAACAGATCCAGAAAGGCTAGACCGCCTAGGCATGTTTGGTTGGGCTGCATTGTGAGTTCCATGATACGGAGGTGGTGGAGGCATACCTTGGCCTGTTTGGGAGGGCATATCTGGCATAGGCATTCCTTGGCCAGGCATACCTGGCATTCCAGAGCCAGTCATTCCTGGACCAGATGCTCCCTGATTTGTCATATCTATTTCTGGTGGCAAACACCTGCCCATGGCAGCCCCTGGCGGCATTCCTGGGTCTCCTGGCATTCCAGGTCCCATTCCAGGTCCCATTCCAGGTCCTGGACCCATCCCTGGTCCACCTGGCATTCCAGGGTGAAACGGTCCCATATCCATAGGGTCCCTATATCCAGGTCCATGCAGCTCAGACATTGGAACTGGACCATGACCAATTTTCATTTGATCAATCTTGCGTCTTTTGTGCGTGTAAAACTCATGTTGAAGTTTATACCACTCCTTCTGCGGTTGGGTCATGTTATCCCAATCAGGCGGTGGGGGCATGATCATCTGCTCCTGCGTCATACGTTGATCGGGTCCCATTGTAGCATCTGGGTTGTCCATGTTAGGATGTGGTCCCATATTAGTTAGATGCATCATGGGTCTTGGTTGGGGACCCATCATGCCAGGTCCTGATGGTCTCATCATACCTGGTTGGGGAGCCATCATACCACCTTGAGGAGATCCCATACCACCACTTGGAGAGATCAACCTCCCAGGAGTTGGAGATCTGTTTTGATGCTCCTCTGGAAACAACAAACGCTGCATTTCTTTCAAAGTTCTTAACCGTTCTTCCCTGTGCCTCAACTGTTCTGGAGTGGGATTATCTATTTGTTGAGGTGGCTTGTAATTTGAAGGCTCAAATTGTGGGCCTACATGTACACCTGATGAAGGTGAAAAGGGTCCCATGTCGGAAGGATCATGTGACTGACCACCTTCTGGGAAGGGACGACTTGGCATCATTGGCTCGTGGCATGGTGACATCATTGGTGACTGCTGGTGTTGCATCATGGGTAAGTGAGGTCCTGGCACCTGTTGTTGCATCATACGTATCTGCTGTTCCTGTTGCCAAGCTAAATTTGCATTTTTCTGCGTCTTTTTGTTGCTAGGCGGATTCTCCCACAGTGCACTTGGATCCAGATTTTCAGTTTCTGTTGCCTCAACCTGAAATGGCGGTCCTGACTGTGGAGGGCCACTTTGTATCGGAGGGCGCATCCCAATACTTGGCATTCCAGGCATTTGTTGTTGATGTGGTGGAAACTGGTTTGGACTAAACGGTTGTTGAGGAAATGGTCCAAAATTTGGTCCGGGTGGCATTCCTGATAACGTAGGTCCTTGAGAAATGTTGGGTTGCAATGGCTGAGTTGAGGAAGGTGGCCTCTTCCTCTTTGAGGATTTCGACTTGGACTTGGTAACACTAGATGTGGTTGTGCCACTGCTTGAGTCACTCTGCTTGCCCACGATTCCCTCTCCAGACACACTTTTGTTGGAAGTTGTATGATTCTTGGTGGCATTGCTACTATCAGCAGTAGTTGAGTTTGGCCTGTCAGGGCGCTTACGTCCACCACCTGGCTTAGTTTGCTCATTTGTCACAGCATCCAGCATCTGCTGCTGTGGCTGCATATGAGGGACTGAGGCTGCCTGGTGTGGAGGTGGATTCAGTGCCATTCCTTTCAATTGATTGGTGGTGTTGTGATCCATCATCATTGGATGAGGTTGACCCATGTTATGTTGACTGAAGTTTAGTGGGGGATGTTGATTTGGCAAATGCATGCTGTCTTGTGGACGCATAGGATCCATGTCCTGCAACAACAAAAGGTACTCACTCATTAACAACTTCCTTAAATGTAACAATCAAACAGCAAAAGATTTACAGATGTCCTTGAGATGCGTAAAATTCTTATTGATAAACAAACAAAAGAATTGGAGTAAAATCAAAGAGGGCTTTGAATGCCTTCATTGGAAGGAGTGATTCATACATCTTGAAGAGAAACAGATTTCGTGCCATTGCACATTTTGAAGATAGGACCACAATTTTTGTGTGTAGATTTCACAGACCTCTTAACAATTTGATGTGTTTCCCCGCTTTCAAAATGAAGGTCTTTTAACACTACTCCTGTACCACTGAATAATCTTTGCGAAAGAAGCATGTCAAACTAGGAAATGTGTACACTTCTAGAAAGCTGCCAAAAAAAAGTTATTTACTCAATCCAATTACCCCAAAACACTCTTGATGAACACTGTAATACTAACCTGCTCAGGGAGAAGAAAGTCCCTGTTTGAAGAAAGTGACCGATGAAATGAGAGAATAGAATCAGCTTGGCCAGTAAACATAGCATGTGCAGCCTGATTGGCTAGTCTTGTAGAGAAGACACAGACTTCCTGTGTGTTTGTCATAGGGAAGTGTGATGGTTGCTGATAGGGCATCATAGGAGCAGACATTCCTCCATGTCCAACACCATCTGTAATGACACACAGTAATATTAATGTCATTACCTGCTGTGATATGCTCCATGCCAAAATACAAAGTGTCCAAAAAGTACCCCTTAAAAAAGGGATAATATGAACAAACTACACTCAACCAAAAAAGAAAGTCCCCCTTGCGATACTTTTTTGTCTAACTCATAAACTACTGAGCCCCTCTCGCTCAAATAACGACTAATCAGTACAGAAATTTCTTAGCAATCCAGCCCAAAACAGTGATAATGTGTACAAATAAATGCAATTTATGACAAATGATACCGAAAACAGTTGCACTTTGGTATACATGTACGTGCAAGTTGTGGTTCACACTCACCTTGCACGTATACAAAAGTGCAACTTTTTTTCGGTACCACTTATCATGAATTGCATAATTTTGTAAACATTATCACTGTTTTCGGCCAAAGAGTACGGCTGGAATGCTAAGGAATTTCTGTACTGATCAGTTGTAATTTGAGCAGGATGTGCCCAGTAGTTTTCGAGTTAGACAAAAAAGTATTAAGGCGGTACTTTCCTTTTTTGGTTTAGTGTATGATCTTAATGACCATAACTGTGGTTGTATCATAAATTAGGGCAGTAAGCTTCCCATTGATATCTTGGATGCATTCCTGTGGTCATGCATCACTGAGTTCCTTTGAAAATGGTAGAAACCCTCTTGGGACAGTTTGGGGTAATAACAAGTGAATACAACCAGACTAAGACAAGTAGCTGCAAGGGATATTCAAGAAAACATGAACAAACTTGGACTTCTATCAATTGGCGATCTTGTGCTGCAGTGCCAGTTGCATTTCTAACATCAAGGAAATGCACATGTATCTAAGGCTGGCACAAGACGGTGCTCCAGCCCACAGACTCATCGCTATCAGGATTTGCTTCAAGCAGTCTTGGAGACAGAGTATCAAACTGAATCATGCTGTTCAATGACCTCCATTGTCAATGGATTTGACTCCTTGTCACCTTTTGGTGGGGGGGGTGGTATTTAAATAACGAGGTTTTCAGCACTCCATCTTCCAACCTTAAGATTTTGCAGGTCTGCATTTAGCACAATGTGGTCAATTTACGTGATCCACGTGGAATGGTGAGATGGGCCAGGGAAGATATGCCCCTAACACTTGGTGATGATAGGGCAGGTGGCCATGAGGAGGGTGATACATGCAGGATGTTGAATCCTGAATGATTCAGATTATCAAATGAAAGTTAATCTGTTTTGTGCATGTTTTCATAAAGATTACTATCCTTTGGACCTACATGTACTTGATTCGTGTCTGGATGTGCTCTTCATGACAACTACCCCACCCTAAGGTACAAATTTGACAACCATTGTTTTTGTACTTCTCATGGAAATTTCGTGTTTTTTAAGGTAGGAATTTAAGATCCTTTTTTAAGTTACCTCTCCCTGTTATAAATTTTTTAATTTGTGAAGTGTTTTGAGACATTTTGTGTAAGCGCTACATAAGTATCATTCTTATTATTATTATTGTGTGAACAGAGTTATCAGATATTTTCGATTCAGAGTGAAAATGAGTCTATGGGATCTTTGGCACGTTTGTGCTATGTACCTGCTATCTTATTGTTTTCTCCGTTGGACTTGGACATCTTCATATTGTCTCTATCACCATCGTTACTGCACAAATCCAATTCTTTCAGCTTGGAGTCAAGTTTCCGCTTGCCTCGTGGAGGCACCTTTTCATCTGCACAAAATTAAATGAAATAGAAAGAAAACAATTCACTTAAGTTGTACTGTATTACACATCCAAGAGTTAGGGTTGGCACGGTAGTATTTGTCTTGCAATCTACCTTTGTGACCTGGGGTCAAGGCCCATCCCACCTACTGCTTCTTCTCTTCAGTTATCTGAACTACATGTACACTGCCTCACCACAGGAAGCAATCTGTAGTGTCATTGCCAGGACCGATCAAAGACTTGTAATGGTTAAATGGAGGTTCACTTCGTTTGATTCAATGCTTCTTTAAAGTCGTCCAATGAAGAGTAAATGTCTGACACAGGTGCCTACAAACAACATTCTGGCACGAGTTTATTAATTAACAAAACAAGCAGCAATTGAATTCATCAGATTATTATTGACTAATTGAATGACCACAAGAAGACATTACTAGGGTGATACCATGCTGAAGTCAGTGTTCCTTGGGCCAATGCACTCAAGCATCAAGTGAACATAGTTTGGACATGGATGGACAAGGGCAACGAAGATAACAGCTTCTAATGGTGGTCGCCAGACATGGCAACGCACTTTTCAAAATCTTGGCTATGTTTCCAGCTTCAACTTCATCTCTGGTTGAGGAATCATTGGGCAGGGATTTTCCTTAGCGGTCGCCCGCTCGCCAAATGCGAGTGAAAACAGCGGCGGGCGAGTCAAAACCCTCCTCTCAGTAGTCCGACGGGCGAGTCAGAAAACGGTTAAAAAAAAATAAAATAACGAAGTTTTCCCTACAGTATTTTTCAATCAATCAAAATGAAAAGTTAAGGGTGATACAACACATGAATACTTTTGCCACGCCGACCGAAATAAAAACATCGGTAGTTCGAATTCGTATCACTCCATGTATATTCGCAGTGCGCTGTGCATTAAATCCCAACGACGAACATGAGGCGAATCAACGTGTATTTGCCATTACACATTGTGCACACATGCAGCGCACGTGATTTACTTCGTCTGCAGTCAGTCCACACGGTACGGACGTACGTACGTACGTTAACATCGTATTCGTATCATACAACGTGGTGAGGAGAAAACTTTCATGACAGTTTCACTGCCAAAACTTGTGCCCGAACGGATTCTTGGGATGATTTCTTGAACACTATCAAACGAATGTACCGAAAAGATGAGGACAATATGAGATTCGAGGGGCCTATTTTGAATGTAAAGACTAGTGAATGTAAAGTGGACCGTGCTCCGGAAAACGTTATGGATTGACGTGACCAGCGTAAGTTCGTGGGTCGCCCGCCCGCAGCGCTTCTTGGCTAGGCACGCTGATTGCACCATTCTTCGCTAGAAATGCATGGCGCGCGCGAGAGATGTTTTTTTGAAAATACTGGCCTTCTCAGTCATTTTCAAACAAGTTAAAACAGTTCAGTTACTAACTTGGTAAACTCCCATTAATACCACGACTGTGTGCAATGTTTTCTTGTTCCTCAAGATAACGCTTTTTTAGTTCGTGTTTTATCAAAACATGTCGGAAATAGAACACCTAAAGCCTTAAGTTCGGAACGAAGCACACTGCATAAATTTTGATTATAACTTCTCCACCTATTTGATTCCTGTTAATTAAAGCCTTGCTCTATGTTAAAGCATGGACGATTAAAGAAACATTGACATCACTTAAAAAGGAACTACATGCAATATTATGTACATGATTAAGATAATTGCCGATTGTATTCATATTGCATAATTTATTATCAAAAATGTTATCAAAAATGCTTATGGTGATTTGATTGAAAGTTACTATTATAAAACATGTGGGCTAGTGTAAAAGGTTGCGGGCCAGTGAAAACTCTGGTTTACTGGCCCGGCCGGCCAGTAAAGGAAAAAGTTAAGGAAAACCCCTGCATTGGGAAGCCATTAACATCCTAACCAAATACAGTAAACTCTTGAGTCAAATCTCAGGGAAATGGATAACAACATTTAAGGTATCTGGAGTTCGAGTTAAGCAAGGTTCCCAATTTGTCCACAGTCATGTTATCTACACGTACATGTACATGTATGTACAGGAATGGCTCACCGTAACTCGCTATGCCCAGCTGTGGAATGGACACGTTATTTGGCACGCTTTCCTTCTTTTTCCCATTCTAATGGTGTACTTTTTTTAAGTCAAAAATCATCATTTTACTCAGATTTCATATTGTTCTTCCAAAAAAGTGTCTGCTCTATAGATGAACATAAAACAAACACTCAATTGTGTAACTGCGCGTAGCAAATCTTTACTTTGTGTCATCTGTCTAACACACCATGCTCTGGGTTTTTCATTGTGTGGCCACATGGCCGGTCCTATTCAATGGACAGAGGGCACACCAGCTGCAGCCGCACCAGCAATAGCCATCTGGCTATCTCACACACATCCTCAAAGGTTTCTATTGTGGTCACATGGCCACTGCAAAGAGCCAGGGATTGGACTGCTAGCGTGCACGCTTAGCAATCGGGCTAACTCGAAAGCCAGGATATGTTGCGAATAAGGGCTGTAGACCAATCACATGGACATGGTGCATGCTGCATCCCCACATGAAAAAAACAAAGTGCATTGGGCAGTAATGATTCATGAAAAAGTTTTGCAATCTTTTCATGCTTCTTTGTGACTGTAAGGTAGCAGTTTCTTAGAGACTGATGGAACAAAAGTTTGAGACAAACGGAGGTACAGGTGCGGGCATTTCAAGTTACAGGGGTATTCATGTACATAATATCCTATTCTCTTGATGGGAATGGAGCATTACTTCGAGATAAACGGTATTTCAAGTTATCCGAATTTGAGTTATCAGGATTTTACTGTACTCCAAACGTTGCCCTGATATTACAAGACTTGTTGTCTTGAAGCAGAACATCTTGCCATTTGGAGTCAGGGGCCTAAATGCTTCTACAGCTGAAGCCGAAGACATAGCCATTCATGCACAAACCCTACAGCTACATGTAATGAGCGTACCTTTGTTTCTATCCGGTCCATTGCCCAAATTATGATCAGGTAGAAATACTGAGTCCTCCTCTTCACTATCCTTGCCCATCTTGGCTCTGGTTCCTACTTTCTCCATTTTCACATTAACACACATCTTGCTTGATAAGTCACTATTCTCCCCTTTGATTCCATTGTCATCCAGTCGTTTCCTGCTTTCCTCCTTGATAGTAGGTAATGATGGTGAATGAAGCGTTTGGGTGTTGACCTGCAAGTCCGCACTGTTAGCCAATTGGGCTAACTTTGTCAACTCGTCTGACATCTTGGAAATGTCTTGTCTTTCCCGGTGCAAAATCTCCTGGTAGTCGATTTTAGGCAGGCTGTATTCTCGCTGTTCAGGAAAGTACATTCAAAACATTTTATATACATACATGCAATAGGAAGGCATATAAAGGACAAGGAAAGGCCAAGCTACATCAGACTTTCTACAGTGTTGCAAGTTTTTGTTTTCAAACTTCAGTGGCACTAAGAGAAGTTCCAATGCGGAAATCTGAGACATCCAAGCCATTTTGTTTATAAAGATGAGATACATGTACATTGAACAAGGTATTTCAGATGTAAACTTACATGTAGTTTACTGGAAATCAAAGTTTGAAGCCAAATCTGCCTGTCATATGTTTCTTTGATTTTGCATAGTGCCTGTCTTTAGTCACATTATACCAATGGGATGGGCTCACTTGAGGAAACATGCTTCAATCTTCATGTTCTGACACATTTTAACAATTTAACATTTGTGAAATTTTGTAGTCCTTGTTGTTGTCAGCTAATAAGTAAATTGTGAGCTTTAAAATAACAAAAGCAGGGCAGTAAAAAAAATAAGCAGTTCGACAAAACATTAATGGGACAGTGAAACATTTTAGCAGGGCAACTCATTCTCCTAAAAGTTCTCATGAAGAACACTGCGGACATTGTGCTATAAGGTACATCGCCTTTGACTTCCAAATCTTTATGTACAATAAAAATGAACATTGGTGGCCAAATGACTGGGACACCCAACAATCATGTGTGTGCCCATTGTGTTTGGTATGACCAACTACTCACCAACACTTCAGCTTCTCTTCCCTCTTTCGCAGCTTGTTTCAAACGCTTCCTTTTTTGTTTGGCTTCTAATTTTTTGTCCTTAAAATCAATCAAATAAGAAAACATGTCACTCCTAGGTACATGCATAGCCAATCGTTTACTGTAACCTTACTCTGCCAAATCAAACAGCGACCATTCCTGTAGGATTTTGTTGGTCTGAGCAGTGAACAAAGGGGTTTCTCTGTAAACTGATGGATATTGAAGGATTCAGCAGGATCCTTTGAAAACAGTTACAGCAGGGATTGAGTTAGAGTGTACAATGTATACTGTACTACTAAACTGTTTATGCTTCACATGGGGTTAGGCATACCACTAATAAACAGAGTCCAACAGTTTCTGTGTTCACTTGACCATATGGTGTTGGAATTTGCAGGAGTGAGGAGAGTTCCTAGTAAATTACTCTAGGGGTTAGGGCTAATACATATATTCAACATTTTTACTTGGTCTGCTGTTTGAATAATTCCTGTAGAGTTTTGATTCTCGATATTTCTTTATTTCTCCCCAAATTTTCATTATTGTGTAGTGAATTAAAACATACAAAATGTAACAACTAATGGTGTTAATTTATTTTTCATTCATAAATACATGTACATCTACATGTATCTAGGCCTGTTTGCACGTACTCCTGTTGATCGAGAGCCTGTCACATGGGTGGTTTTAAGTTAAACCACTGTTTAAACACCGGTTTTAAAAACTGGTTGCTAGACCCTGCGCTCTGTGCATGCTACATGTACATATGTGCAATAAGCCACAACACGCTGGCTGCCACCACTGAGAACCAATGACATGATCTCTGTACCGGTATATAAGAATGTTGAGCACACTGCGCACATACAGGTAATGCACCAATGCACCATAGAAGTGGCTTGTATTGGAGTAGAATGGTACATCAAAATCGCTGGAAATTTGTCAACTTTTAGACTTTCGATGGTTTTTTACCAAAAAGGTACAGGTACATGTATTTATGAATGGGGATAATAGTGCGGTGGAGAAGTTACAAATGTGATGTTTAAAACCAGGTAGGGACCAGACCCCTTACTGGTTTCAAACGTCATGTTTATAACTGCTTCACTTTACTGTTACATTGTACATACATGTATCCCCTTATTTTGAATTTAACTCGTTGATACATGTATACAGAATCACAGTTTGCTAATACATGAAATTCAAGTTTTCTAATATATCAATAATGCTTGCAATTTGTGGAGCATTCTACAATGTTTTCTCCTAAAGCATGCTCCTACAAACAGACAATTATGACATTATACACTATATAGCCTTTCCAATAGTCACAATGCACAAGCAGTGCTTACATGTTTTCAAACAGTTCAAGATTCCAAGATCATGTTCAATGCTTCATCATGCAAGTGACTATTTGTGTTGGGAATAAGTCTCTTTTCATATTGGGTTTTGTCTGTCACTAACATTATATTCAAATCAGAGCTGGCCAAGCTAGCATGACTAGGAGAAAAAGGCCCAAGCATAGACAATGCAAGTAGCGTGGCCTACATGTACTAGTTAGGGTTCGTGACGTGTGATCAGAAAGGGTCAGGGGTTTGGAGTCCTGCTGCTGGCCATCATTTTGTGTTCTTAGGCAGGCCACTTAACCCCTGATTGCCTTCATCTGTGGAGCAGTATATATGGCTACTGGTATTAGCTGGGTAGTCACCTGTGATGGACTGGCATCCCATGCAGGGGGATAGAAATATTCTCAGTCATTTCATGTCATAGAGGCAGGAGATGAACACTAGCCTACTGAACCATGTTGGCTCCAAACACATTTCACAACATGAAACTTTACTAATGTGTCATTAGCCAAAGGAACCGATGAATAACAGTGTTAGGCCAAATAAAACAAATGTGTGTTCAGGTCACAAGCAAACAAGCAAGTCCAATATCAATTTCAAGAAAACCCCTTTTTGGTCCCCAATTTCCTCATGCATGTGTTTCCCATGCTGGCAATGTTCTCTAAGCATGCTGTTATCAAATCAGTGATAAGGCAATCACACTTACTCACCTTCAACTGTTATGCATATGAATATTGTTTTTAACCTTTCTGTTTTGAGAATAAACAAGAAAAAGACATTGAAGATTTACATCAGAGTTGTCATCAAGTAAATCTTGAGTAAACTGGCCGGTCACTTCACCAGTAAGAGTGAATGAACACTGAATATGTCACATTTCATTTGAATGGTTTGTGACTTGACTTGAGACTGGACTTGACATGTCTGATCTATGCATGAGTTGTATCAACGTGTAAATCAACACTAATATGGGCTTGGCATACCAGCTACGTACCAATCCCATATTGGTGGTGATTTACACATGTTGATATTTCTATTTGTGTACATGTAAGTCTACCGAACACGCACTGATGTGGTTAGATAACCAGACACACACATTTGCCTCTTTGGCCTATTGTCTTTTAGTAACATAAGAAGTACATATCTTCTGAAGTTAAACAATAAGCTTGTTGAAAAAACTGTCAAGTCCTGACAGCTGTAGAATATGAACAATGTCTTGACATGTACAAAATTTGAAATACATGTATACATCCAAACATGTTGAGGGGGCCAGTCACGTTTGCAGTGTTTCCCAATGTTCCTATCACTTAGCCATCCCAATGGCTGCTTACAACGTCAACCAGCAGCATCCTTTTACTGCTTGGAAAGTTCAAGTCCACTTCTGACAAAAGACCAATTCAAATGACCCTCATATATGTGAGAACATATTGTTTGAATAAACCAAAGTAATTCTGACTGTTTGTCTGAATGGAGGCAAGGAGCGAGAGATAAGACGGACTGGCTCCCTGGACTGTGTGTGTGTATCCTACCTCCAATGCACCTTGGATGATGGGCATCACTTCATCATGCAGGTAGTGATACAACGTTATCTCATCAGGGTGTACACTCTTACAGATGGACTTGAGAAATGCCTGCCACTCTTCAAGACCCTTACAGATGCACTGCCACGCTGTCTTGCCTTTCTTGGGACTCACTTGATCTTTGTACAATCGCAAACCTGCATCCAGACACACAATGAATAACAGCTATAGTAGTCACATTAACCAGATCTCCCTGGTTATCTTGATGAGGAACCTTTCTGAATCCTCCCAATTCAGCACTGTGCAATAACTCAGTTACACAGTCTCTATACATCCATCCCTATGTCAAGTAACAATGGCTGGGCTCTACCTTCCTCTATCCTCAAACTTGGCCCAAAAGTTTGGAGGAACTTGGAGAGTGATTGTTAATAAGTTCATACATGCATAAAGCATTTATTTTATTTTATTTCTTATTTTTAACTGGGTAGCCCATTCAGTGGAATCCACTGATCTCCCATGGGTCCCAGTAAAGAGAAGACAATGTGAAGAAATTACAGTTTTAGAGGTGGGAGGAAAAGCCCAGAAGAGTATTCTGAGGAAAACCCACGGAATCAGGTAGGGACTGAAAACCCAATCCACATATTGGCCCAGGCAGGAATCGAACCCGGGTCACAGCGGTGGAAGGCGAGGAAAGTACCGCTACACCAACCTGACTCCCCAGCAAGGTTATTTCATGTGAATTATTTGGTGAATGTCAAGGATTTAAAGATTTGTTTCGAGGATTTGTTTCCCTTACATGACAAAAATTACAACTTACCATTAAAATACCAATACTGGTTACTCAGTGCATCCTGTCCAACAGACAGAAATCTCTGAAACAAAACAAAAACCAACATGTAACTTTACGATTCTGCACAAGGGTATTATCAAACAATTACATTGAGTTGACTTGTCTTCATGCACTTGTTGCAAGGGCAGTAGGATGTTTCCATGACAGTGGGAACCTTGGCAAATCTCTTGCCATACAATGTACTGGTACATGAAGTTGACGTGAAGGAGGGAGACATGCGTCCTTAAACTAAAAGGAAGGTTTCCATATAAAGTATGCATGTATATGAATTTCAAAAATCAGGAGCATGTGCATTGATTAAGAGGGCACTTTTAGCACAAATTTTCCTTTGACCTTCATGTCCTAAAAAGTTTTGAGATATTGCCTCGATGAAATCATACAAAATGGACTCCTCGGTGCCCTACATTTATAACAAAAAGCTGAGGGGTAAATGGCCTTGGCCTTAAAAGAAAACAGAAAGTTGTATCAGGGTTCTCCCCACGTACAAACGTGCGTATCGGCCCGATACGCTGGAATTGCGGCCCGATACGCCGACAAAAATGCCGATCACATTTTTCAGCCCCCGATACGCACAATATAATTATTGGGTCATTCCATGCCAACTCAACAAATGGTGCACACCATCACCTCTTGGATTTTTTTCTTTTTTGGTGTACTGAAAGATACTTAGGAGAAATGCAAATTCTGAAAATTTGGGGTCTCTACGACTTTTCGTTCTTGCGCAACAGCATTTTGAAATTTGAGGTGGGCGGGGCCAAAAGTGCGTCACGTCACGAAATTCAATGTTTAAAGGGCCATATATTTAAAACTATACCCCCCAGACATTTCAAACTTAGTAATCTGGGCTACTTTTTGCTGTAGATTTCAAATATTTAAACAGAAAGAAAGTAGCTTGTTTCATTTTTAAGTTAGAGGGGCCCCAAAATGGCCCAAAACTCATCTGGACCAATGTTCGGGGGGGTGTAAGTAAAAAATTGAAAATATTTTTTTCACCAAATTTTTTGCCTGTAATATCCCCCAATTAAAACTACTTTCATGTAAAATCTTACACTTATATTAACTTCATTGAATGAAATATAGCCCTTGCAAAAAGCAAATTGTTTATTTTTACGACAACTTGACCCCCCCCCCAAAAAAACCAACGTCAGACATTCCGCACCAAATTTTGCTTCACATATGTTTGAGGTTGGTCCTTAGTGAAGTCCTCTGAAAAGTTTCATGTTGGTGTCTAAATGTCTTCAGTAGATAGCTGGGCTTTATAATGAGTCTATATCTTACGGTGCTGGTTCCGTAACATACAAGTACACGTACATAGAATAAAACAGCAGTTGGTACATAAAGAATAAGTTGGGTATGAAACTTAGCTTACATTTGTACATGTAGATCGACAGTTGATATAATTGTTTACAGTTTCACAGGTGAAATTATGCATTCCTTGTGATGTAGTTTTGATGAAGTTGAATGAGTTGCATGATGGTTGGCTCACTAAGTTTGTATTGCCTTCCACCGCTATGTAGAAGTTCTGGTGTTGGTACGCAAAACAACACATCAACAAATGGAATGTTACATTTATCCTCTCTTTGTGGCCAATAGAGAGTATATTTGTTGATTCCGTCCTGTACATGAAGCAGACATACACATCCTCATGAAGTTGTGATACATGTACATCTTCTACAATTTAGCAATGTACCAAACATCATCATAGACCACACAAACATATTTTCCTGGGTTGAGGTCAGCTGCTACAATTGGTGCATGATGAGTTTGAGCATACATGCAACTCCTTGGATGAACTAGGTTTCCCCTTATCCATAATGAAAACTAAGATCAATCAGGTTAAAACCATAGACCCTCTACTCAAACTGAATCACTTCTCTTTGGTTCAGGTTAGTGCTATACTATGTTGTGCAAGTGAGAACTGGTTAATTACTACATGTACATACATGACATGCATGCTGTGTGATGAGCACATGGAAAGAATTAGACTCTCAAGTCATTTAACCTAATTTGCATATAATGCACACATAGGTCTACAAGCAACTGTTTATTGAGCAGGAAATGGGTAGTCTTGACCCAAGTCTTTCAACAGTCGGGGGATTTTGTTGTGCTGGTTCCGTAAAATACAAGTAGTCATGTACATGCACATGTATGTTACGGAACCTGCAGCATCATAAGATATAGACTCTTTATAAAGCCCAGCTATCCACTGAAGAAATTTAGACACCAACATGAAACTTTTCAGAGGACTTCACTAAGGACCAACCTCAAACATATGTGAAGCAAAATTTGGTGCGGAATGTCTGACGTTGGTTTTTTTGGGGGTCAAGTTGTCGTAAAAATAAACAATTTGCTTTTTGCAAGGGCTATATTTCATTCAATGAAGTTAATATAAGTGTAAGATTTTACATGAAAGTAGTTTTAATTGGGGGCTATTACAGGCAAAAAATTTGGTGAAAAAAATATTTTCAATTTTTTACTTACACCCCCCCGAACATTGGTCCAGATGAGTTTTGGGCCATTTTGGGGCCCCTCTAACTTAAAAATGAAACAAGCTACTTTCTTTCTGTTTAAATATTTGAAATCTACAGCAAAAAGTAGCCCAGATTACCAAGTTTGAAATGTCTGGGGGGTATAGTTTTAAATATATGGCCCTTTAAACATTGAATTTCGTGACGCGACGCACTTTTGGCCCCGCCCACCTCAAATTTCAAAATGCTGTTGCGCAAGAACAAAAAGTCGTAGAGACCCCAAATTTTCAGAATTTGCATTTCTCCTAAGTATCTTTCAGTACACCAAAAAAGAAAAAAATCCAAGAGGTGATGGTGTGCACCATTTGTTGAGTTGGCATGGAATGACCCTATTATACAAGCCATTATAATGCACAACATTATCGTTTCATACGCCATTATTTCATCTTGACATTCAAAATCTTGATGCTGCATGTGTGATCAAAATGCACACGATGACGGGTCTTTCGCGACAACCGCCAGCACCCAGCTATATATTAGCGCATTCAGCATGGTACACTGGTTCCCTTCGCGTGCTAACAGTATCAATGCTATGATGAAGGACCGGAACCAGTGACTACTGCCTCGTGCGTGCATACATGATGATGATGTCGGCCGAAGTTGGATCGTAAAAACACCAAACAAACATCGATGGAGAAAGAGAATTTCTGCAAATTAATTCACAGAACGTGATCTTTATTTACTGTGTATGTATTTTCCATTAAAATGACGAGATTGCAAAGCTCGAACTTATGGCGAAACATCGTATGCGTAGCGTGCTTCTTAGAAGCAGTGGTGCAAAATGTTCGGCCACGTGGGATGGGCCGTACACAGTGCAGTATTGCACACTGATACTGCGCCGTGTGCACAGCGCGATGTACGGCTGGCCAGATTGAATGTTGACGGCGCCAGGGGCCGAGATGTACGTTAAGCATATAGTGGAATCAACTACCGGTACCTCAAATATATTTTTAATTAGGTGAGGCAAGTTTTAATCACTTTTGATGGTCAGTCTTGATAATTTTCGTGGTGCAAAGGAAAATAATCCAGGCACAAAACTACATGATTCCTTGTTCAATATGCTCCATTCAATCAAGTGTTTTTATTCCTCCATGATTCAATCAGCAGCCCAAAAAATTGGCGAAATAATTTTTCCGACTTACCGACGCTATTTTGAAAGGCATGTAATCGGAAGCAAAAGTGATATTTTTCTTCACCTTAATTTCTTAATTTGAAACTTGCTTGTTAATATAATTCATACTTTCTAGATCAGGAAGTTTTAACACAGGTTTTGAAATGTTGAATTTTTTTTTAAGTTAAAAATTTTGATATTTTTTTTCTTTTATTACAAAAAATATCACATGATCTCCTCTAAATTTTAAGGGAAAATCTTCCTCAAAGACTCCCAGACTTGCTCTAAAATGCACCAGAGAGCCTCTAAAGTTCAAAAAAAATTTAACCCCACGCCATGGCTTCGCAGGTTGGTGAATCACAACAAAACTTCCCCCACAGGTTTGAAAAAATCCTGGGGAGAATCCTGTTGTATCTCTGATTATTGTACAGGGAGTCCAGACTCACCATATCATCTGGACTGTAATGGTCATCCAAATAGTCTGTGAGTTCCTCACCGTTGCAAGCATACACTGTATCTATTAACCTCTTCAGCAACAAAAGCTATCAGGAAAACAAGAGAAATACAACATAATGTAATACAAATTAGTGAGCTAAAATGACCATTTGACCCAGCAAAATCAAGCATCCTGGAAACACATTGCTCATATTTCACAACTTCCTGGAAACAAGACTAGGCAAGCCCAGCTTTAAAGCTGGTTCCAGACCCATTTGGAATGAGGGGTGTACATGCATACCGGTTACAATCAGTCAGTCAGGCTAGCCCTCATAGACTAGCAACAAGCAAACTGACAATAACATACATCCAGACTAGTCCCAAACATCTCAGCACATCAACTAACAGTTGTTTAGTTTTTCAAGTCAACATCATGATCACACTGTATGCAACTGTACATGTACGTGTACGTGTTTCTCTAAATATGATCTGAATTCTTAGGGTATGATGAGTCTATAGATTGGCCCAATACTGGCATATGTTGCATTGTTTTGATTCTGTCTAATAAATGCAGTTAAATACATATATATCCATTTCAGTTAACATACATTTACAGTAAATGATATACGGGGTAGTAATGAGTCAAATACAATGTGTAATCTTAAGAATAACATGTTGAGTTTCAGCCATGTTTTCTACCAATACAAAAGTAATTCACTTTTGAATGAGACATCAAGCAAAACAACTGGTCCATGTGTACTGTGTAGTTACGGAATAACGTTTGCACTGCAAATTCTGATTCTACATGACGTCACACTTCGGTACTCAATATTTCAGTTATCTAAAGGTAGACTGAGTCCTGCCCTCCTATCAGAATGGATAATGTACATGTAGGGAGTGGGAACCAGTCTACTCACAGGGTGTTGGTTTGTTTGTTTTTGAGTGCAGAAGCAACCAAAAATTCAAGCTTGTACAGGAGGATTGTGAACACCAAAAGCATAATATTAGGATTCTTTAATTGTTTCTTTATTAAGTTATAAAATACAATTTGAAAACTAATTGGGGAGGGGAAAATGATTTTATGGGGCAGCATGGATAATACACCTTGAAGGAACTTACCCTATCACTTGGGCTAAGAGCCCTGTATGGGACACTACTCAAGTACCCCTTACTTCTTGAAGCCTTTTCTTTGATAAACTGGTGAATATGTCCTTCCCAGTTGAAAATCCTACACAAAAATAGATGACAAACAATACTGTTACCCAAATGATGTTAAACAACTGCACCAATAATAAAGAGATGCTGGGCCCATTCATCAGGATCCATTGATCAATTGATTCATGAATTGTGTTAGTTAGTTGTTTATACAAATGGGATTGATTAATCACAGACTTCTCATTGACACAAATGGTGTCCTTTCAGAAGGAGACACGGCACTTTCCCAACAAATAAACAGCCCAAAACCTTAACATTCCACAAAGGACACTCTTCCACTAGGAAGTGATATGAGCAGAAAGACAGATGCACATGTACTTGGTGAGATGATGTCAAGACCAATGTTCTAAAAAGGTGAGTGAATAATTGGATATACATACATGTACATGTAAGCACAAATATATTTATTTATAGCTGTTTTATTAATCATAACCGAAAATAAGGGAACGTTTAAAGGTACAAGTATGTAAATACATGTACATGTAAGATCAAATTTGCAATTAAGGCATTTTTCTGCATAGTTTTGAATCAACAGAAATTGCTCAAAACCAATAATAGGGTGCATACGTGTACATGTAATGGATACTATACATATTTAGAGAATATATAGAAAACCTATGTGCACAAATGTTTGTCTCGTAAGTGGATTTCGTTGCTATCACTTCTGATTCAAAAGATGCTGTTTTGTATTCAAGTGCATACATGTTCAATCTGTCATTTTCTGTAAATTAGCACTAAAAGAGTTAGGACATGATGCCTACATGTACATACATGTATATGTAATTTGTGATCTGACATTGAGGTGCCAGTCAATGGCAGTACTCGCAGTACATGTTCGTGTATTTAACGAATATAGTCAAATTTATTACATGATTGTTTTTTTTGGAATGATACTTTTCAGACACACATGGAATCGTTTCATAGGTTGTTTAGGATCAACCCCATCTTCATGTTCAGCAATGTTTCTTCACTTGATCAGCAAGTTAATTTCTGACTAATTAGGCCAAGAAAAATAATAGTTCTGCTTCTGGTACCCTATTCTGACAGCCCCTACCCTAATTTTTTGGGGGGTAAATGAGGGGAAAAACACCCAAACCCATACATTTCTACCTTTTACCCTGGACTACACACAGACGCCTCCATATGATTACAATAGTACACACATAATATTTGGGGGGGAAAAAACAATTCCTACCTACCGGTACCTACCCTATTTTTGAATGCCATGTTATCGGAGCAGAACCTTTTTTTTTTTCATGTGGCCTTATGCTTACTTTGTGACTTTATCTAAAATGTCTGTCCTTCGTTTCTTACAGGTGCCAGTACGTAACACTTTTAAAAACAATATCCATGATATTTTTCTAAAATGCAAAACCAGTTATATCCTTTGCAGGTGAGGATATTTGTTCAAAGCTTACAATGTTTACAGCAAAATTTGAGAGACCAAGACCTACATGTAATTTTATTATCAAAACTCAAAAGTTCTTCTCAAATGTCACACTTTTGGGCCCATTAGTGTGGAATTGACCACCTTTCCCTACCCGATTGAGCTCTAAGATTGTGTACATACCGGTACATTGTACATGTTACCCAGTATGTACAGAATTTGTGATGTTTTACAGTCAAAATCCTCACACTAAAACAAATTGCAGTATACATGTAATTGTATACAATGTACTTAACACAATTAGATGAATCCAGTGACAGCACTTAATGCTTACATGTAATTGCCTGCACTACAATGTGCATTGTATGTATTTAGAAAGTCCAGATGGCTTCGGTGTAACCTGCCAATTTGGTCCACACAATGTAAGGGATTCCCTCCTTATTTCTTGCATTATTCTGTTGTTAAGACATTAACCAAAATTGTGATGGCCCATTAATAGGAACACCTTGACAGGTAAAAGTAATGATGTCTACACATTCTCAAATAGCAAATTAAATTTGAAATTCATTTCATATATGGTACATGTACTGGTACACATTTCTACAGTTACCTACATGTAGTGTCACAAGGATTCAACAAATCTTGGCTACAATATCCAATCTTCATGTACATGTACACAATGCACATGTAGAGACATGTCAACTTTCCTTTTATAAAGTTGGCATTTGCTATCAATGCACGCAGCCAGGGTAGCCAGTTACTAAGGCCATCAGAGGAAGCAGGCCTTTTAGTAACCATTACTCACAAAATTATGATACTGGCTCAAGTATGGCATTGATTTACTGAGAGGAAGATATTTGTTATGTGTGTTATACATGTACATGTACGGTACGTACGTGTATACATACAATATAAACCATGATAAGCTGAGTGAACTGGTGCATGTACGGTACATGTACATGTACAGGTATGTACACATGTACATGTGCTGTATGTGCTCTAGTATTGCGCATGCATTTCTAATACATCATTGACATCAGTGTACATAGCACATGTAGCTTTACTTGTTCATGCACAGTGTACTATGTTCGGTACATACATGTACATGTATGTGTACTGGTACGTACGTGTACAAATGTACTTGCACATTCTGTAAACTTTCTATACATGTGTGCATTTAACTTTAACATGTCTAAGGTACAGTGTACATGTGTACATGGACATGCATGTAAGTAAGGATCAATTCGAGGCCACAACTTTCTTTCCAAATTGGCCACAAATCTAATTACCCAACTTTGTTTTGATTTCCCACGCAAAATGTCTCCATTATGGGTTTTTTTAAAATAAGTTTGTAACTTTATTCATCTTGTTCATATAGTGTACAATTTTGGTAAATTTATTTAGTAACAAATACATTTAAATTTTCTTTATTTGTATTTAAAAGTATTTGAACTTTGAAGGACAACATTTACAATTGGGAGCTACAACATTCATAAATCATATCCACTGACCTGTTCAATAAGTTGTGTCTATTAGCTACATGTAGCTCAATTTTAGTGTAAGAAAAACATGTACACACGGTCATGTGTCACCTTGAAGGGTGACTTGAATGGAGACTAAAATAAGTATATGTGGCAATGACATAGTAACCTGCGTTCAGCCAGTCTCATATTCTAACACCACATGGGATGCGTGCACAATCATGACAATCTCACAATCCAAAGAAAAAAGGGAAACTATCGTTAGTAGAAAAACTGGAGCACATTAGAACATAATAGCTTCCAAAGTTTTGACAGGAAGCACTTTCAGAACAAGAGGTGTTCTTTCAATAGCTACTTGTTTCTTTAAATACAACCTCTGGGTGTTTTTTGGAGGGGGAGTTGTTTGGTTGGGTGTTTTTTATAAGACCATTTTCAGCAATTATGTGTAGATGTAGAGCTGCTTACGAAAAATGCTAAGCACTAAGTAAATGAAAGTACATGCAAAACAGAATGCAGTAAAATTGCATTCATCTGATACATGTAATATGATTAGGCGCAATAGAAAATACATTGAACATGTACCAAATACAAGATCTATATGTTGTTTGTACATGTATGCACTTGACTGTGCGTCACCGACATGCCATGAAGAAGGTTCTGCAGATGGCCATTTTTTGCAGTTCATTTTGGAAATATATACATTGTATGTATGTAAGTCAACATCCGTTTGTCATCTGCACTCATTTTGCAACACGCAACACAGATTTGTCAGTCTTAATATTATCCTTTTTTTTAGTAGTTATGCACAATTAACGTTGGAATGTTTTGTGTTATTAACAATGGTTATTATTCATGATGCCTCCACAAGTTGACCATGAAGGACGGGTGATTAACCACAGTGCAGCATCTGAAGGAGGTCAACTGTGAAATTGCCTCTTCATTGTCAAATGCATGGTGGAACGCTGTACTGAGAATTGCTCCTGTCACTCTATAAGCAGTATCTAAAAGCAATTTACAAAATGTATCTATGTCCAAATATGTTACAGTATACCATTCACCTCATACTTGGTACATGTACAGTGTACAAATGTACACACCTATGAGCCAAAAACATGCACCTACAGAGCTGTATTTAAGTACATTTTGTTTATTGGTAAATATTGCATCAGGGATGTCAAAGTATCCATGCCACACGAAGGATGGACCTACATGTACGTGTACATGTACATGTAATGTTGCCCAACAGGTCAGGTCAGCAATATCACAGCAGTAGATTAGCTCCAAGCCTGGCAACTATGCAATTGTACAAATAAGATTTACGATTTGCATTTCCTTTCCTTTTTTTTTTTTTTTTTAGGTGGGAGAGGATTCTCGCAAATTGTCAACTCTTGAAAAACACATCTTAATGAGGTGCAATAAAACAAATTTATACAACATGGTTTATTACCTCCACCAAGGAGGTTATTATTTCATCGGCGTTGGTTTGTTTGTTGGTTGGTTGGTTAGTTGGTTTGTCCGTTAACAAAATAACTAAGAAAGTTATGGACGGATCTTCATGAAAATTGTTTAGAGGTGGTACAATGCAAATCGATTAGATTTTGGAAGTGATCCGGATCTGGGTGTGGATCCAGGAATTTTTCTAACGATTCTTCACCAGATTCAGATGTTATGAATAAATAAATGAACTGTAGTGCATGCATGACTGGGCGGAGCTCAGCACTCAGTGCGTGAATGCAAGTATGCGATTGGTTCACAAAGGCCAATAGGTTAAGTACATGCATAGTGTTTGTAAAGTGTGCGTGTTTACCTGGGAGGTACACGTGACGTTCTAAGTCAGTACGTGAATGCACGTATACGATTGGTTCACAAAGGCCAATACGGTAGGTTAAGTACATGCATGACATGTTGGTACACACGTGACTTTCTACGTCAGTTGAGTTGTGGACAGGTCACAGCGTACGGTAATGTACATGTGCTTGCACTCTGCGTTTTATGTCATGTTGATGCACAATGTGTACAGACCCTGACTGTGCGAATATGCTATGTAAACAATATATATCAAATTAGGTTTTGCCCTTCACCGACGTTTACCCGCTGCTATGTACATGATGTACCTCAGATTCGAACCAGCCAACCGATCCCGTTAGCTCGGTAGTCGAGTGGTAAGGCATCTGCACTAGAAAGCAGGAGGTCGTGGGTTCGAGTCCCACCCGAGTGATTTTTTCCAACTTTCACTCGGGAGGTAACACACTGAGTATACAGTGTTTAAACGTTGGTGAAGGGCAAAACCTAATTTGATTTATATCACCCCGACGCAAAATTCCATCTTACAATAAACAATATATGTTACACATTGCTATTTTTTGATAATTTAGAATATGAGCAATCCTGTTGACATTTCAAATGAGCAATAAGGAAGTCCAGTGGATATGCGAGTGTACTGACAACATGGCGGGGAATTGTTTAGCCTTGCAGAAGACAAGGAGGACTTGATTGTTTGGACTCAAAGCTGTCACAATTTCACTATTTCCTCAGACTTTGATTCAAGTCTGAGTATTTTTGAAAACACGTACTTTAACCTTTTCTGAATTCTCTTTTCTAAAAATACTCAGATTCCTGCTGATGATCAAAAGCCTAAGTACTCAGACCACACTGTCATGACCGTCTAGATTCTCAGGGTTCATTCTTTACCATACATGTAACGGTACCTTGTCATTTCAGTTGAGTATGCCTCAAACTATTCATCAATGGTTAACCCTTCAACTAGTCAGTGAAATGTATTAGTAGCTTCCTGATGCACTCCTAGACCCCATACCATGCAATAACAGGCAGCTGCTAAGCCCATACATAATAGCAAGTTCATTTTCTAAGCAAAGTTCAGCTCAGAGCAAGTCACAAGCAATAGGCAATGTGAATGTCATTTTATCATTTAGGCCAAAAAAAAAGTCTCCGGTTTCTGGTATGGAGCTTGCCCAAAAAGTGGTGCGGCGACGCGGCTTTTTTTTTTTTACCTGTTCTTTTGGCTTCAAATGTTGGCTGATGACTGCAAATGGTGCCCGACTAAACTTAGTGCAAATATTATGGGAGACCAGAGAGGCCACATAAAGCTTATTCTCGATCATAACCCCATCTAAAAACACGTTAAAATTGTGCAGCAGCAGGATTCCAGTCAAACCAGTGAGTTTGGCGGTTTTGAGACATCATCTTTCATTGAAAAAAAAACTTTTTCATTTTGCCGACATGCATGGCTACGGCGACGCACGCGCATACCAGAAACCGGAGACTTTTTTTTTAGGGTTGTCACCTAGTTTTGCGAGATACATTTTCTGTGCCCAGCTAATTTCAGTGCTTAGCTGTTCATAGAGCTGGTAGGTTTAGTTTCTTAGCTAAAACAGGTAAGCAGACAAGATATCTTTCATTGTGATTGCTTTGGATTTGTTGTCAGCTGATGCTTGCTGAGCATACATTCCCAAGCAACTGCGTGGGAATTGGCTCCATGAAGATTAAGGGAAAGGGCAACAGAAAATGGAGTCAGCAATGCATGGGCTAAGAAAGTGAATGAATACATGATCCACGTACATGTACTTACTGGATATCTGTCCGTCGTAAAGAAAAACGCAACAGTCGTGCAAATATGTCTGCAACCACAATGCTCTCCTCTTGAGCCAAGCTGTATTCAAAATCCTACACATACGGGAAAGTTAAAGCAAAAAATTGGGTTCAGAGTATTATGTACTATGCACCAGTATGTTACATGGACAGAAATTTTTGAAATTTTCTCTACAAGTTATGCACATTATGTAAAAATGCATTATAATAATAATAATAATAATGTACACTCATAGAGCGCATTACATGTGCTTTACAACTAAGATAAAGTTATATAACTGTTGCATTAAAGGCCAAGAATATTATCTTAATTTTGGCTAGTAGCAAAATTTCCAAATGGATTATGAATACATTTTTAATATATTTGGGTAAATTTATGCACGTGATAACTACAATGTATGTCCTGTCAATTTACATGTATAGCAACGGTTCCTTCCATGCTACCTACATGTACATACATGTATGTACGTAATGATTTCCAATGACCCCTGTAATTTCTGAAGTACATGTACAGGGAAAGTCCAAACTAGGTAATTTGTGTACGCATGATTATTAAGGCCTTTGGAATGTACAGGGAAAAACTGAACAAATACCAGCATCTTGCTCTGCTGTACCCTCTCCAATCCCAAACATGTAGTCAACTGTACCCCATTAGTAATGCAGGGTTCTCCAACTTTGAAAATTAAAGGTTGGTACTGGGTTGGGGGGGGGGGGGGTATGTGAGTACGGAGCACGAAGCTCTCTCTTGGCATACATGGCATAGGGTCCGGGGCCCGCTTAAGGAGATTCTACATGTAGGTGCTCTGTGGTGCAATCTGAGGCAATTCCTGGCCACTTTATCCTGACTTTTTTGAGCAAAAGTTCAAGATTATTTAGGAGAATTCCATTTTTGGTTTACTCTTGATCTTATAAAGGTTCTTATGTACTAAAAGTTAAGAACCATGTATTTCCATGTCCCAACATAGGGGTATTTCTGAAACAGTTTGGATTTGGGGGGGGTGTTTTTGCTTTTATTTGGTTTGTGTTTTCGTGGGGGGGGGGGAGATGAAAGACTAGTGTGAGTATCACCCGGCATCCACAGAGCCCAGTCTCCTGTCTGACTTCTGATATATCTAAGCATACAAGTGACGTCATTTCATTCCGAAATCAGGACTAAGATTATGATTGGTCAATTTCCATGGGGCATTTTTGTAATACAACCTGTACAAAAATGCGGGGAGCTTGAATTAGGCACGTATGAAAGGTGCCTGCTGATTGATCAGTTTCTCAAGGTCACACGCAGTCTACTTGCATAATTAATCGCCGAATATGATTACATATCATAGCCCATGGTCGGCTTTGCCAGGGCCAGGTTCCATTACATAGACTAAGGAGAGACTGGACACTCCTCAAAGTCCATAGCAAATTTACTGTAGATGTCATGACTCCCTTGTTGGTCAGGCACAGTTAGGCTTAGATCCGTAAACATGGCCTGGGTCTAGGTTAGGTATTGTAATTTGTGGGGGCCTACGACTTGTGAAACTGTATAAGATTGAGTATAAGCATGGAGGTACTCTACCTCCATTGTATAAGAATATCAATTGCGTTGTATCCGGAAAATGGACAACAGTTCAGCAGTTAATAACAGTCCGACAACTTCATAAAATAACCGTGCAAATCCAGCAGTCACGTTACATTTATGGGTACTGTACATTGGAAACTTATTCTGACCATGGAGGAAGGAAAACAGAAAGAAACTGATGTCAGGGCTGGATTTTGATAATTTGACGCAACCGACGCAACTCGCCATTCCCGACGAGCAGCTGTTCCTGACCCATCACGCATGTGACTGTTTCTGACCCACCACGCATGTGACTGTTCCTGACCCATCACGCATGTGACTGTTCCTGACCCACCACGCATGTGACTGTTCCTGACCCATCACGCATGTGACTGTTCCTGACCCATCACGCATGTGACTGTTCCTGACCCACCACGCATGTGACTGTTCCTGACCCATCACGCATGTGACTGTTCCTGACCCATCACGCATGTGACTGTTCCTGACCCATCACGCATGTGACTGTTCATGATCTATATTTTACTTTCTGTTGAGTTTTCGGGACAATAATAATTGAAACGTTTCCTTTTACCGGTAGGCCCACTTTTACTCAGGCCAGAGCTGTAAACATGAAGTTTAACATTCTGTAAAAATGTGCCTTCGCTATTCGCTTGGAGACTGGACTTATTACGCCAGATTAATGTGAATGCTGACTGCCACCTTGTCCCCGGTTCATCATATACTTTGCCCTTGCAAGGTACATGTAACCATTTTTCGCATACAAGGTTATTTCGCAAGGCACTATGAAAGCACGAGCATGATTGATTTTTTTTTTACTTGACTAAACTGTTTCCAGTGCACTTGGAATACTTACACATTTTTTGTTTTAAAGATGCTCTAAATGTTTAACTGGGTGGCAGGATTTTAAACATCTGGCAGCAGAATTTTAAAGTTTGGCGGCAATTTTGAAGCATGGCGGGCACCGTAAAAAATAGGGTGCCAGGGTTTTTTTTACAGGTTGGAGAACACTGCATTACTATGGAAAATTTAGACTCACATATGAAACCATGGCCAAACCAGTAGAATTACAAATAACTTCCAAACGATTGTTTATTTATTGGGTATTTACTTTGCTTTATATAACTGCGCAAATTAACTACGCAAGTGTGTCAAAGAATTATAAGATCATGAAACATAACAAGAACAAGGGAAAAAGTGGGCTCATTCATCTACTTGGATTACACACATGTGTAAGCTTGATCGATGGTCACCAAGCATGTCAAGCCTTGGGCAGTCCACAACAGCTCCCTAGACTTTTGTACATGTACCATCTACAAATGTACATGGACACGAAACTGTACACGTATGCCAATCCCCTTACTACACAAACTCATCAAGTGTTCACTGGCATCAACCACGTATCAACTACAGTATATCCAACTTCAGGCGTTTTGCTATTTACAATAAGCACCCCAACATAATTATTCAGCATGAACTCAGCTGAATTACACGTATTGTGTACAAGGCTGAACCATTCTTCAGCATTCTCAGTGACACAAAGGATGTCCATGATATTATCTTACGAGACACAGATACATACGTGTACAGTTGTACAAATATCTAAAAACAATAATTACAATGTAGAAAGATTTACATAATTTATCAAGCTGATTGTAAATGTATGCATGTTGTAAATTCTTTAAGTGCTGTTTGATTTGTTGCTATAAATGATACATGTACATGTACGGGTACTAGTATGTTGTTGAGATCAAATGAACAAGTCCAATGTACATGTACCGGTACATGTATGTCTAAACTTTTAAGCTTGGGACACACCGCAACACTTCAGGCATCAGGACACTAAAATACATACAATGATACATGTACAACAGTTACTGATTATGCTGACTATACACTACAGAATGATGCACGTACATCTACATTCTACATTGCACAACTACATGTACATATGTACATGTACATTGCGCATACATATTGCACAGACTGAAAAATGATTAATTAATGGACACAAAGGTACATTGTATGTGTGATATTCCATAAAAACTTCTATGAATTTTCTAAAAGGTACTAAACAGTTAATACCTGGAGTGATTGAACCTTGATTTTAACACATGAACATGTACAATGCTTCATTCAATTGTAGAACTGCTCTTGATGTGTACACGCTTCACAGTTCATAATATACATGTACATGTACGTGTATACATGTACATGCATAGTTTCTACATTTATGCATGCACACTAAGGTTTCAGCACTCTTTGGCGTGACACACTGGAATGAACAAATGGGCATACTGCATACAACTGCCAACATTTTTGAACATCCTTAAAATATCAACACAAAAAAACTCCGAAATTTTTGAAATAAATGGAATTGTTTATGAAGCAGGCTGTAGTTTTGGGTAGAATTAAGAGAATTTGTCACACCATTTTATACAGTTTCATGTGTCGATATTTAAAGAATGATATGGATAATTTGTTTAATCTGCCTTACCTCTAAGTCAAATTGGCTGAAATGGAATTTAGATCGGAAAAGCCCCACAAATTGGTACACAGAAACTGTCTCCCACATGCATCGTAATTGTAAGACGTCTTCCGATTCTGAAAAATATAGGGAAATGGAAAATACATGTATTTCAAATGTAGCACGTTCAAATGATATCATTTAACATTATTGAATCAAATACTGTGCAATACTGTCAGCTTGGATATTCACCTATCAGGTGTACAGGCACTGAACAGGCGCAATACTACACAGACACATGTACATCAATAAACACAAACTTACATGGAAGAAATATTACAGGTATTGGCCGCATTGTCATGCAAAAACATCAATTCTTCAACACTATTCGTTGCTCATACTAGGCAACAGGTTCGTGTTCACTGTCATCATGCCAGAGACAATCATTACGGTACCTTCCGTGTACAATTCATGAAAACAATTAACAAACTATGGATAGAACTGTTTTCCAGATAAGTCTCATTGATTATATTTTTTTACAGCGCTAGGACTACTTACATTACAGCAGACAGTTCTATATTATAAAAGGTGCTTTCCATACAGGTACCGGTATGTGGGTACATGTATGGGTATTCAATCCCAGGTACATGTACAAACTGGTACATGTACAATGTAAACATGTATGTTACGTATGAAAGGAAAACCTGTTATCATACATGTACATAGAATCTTCTTCATCTAGGAACAATTTTTTTTTTTATCAAAAAGGAAAAACACAGGCAAACATTTTGCACCTTGTATCAGAGAACAATTAGGCCCTTCTCGTACATGTTCTCTTATGGGTAGTTTGGGGAAAGGCCTCTGATGACATTTTGTTCAACGTGTGCTTTCTTATTGAACTCAGCTTTCTCTCTTCCCAACAGGACTCCCATTTAGTACACATGTAAACAAAGCATGACATCATTACATGTAAGTATCATCCCATGGGGTGTTCATGTACTAAAGCTACATGCTGAGAAATTCAGGCTTAAATTTGCCAGAGGGGTGTCTGGCCATCTCTTGTTCATCCAGGCATCCAACATTTCAGAGCCCTGCTCAATTTTTAAATGCTTTGTTGAAAATACAGATTCAGATATTTTTTTTCCCACTTTATTCAAAGCAAGAACCGCGATACAAATTTTCAAACATGAATGCCATACATTGTATACATGTACATGTACCGGGTATTTATCGTAGCACTCACTTATCGTGCTAGGAGATACAGTGATACATCAAATCATTCTTACATCCTCAATAATATCATGAGCTGACTACCTGTGCTACGTACATAAATGAACCTTCTGTAGAGCTACATGTACACATGTACAACAACCTGCCAAGGTACATGTACATGTACGCATACATATCACCCACTGCACGTGGGACACTTTAGTAACCCCCAAAAAAGCAAGATTCGGCCCAAAGACACAAGTACCGGTATAATGCATGATTTGAAAGTTCTTTAAGCTTTTTCAGACATGCTGCGGTTATTGCTGCCATTGTTTTTGCATACACCTTAGTCAAAAGCCTTACAGGAAAAGGAAAATTCAATTCAGATTCATACCAGGGCTTAAAATTCCACAGTATTCCCCAAAACTTGAAAGGTTCAGGAACATTTCTCAAGCAATTTGAAGTTACATACTGTACACAAAATGTGCATGCATTCAGCAACATGTTTTGCTACATGCTACTGTTGTGCTGCAAGCATTGCATTTGTTTTGTACAAGAAGAGCACTGAGCAATATGTACAGAAGTTATTGGTTGCAGCCATAATGAAAGGATAACAAATATTCAGAAAAAGATTGCAAATGAACCAAAAAACCCTAATAGTGACATACATGTCATTAAAATTTAGCAACTGGCAAAGAGTGACCATATCAATTGGCACAGCCGCTGAGCCAACTTGAGCTGCATACATGTACATGAACTTTACATGTACCGGGTATTAGATTACTGAACTACAGCATACACATGTACACATAATGGCCATGCATGACCACTAGATGGCGCTGTGTGGCCTACTCACAGTCACAAGAGTTCCAGTGTGCTTTCAAACCAAAACATCCAGTTGTGAGACGGCCTCTATAAGTGTTTATGACCCTCAGGACTTTCTTTTTAGTTTACATGTAAAACAATTGTTATCGTTTCAAAATGCCCTCTGCAAACTCAAGCTGTCTCTCTTCAATACTATTATTCTAGTTTTCAACATTTTCAACAGTATTTTAAGAAAAAATATAATGTGAGCTGACATCAAAATTGCTGTTCCTTGTCATAAACCCAACTGAACTCCTAGAATTTGTTTGTCTTTTGGTATACTATACAGGATGGTCATCTACATGTATGCGTGCATGTGTAAGTGTGCAATGGTATTCACTTTTTAGTGGTTATAAAATCTTACCTCAATTCACATACATGTATTAATTTTACATTCATAAATACCTCAGACAGTTTAGCCATTCCTATTGGTCGAGAGCCCGTCACGTGGCCGGTATTAAACGGATGATAAAGACATGGCTAGCTGGTCTTAAACACTTTTCCAGTGTCACAATAAAATGTGGACTCCTAAAAATCCAGTGCCTCTTATCGTTTCATTGGTTGAACGTTCACAATCCTCACGTAGGCATGCGCAACACTACCAGGGAGTTAGAATTTTATAGTTCTAAATTCAAAACTCAACGCGCCAGGTGCGTTCTGCGCGACATCGCATAGAACATGATACGCGCGCGTCAATCTCCATAAAAGGGTTGTTTTCATCTTACTCGCCAGCTGAACACTCCATTATTTTGCAGGAGGGATGATTCAAAAAGCATAAAGTGAATTTGTTGAACAAAATCGGGATGTTTTGAACGAATTATATGATTTTTTTTTACCGAAAAGGTATTTATGAATGGGAATAAATATGTACTCCGTCGGTATTTATCACTCTGTTTAATACCACTTAGAGTCTGGGTGCTGATAATTACCCTCGCCTCCGGCTCGGGTAATTATCAGCACCCAGACTCTAGGTGGTATTAAACAGAGTGATAAAAACCTCCGGAGCACACATTTATTCCCTTATTCAAAAACTATTTTAAACATACAATTTAAAAATGAAAATTTTACTCTCACTCTCAGCCACTCAGAGATGTTCTTCCAAACTGCCCTCATAAGAGTCACTGTTTCCTCATCAGTCCCTACTTGAGTTGTTCATAACCAATGTTCACTGCACATGACTCTCAAGTCTCAAGCCATCACAGATCAGGTTCTGTAGCCTACCGGTACCATCAGCATGCATGGTCAGAATTTACTGTCATCTTCAGTTTGTTTTGTCATCCTTACTACCAATATTTTAATTCCCTTCATTTATAAAGCAAAACCCTGACCTCTTTCCACAGCATTCACCATTCTTTTCAACACTGCCAAATATTTAGCTGAGGTCACTTACAATTATTGATGTACATGTATATCGTGTCTTTGAAGTTTGATACTGTAATGTCATTGGTCTAGAACAGCCACGTATCCAGTCCATAAAAAAAATTACTGTTTACCATACTGTGTTACATAAATTACAAGTCTCATCTCTAAAAAGAACTGCAACTGCTCAGTCTCACATTCGGCAGGAAAGTCCCAAATACATTGTATCAAAGGTTACTTACACTACAGTGATTTAATTTGTTTCTTGCATAGATTTAGCAAATTAATGAGCACTTTCACGGTAATATGTGCCATCATGTTCACGGGGCAAAAAGAACATCATTATTGTTGGAATTTAAACGCATGCTGACTTAGAAGCGCCAAGTTTCTATTGACGTGCATAGTGCATACTCAGCAACTCATTTCTTTTTGCCCCTTTTACGAACAAGATGGCGCATATTAGTTCCATGAAGTGCTTAATTGTTAACTTCTGTGATCTAGGATATTATGTTGTTTTTAATGCTTTGCCTCGGTTGCTTTTAGGCTTGCGAGGTTCCAGCAGTTTTCCGGTTCTAACCGGTCCCAATATGGGAACCGGAACCACGAGTCCAATCTTTTCGAGAACCGGGTACCCGCTATGCTCGGTTCCGGCTCCAAAAGAATCGGTTCTAGATTAACCCTAACCGAACTCAACCCATCAAAGTTCAACAGCAGGTTTTGTTTAAATCTGTTGGGATACAATGTAGGTACAGTACCCCGAAACTGATGGTCTTTTACACTGGGGTTGGCATACCTCCAGAAACTAAGTCCAACAGTGTGTGTGTACAATTTCCAGTGTGGGTGTTGGAATTTGCCAGAATGGGTATGGTTCCTAGTAAATTACCGTAGGCTGGGGAGTTAAGGTTAAATTTCCTACTCTCTGTGCACAAAACCCAGAGCCGAGAATCGGCTACATAGGAATTCAATCGCGGGAAGGCCCAGGACATTCACTCTGGCCGGCTAGTCAAAACAATATTACATGGAGAGTCGGAGACAAACCGCTTTGCGATTTTGCGGTTTTGCCACGAGGCATGCATATAGAGCATTTAACCCAATACGGCCCAGTACCATGGATAATAAACGTACATGGGGCGTGGCCAGACCACTCAGGGTTACTTGGACAAGCGGTGTAGTGTGAATTGAAGTTTTATGAAATACGGACTCATACTTAGGAGATATTGCACATGATCGTATTTTGTCTGTGAACTTCAGTCAAACTCCATCGGCGCGGCTGGTATAAGACTAGTACGTAATCGGCCGGGTTGCGACATATCTAACGACTTGACAGGTACGTTCTCGGAACGATATTCATATATGCGTGCAAAGCAATACATATGCAGTGAATCTAAGCGGTGAGATCAACGATAGACCACATCCTAGTTAGTGGGTCTAGGTCAAATTAGGTTATTGATATTGCCATGTACTCTAAGATCCTAGGACCCTACTATCACCCGACCATCTCCAAATGTTAAAAAAGGCGATTCGTAGAGTCCTAGTTACTCGGACTATAGGCAACGGTATCTTTGTCAAGACTGTCATTCACACGTCTCTAATAATAACTCCCAGCACCTTGAGTACCTATACCGTAATTTTCGGAATATAAGCCGCGCGGCGTATAAGCCGCAGCACGCAAAAATCTGCAAATTAAGATATGAAGTCGGCGTATAAGCCGCATCGGCGTATAAGCCGCACCAACCGCAGCGGTTCAATTTTGTAAGGCCTCCAAATTCTAGTCAAAATGCTCTGAACCAGTTCCATTTACACTACGAAAGCTATAAAAGGGCCACATAAGTTATGTCAAATCATTTACAGTCGATTACTCTTACAAACAAATATGGAAATTGATGATGAGAAATAAAATTGCTGCCGGCGACTGACATTATTTTCCCCCAGCACTTGAGAGAGTATGCAACCCACCATGTGTTGTCTGACTGGAGCGCTACAAATCCTGCTTTGTGGCAACAGACACTGAGTTGTTTTGTCCTAAAGGATAAACAAGTCCGTTTTTACAGCAAAACTTATCAAATTGTTGTGATTACTAACGAGTAGTAACGTCAAACATTCAAGTTTGGATGTAACTTTCTTCGAAAACAGTCAACACGATGCTGAGATTTTTATGGACGAATCCATTAATTTCGTAAGGGGTGATTTCACCCCTGTTTTGAGTTTTACATCGTTTCTTGAATACATTTCAAGAAAAAAAATTATATTGTGACGTTGAACAACTGATTATCAAATAAAGATATGTTTCAAACTCTATAAAAAGTATTAGTTGTCTTTTTTCTTTTTTTAAACAGGGGAAATATTGGTAATTATTGTTCCCAAGAAAGTACACCCCTTTATTACCACAAATGGTGTGGTCCATGGGGAACCATGCATGATGCATGCAGCATATGCAGCATCACGTACGGCCGGTTGTCGATGTCCAAGGGACAGCTTTCACTAGCCATACTTTTTACCGCTCGGTACCTTTTTGTGGGACGTGCTTTCGGTTTGTTAATGACTTTCTTAATTGATAATTATTTCAGCAACACATCTCTTCTTGTACCAGTACATTAAATACACATGTAAATGTCATTTTTATTCTTCAAGTCTCGGCGTATAAGCCGCCCTGTGTATAAGCCGCAGTAAACATTTTCATGGGCAAATTCAACGTATAAGCCGCGGCTTATATTCCGAAAATTACGGTACTCCTTTCCATTAATGCCTGAATAGGTTTCTGCAACGTAGCCATGCAGACTGTGACAGATCTACAGAGCCACATGGATCATGGAGTGATTTACTCCTAGAACTATGGACAGCTTACCCCGCCGTGGGGGGTACGTACTTGCACTTGTACGCATGCGCATACTATCATTCCGCACCTACCGTACCCCCCGCGGTGCGCTCCGAGCGAACCAAAAATCATCGATCGATCATTCTGCGTGCACATTTCAAGTGTCAGGTTGGCTCAGTGCGGAAAGGGCATATTTTTCATCATTTTGGCCTAAAAACCGACAGAATCCACCGATGTTTGTTGGGTGCACATAACGTGAGTAGGCCCCCTACATTGTATGTCAAGAGTTATAGTACGGAGTTTAGGGGCAAACTGTGCAGCGGTTCTGTGGGAAATGGCTTGGTTGTGATGGACGTTTTTGTACTTAGTTGGTGTTTTGTAGAAGCAAACAATTTTGCGGGGTAAGCTGTCTATGAGGCTCCACTCCTCCGCGGAGCATCATAGTTCTAGGAGAAGAACATGTCATGACATGATGTAGGAGTGATTTACTCCTAGAACTATGGGTACGGTACAGGTGAAATGATAGTACATGTATGTGCATGCGTACAAGTGCATGTACCGTACCCCCCGCGGCGCGCTCCGAGCGAACCGAAAATCATCGCTCGATCATATGCGTGCACGTTTCAAGTGTCAGGTTGGCTCAGTGCGGAAAGGGCATATTTTTCATCATTTTGGCCTAAAAACCGACAGAATCCACCTATGTCATGTATGTTAGTTCTGCACATGATACGTGAGTATGTCAAGAGATAAAGTACGGAGTATAGGGGCAAACTGTGCAGCGGTTCTGTGTGAAATGTCTCCATTTTGATGGACGTTTTTGTACTTCATTAGTATTTTGTGCTGCAGGCAATTTTGCGGGCTTCTAGATCTATGTACGTGGAGCCTCATAGTTCTAGGAGTAGGACTAGGAGTGATTCTCTCCAAATTTTAACATTTCTTTTCAGGTTTGACTCTTTGAGTCTGAGAATGTTGAGAAATTGTTTGGCTTTACAATACATACACTGGATAAGGGCAGAGATGATTTGAGTCAAGGAAACAGGAACAAAAATATCAGAAAAGGTTGGAATTTCCTTAAGAATCTGACAATAAGTGACAGTAAAACCCTATCCATTCGATTATGCATGGACACATGCCATGCATAAACGAGCGAGCAAGTACCGTGCATAAACAAGCCAATGTAAAATCAGTTCTGACCCACATCGTATCCTAAGCCAGCATTCCCAGCAGAATTACTAGAGCTGTTAAAAATATCGTTTGACACGAAATCAAACATCAAAGATGTCAAACGTACCTGTGGTCGGCTTCTTACGCGGCATTTTGGAGTAGAAAATGCCGTTTGAGTGTCATCGTTAGTGTTGGTCGGCCGCCATTTTCCATTCTTAAATACGTTCTCTATCCTCGGAACGTTGGATTTGGAGTCGTAGGGGGGACACGTCCTCCATCGGGTTACACGTGAATTATTACATGCTTTTGTATGTTTTCCCAATCAAAACCTACATCATTATATTTCCCCTCATCAAACTGAAAAAAACATCAGTTATACACAAGCGTGACTTTCAAGATTAGAACCTTTTCATAAAAAATATCACAATAATTTTGCGTTCCATCTTGCGGAATCTGATAGTCGTCGTCCACCTTAATCATGCAGAATACTATAATCAATGCACTCGCGAGGTCGACCAAAGGTCACGTGCACAATCGCGGAATTCTCATTGGTCAATTAATCATGATTCAATTACAATCTCGAAGACTTCATAAACAGATAAAAAAAAAGTCGGCGCTTGTCTTAATCTTAAGATCACACCCTGTAGTAAGGGGGGGGTGAGTGGGGAGCACAGTGTCAGGGATTAATAATAACTATTTACATTTTTACTTCCCTGGCAGTGGGGACGATGGCAAGTTATATTCCAACTGGCGCAAGAGAGGAATCATAATATGCACACCTACATAATATGTACAACTGTACACAAAACATACAGTCAGTGCATGGAGGAGCAGCAGGAATTTGATAAGGGTAAATTTATTTCCGAGGGCCGAATATGGACGGAAAAACAATAAGGCAGAGAGGTAAATTAAAACACCTCAAGTGCATCGGAAATGAATGGAATTATTAAACGCCGCATTAATGAACAGCGCCCTCGAGCGTTTATGATGTCCATTTGGCGGGTCATTGACTAGGAAGAGGAGGGCTCCCCCTAGTATGATAATAAACGTCCACGAACAAACATACAAGTACAAAAACAAAACAAAAGATATCTTTTTGTTACCGGGGAAGGATCGAAGGATCAACGCCCCCCCCCCCCGATACTTTTTAAACGGCCAGAAACAATAGAGGCCTCATCTAAGATAATGACAACATAAAAGATATAGGCCTAGTATTGTGAACAGACAAAGAATCACGTTAATAATAATAATAAATAATAAAAGAACATTCAATTCATATAGCGCAATATGAATCAAAGATTACTCAAAGCGCTTAACTATAGAACGAGAAACAATAACATAAACAATAAAATAATTCCAATTTAAAACTTGGGTAAAAACTGACTTGGGCCGGACCAGCTGTTGTCTGAATATTTGTAAAATACCGTAAACTGTGTAAACACGTTGGGTAACATGGGTTGGTATCGAGACCAACGTTGGTCAACATATCAACAGATTAAACTCTTGGGCAAATTCTTCCCAATTGTTGGAAAAATTTTACCCAAATCAGTGGGTAATTTCAAACCAATGTTTTACTCATTATTTTTTTACAGTGTAAGACACTAAGTATAATCTACTTGATATTAATAAGAGCTAGTTAAAAGCATAGATTTTTCTAAAGATTGCCAAAATTTGTTACGTAACGTTCGATTTCTTTTCCAATCATAAAGATCTGGATCTTTGCCACACACGTCTTACAGTATCAGAAATATTGTTGAACAAAAACTCGGTAGCCCTTTTCCCCCTTAAATAATGCAGCAATTAACTGTCATGACATCAGACCGACTCCGCATATTCTTCTTTCGTGTTTGATCTGATCTTAGCCCAAGACCGTGACCAAGAGCAATAGTTGCATTGTTGTGTAGCACACTTGTTGAATTGGTTTTTTTTTTACTTTCTCGCACTAACGTCTTGGTCATTTCGTATTTATGCAAATTAGCACTCGCTATTATCAAAAATAATTATAACATTTTATGTATTTTCCCTGCAGGAATATGTCCAATTGTATAAAACGAGGTATCTAAACCCATGTTTTGAGGGTCAACGAATTCATTAAAGCCATTCATACAATGATAATGTAAACACTTGCTGCTGTATTATGCAAAATGATTCGCAGGGTCACTGATTGAATTGAAGCTACCTACAGACTGAAAAAAAAGGAATATATTTTATGCGAAAATACGCATACTAGCTCTAATTATTAATTTAAATATAGTGTTTCCTAAATGTCTTGATCTAAAATGAGACACACAATTAGCCTACACCTTAAAACACACATTATTTTACGCAGCACACAAGTTAACCTACATACGAAAGCTTGATCGTGCATCATGCCAGATCAAATAACAGTAAAACAAAGTGTTAGTACGAAATGTAAAAATTTCACCCAGGGTGTACAGTTTGGCCCTGCTTAAAATAAATGCATTGAAAGTGCACCTTCGGTTTGAAATGAACTTGAAGTACCTGTGCACAGCTGTGCATCATTGCGTCCCTAACCTGTCCTTTGCGCGTAGGTTATGCGCCTATCAAATGTCCCCCCCCCCCCGCTACCCCAGGTCCGATGTCGGGATTTGGACACGTTTTTCATGCCCCAGGGTGGGGATTTTGGTCACTCAAATTACATTGTTAACATTGGCGTACTAATGGAAAGGCAATCACTAGTGCGCCCCACGTATGTAAGTCGGGGCATGGTCGGGGATTGTCACTTAAATTTTGCCCGAGGGGTGGGGATTGTGTCACTTCAAAAGTGACAATCCCCACGTCTTGGGTGGGGCAGCCCGGGAGGGGAGGGGTGAGGGAAACAATTGAAAGGCGCATTAATTCGACATGGTTGTGATTGAAGGGGAAAGTGCTGAACAGACGCTAGTTCAATATTGTGTATTCGTTAAAAAAAAATCTGATCTTCAGAAAACGTTGACATTTGTTGGAATTTTTGCTTTTGGAAATATATTTTATGGATTTGTTTCCAAAATAATATTTGGACACAGCGTCCGCTCAACATTTTTGAAGGCGGGAGAGCGGAGGGCCGGGGGTCCAACGGATTTAAATTATTGGATATCTTTCCATAGCTTTAGCATGAATACTGTACATGTATATGCCCTCTGTTTGATACACAACAGACGCGCGTTGACAGAAGGGAACTTCAATTATTCTTCCGCGAACTTGGCTTCATAATGATGAGTTTAATCAATTTGAAGAACGCCAATTGTTTCGACAATATAATGCATGTGCTTAATCTCTTCCAATTAAATGATTATTTCGCACACTGCATTGTAACCAATGGGGCCTTGTACTGATTCGTGTTCGGGGTCTAATTTGATATCCACCACGAAAAAGACAACTATATTTTCAACAAATAATAAATTGCAAGTCAATTTTATAACTTTTATAACTTTTTCATGCCATTCTCAATACACCCTAAATAAAAAAAGTTCACCATTTCCCCTTCAGATTCAATTTTGTTTGGACACAAATGATGCCTAACATCAAGAATCACTCTCCAAACCAAATTTTAATCGCAGTTACGGGGGAAAACTGCTATGTTGAATGCATGTTCAATGAAACTGACAGACATTATTTATTAAGTTTGGCCAAAGTAAAATAATCATTTTCAATCTTCATATATTTAAACAAATTTTTTTTTAAAAAATACATGCTTCTATGGGGTCCCCTATAGGGGACATTAGGCAAGGGGTATAACTTATTGGGACGGTTGGGGTGTCGCAGGGAAGAATATCCCACTAACCTAATAAAAACCAATACCAATGACTCTAAAACACGAATCTAGACGCCTTGGCTGAAAAGTTTGGACGATATTCTGCATAGATACATGTGCAGAGAAACAAAATAATATTTTTGCTAATGCGGGAAGATAATTTGCATAAATTATTTACATTATCATGGTATGAATGGCTTCAACGAATTCGTTGACTGAATTTCAATTTTTGATTACGGCGGATGCTAATCTGCATATTATGCATAAATTACATAAATTAGTCATTGACAAAATGGTTTCAACTAATTTTTACCCCCAAACATGGTCTGGGCACCTCGATTGATATGTTTGGATGAAATCCTGTAGAGATGTATAGAAAACTTATATTTTTCCTAATGGCGGTAGGTAATTTGCATATTTTATTGTTTAAAAGAATGCTCAAGGGTGCCAAGGTGGCACTCGTCGGAATATTGATCTACAAGGTCCAAATGACAAGAAAATGCAAAAACATTTTGTGCGGACCCTAATTCACGCTTCTGTGGTCAACCCCCGGACTATTGCGGTTTTTGCTGAAGTCGCCGTCTTATATAAGGTTTGTGCAAAAACTTCCCGGCACTATAAGGGTGTTGTGTAGAATTATTAGGGTACTGGTACCAATTTTTACGGCAATGTGTCGGTAATGGCATAGAGCAAGGGTAATGGTCGAGCCTGCGTGCAAGCCAAATTTACAAATGGCATCCCTACATTTCCTCGGGCAAATAGGTCCCATTTTCAACCGAAAGTTTATCAAGACTGTCCTCAGATGGAAGCCAAAAAAACAGGGAGTTGATCCTCGGCTGTAATTGCACCTTCTTTTTTTAATTGTGGGGGCACTTTTGACGAAAATGTACTCGCGTATTCTGTGAACCGCCATCCATCACGAATTCATTGCGCCCGCTGTCGGTCTGCCATTCGGATATATGGTCTATCTAGCCCCGCCTCTCTACTTCCCACCACACAGAAAAATATTAGTAATATAACATTGTTAAGAAAACGTGCTCGTTTTATAAACTCATGAAGTCCAAACTGGTTGGATGACATTTCAAATGTGTCTTCCCATTTGGAAAGTTCTTTTTGAAAGCCCATCGAGCGCGATGGCCAGCGTCCCATTAAGAACACATTCTCGTAAAAGTTGGTCCGGTACTTCTGTCTTAACTTTTTCTTCATGATGAGGCTTGCGGTTTCTGCCGAAGTAAATTGAGTGTGATAGGCCGTCTGACCTGAAGGTTTCGGTGCACAAACCCTAGCGCTAGTTTTGTGTCAGGATTCCAACTTTATGTAATCGTGGTGGTGTGATCCCCAGGTTGCACTTCAGAAAATAATGTTCGGGGTCCGCTCATATTAAGTCAGACGCCTCAT